GTCGCCCATGGACACCATCCGCACCATGCTCCTAGTCGTCATTCTCTTTGCAGGCCCTTTGTTCGAGAATGGCATAGTCGACGGTGATTGGCGAGGCTGGATACAGCTGAATGGCCTGCACCAGTCATTGAGCAGCTGGATCGGGTACAGGAACTTTGTAGTTGTACGTCCCCACAGTGTACCGTACATGACCCCTCAGCCCGCCTAACATCACCAGGGACCCGTCAGCGAAGAGCTAGTTTGGCGTTCCCTCATCGTGCCCCTCCACGTCCTAGCCCGCTTCTCCGGCAAGCAGATGGTCTTCCTGACCCCACTCTACTTTGGCATCGCCCACGTCCACCACCTGTACGAGTTCCGCATCACCCACGCCCACGTCCCACTCGCCTTGGCAATCGCCCGCTCCCTGTTCCAGTTCACCTACACCTCGCTCTTCGGCTTTTTCGCCGCCTTTGTCTTTGTGCGCACCGGCAATGTTTACTCGTGCGTATTGGCCCACGCCTTTTGCAATTGGATGGGATTGCCGCGCTTCTGGGGTCGCGTTGGTATCGAGGCTGGTGTGCCCATCGGCCCTCCAGACGTCGCCAAAAAGGACCATGGTGATTCGAGGACCGCACCTGCGTATCAGGGAAAGGGCATCGCATGGACTGTAGCATACTACCTCATCTTGGTAGCTGGAGCCCTGGGCTTCTACTACCAGTTGTTCCCGCTGACTGAGAGCAGCCACGCTCTGCCTGTGACACTGACCAGCACCTAATGGTTTCATATTGCTTCTCCGGAGAACCCTCACCTGCGTCGCGCAATGGCCCACCAGTTGTCCTTTTCATATCCCGACTCGAGCACAACTCCGCCCGCCTGCTCAATATCGCTTTCAAGCTCGCCTTTGCGATATAAATGATAATACCTCAAAAACGTCTTGTCTCCTTCGGCCGTCTTGTCCTTCTCTTCGCTCCCCTTCTCTTGCGTCACATTGTCCTTGTTCTTTTTCCGCTTTGCGTCCTTCTCCTTCTTCTGCTTCAGCACCCATGGCACCATGACATCCTGCTCGTGGCCTTCATCCCAACCGCGCCGGCTGTCTTTCTGCTCAAGTGCCCATACGTAGATGAGTGCCTTTCCTCCGGTTGTGCTCGTGTTAGCAGCTCCATTTCCATGGCTAGAGTCCTCGTGACCTGACGTCGACGCCGGTTGCAGGAGATCCAAAACACTCTTGACGGCCTCTACTCTCCGCTCTGGAGTAGACAAGTGATGCACAACGGCAATGGATATGGCAAAGTCGAAAATGCCCTCGGGATGCGGGAGAGCCAGGTTATCCGCCACGACTACATCGTGCGGTTCGTGCCGTCTTGCAATCTTGACCAAATTCGTAGATCTAGAGCAGTTGATGTGAGATTTAGAACAGTGTAGAACAAACAAAAACCAGGGAGCGTCCTTTTTCAACAAATCCCAACCTGAAAAGTGAAAAAGCAATATACCCCAAACAAACAATGTACATAGCAACTGGGAGTCATGTTCTTTTTTTCTCGGACAGAATAGGAAGGACGGAAAGAAGGAAGAAGAAGAAGAAGAGGAAGAAGAAACTTACCGATCACTTCCCACAATCCACACCCTATCATTGACACCAAGATACTTGCCATTGCCACACCCTACATCCGCCCCAATCGCACCGTCGCGCTGTTCGCGTAGGAACCGATCTACAATCGGCCAGGGCTGTGTACAGTCGTATTAGCAACAAACTCTGGTACTCGCAATATATATCCATCAAATGAATTGATCAACATTTGAAATATTTCTTTGATTTTTTTTCGGGTGAGGAAGAGAGAGAGAGAGAGGATGTTGAACGGATACAATTATCGAATATTTTTGCTTTTGCTTTTGCTTCCCTTTTCTCACGTTATAGGGAATAAAATAGGAGAAAGGAAGCAAGGAAGACGGGAGTGGAAGGATAGAACGGACCTTATACCGTGTTGAAGAAAAGTGCTCGGCGATTTCTTCGTAGACGGCGTGGACGTGGGTTGCTTCGTAGGTTTGGGGAGGTTCGTGTGGGCAAGTCATTTGTGCTGGCGTGGGTATGGATTTTGAGTGGTGAAGCAAAGAAGAAGAAGAAGAAGAAAGGCAAGGGAGGAGGGAATTGTAGTGAAAGGAAAGTCCAAGTAAGTGACTGTGTCGTGCAGAGAGAAAAAAAAGAGCCAATGAGGGGGTTGAATTTAGGATGCCAAGACACTACAATGCAACATGCTCGTACTCTCCAAAAGACCCCACAAACATCTTTACTTAGAGATGAATCCTTAGAAAGACGAAGAGAGAAAAAAAGAGACATATCTGATTGAACAAACAATGGATTGTTACGATTCATCTCTCGAAACGAAACCCGTCTTCAACTACTCATCAAAACACTGACAATCGCCCACATCCCCACCACCAATCCTCCACCTACTAACCATACTCGCACACTTCCACGCCACATCGACTCGCGAGCACTGAAACACCAAACTCCACACCCGCTCCACCGTATACCCGAAATCAGGCGCACTCATCTGATCGGGCCTGCCCTTTAGGAAACTCTGTTGATGGGCCCAGCTCCTCTCATCCACGAGCGCACTCCACATATTCTCGTACAAACTCCTATCCACGCCGCGAATGCGCGCTGCGGAAACCGCAAACTGGCCTTTGTAACTAAGCAGCACATGGTCGCACACGGCGTTGGTGCCGTAGATGTTGGCGTACGTCTGCGGGATGAATTGCATGTCGTCGGACCAGAAGAGGCGGTCGGAGCACGAGTGGCAGTTGCAGAGCGTGCCGACCCATGCGAGGTCTAGGTAACCGGTGCGGGCGCGGAGAAAGTAGTTTGTGATTCGTGTGTAGAATTCGCGCGGGTTGTGGATTTCGGCTTGCAGGAAGAGGGTTTGCTGCGCGAGCGTGTCCCAGCGGCGGAGAATGTGGTTGAGGTAGGTTTCGCCTTCGCGGCCGATGTTGGCCAAGGGTACGACTTGGCTTGCGCCGAGCTGGGATTGGATGTGCGAAGGGGAGGCGCTGCTGTCTTTGAGGTAGATTGTTACTGGAGCGTCGGAGAGGGCGGGGATGCGTTTGAGGTTGCGGAGGAGAGTGGCGATGCCGTCGAGGGGTTCTTTGTACATGCTTATTACTATTTCCACGGGGATTGGGGGAACGTAGTTTCGATCGAGGGCGACGGGCATGCGTGGCTCTGGTCGTTCTGTGAAATTCAGAATGCCATATGCGATCCATAGAGAGGCGATGCTGATGCCGAGGAGATGCTTCAAAAGTGGCTTGGTCGGTAAGCTTAAAGACACTGAAGACGATCTCATGCGCCCATATGTGTTGTATGCGAACCGGGTATTGGGCAGTCGAGCAGGGGGCACACGAGACCACGCCCAGCTGCCAATGCACGTTATGGCAAGCCAAAAGCAGCAAAACTGGTATATGTTCGCGTATGAGCGGCGGGTCAGGAGCGTCGAATAGCATCCTGTAATGCCAGCGAAAACAGCAAGAGTAAAAGCGTCATAGATTTGATATACTGGGGCATCAATAGCATGGAGAAACGTGCTGGCTACTTCGTCATCGACAGGCAGCACCATTGACTTTCCCAGCTTCATCGCCATGGCGGTAGACACGGCGTTGACGCTGAGGAGCAGCCCGTTTCCGGCTCCAAAGGCGAAAATGTGGCCGTTCATACCAAAGATTACTGCCGACAGTGCGCCTACTAGCGCTCCTGCGATGACATGCAAGCTCGCCAGATTCACATTGTTGGCAAGGACGTCTGGTTGATGCATAACGGCAGTCTTCCAGAGGCCCCGTGCCACTCCCGCAAACACCATGGCCAAGATGCCCGTTACCAGGCCGGGCACAGTGATCCGATATTCTGTCAACAAAAGACCAACGCTCGCTAGCAAGAGTACACACGTGGGAACCATGTCTGCATACGTGACAGAAACCGAGCGGAGAGCACGACGCACCACGTCTTCAGCAAACAAGGCTATGGGCTACTTTGGCGTCAGTCATTTTTTGCTGGTGGGGACCAATTCGTCCAGGTGTATGTGTGTGTGAAGTCTTACTGTAATCATGGCCAAGACGGGGAGATTATAAAAATGCAAGATGGCCTGCAGCAGACACATGGTGGACAGATACATGAAGCACACGGAGGCAGTGATGAGCGTCGTTCCCCTGTTCCTCGACCTCCACGGCCGCAGCTTTCGACGAAACGGCCGCTGGATGATTCCCCAGCCAAAAAACGGTCGCAGGGCCAGTAAGCTCGTGACAGCTAGCTGGTTAAAGTAGAGGCGCTGCGGATAGTGCATGTTGCGCTCTACGAGCAAGTGTCGTGTGCTGAGTAGCGATGCACTGACGCAGACCATCCACATCAGATGGCGCTGGATACGAGCAGTGCCATGTGCGGGATTGAGGCGCCCACTCATCGACTCGGCGCGAACCTTCCTTACGTACGCATCTGGTATCATGGCCATCTGGACAAGAGGCACAGGCGCCGGCCAACGGAGAGGGGGTGGTGGCTACGACGAAGCAACGATTGCGACCGTCGTGTCGAAGTCATCCAAGATTTGGGATTGAGCGTCGTCTTTGCTTGTTCAGCGCATCGGCCCAGCGCGTAGTCGGTGTAGCCGGATTGGCGTGGAGACGCGCGATGCGATGGCAATGTGGAGGCGACGACGGCGTGGATTGGGCGTGAGGGTACATTTGTCTTCATCTTGTCTCCAACGCTGGACGCGTGCGTTTTCTGCATGGCTCAACTCAATCTGGCAAACTGGGCTGCCCCACTTGCACTTGTGCTTTGAGCCGTGCACGCCCCGCCAACGTCAGACAGTACATACTTTACGGGACTTGGCTATGCAACACCTATGTGCAAGCCTTTTGAGTAGAATGATTGCGGAAAGCTAGGACTTGGAATGAGGGACAGAAAACTATTCCCTTTCTGGATTAAACAAAACACTACCGCTATGCAAAAAACAACATGCCTGCATGCCTTTTCCCCCTTAAACACCTTGCACCTTGCGGTAACTAGGTGGCTTCAACGTCCTTCTCAGCAGCTTGACTGCATATGGTGGTAACAAACTGATTGCTGCAATGACCGCAAATCTCCACCAAAACGCCATGCTGCCCACGTACGCGAGATCAAAATACTCGTCCAGAAACGGCACAGAGCCAAAGTAGATACCTGCTGTTCCCACAATGCTCGCAATCATGATCCAATGCCACGTTGTGACTTCCATGGCCACCATGATCAATTCATTGACAATAAGCACCGAGAAGGAAACAGACACCATCTTAAGAAATGTCGGATCCGCAGTCTCGCCTGCGTCTGTCGCGTGTCCCACACCAATAAGAAGCTGGCTGCACCCCTGAATAATGGAGCCTTGGTAGATGGACACAGCGACCCAGATGAAGAACGACTTGTACGATAGCGACCGGCCTGTCTTGAGTTCGGCATACAACTCGGGATACAGATTCGCGACGCTCTCGTCCACATCGCGGTCCAGGACAAGGGAAAAGACCGGCATCATTGTGTAGATGGTCGAATAGCCGACCAAGAGCCAGTCCTTGTACAAAGCATTGGGCTCAAAACTGCTGGCAATCGAAAAGACCGTTTGGCAGATGGAAATGATCAGCCCGCGATGAATGACAAACTGAGAGAGTTTGGCAGAGCGTTTGTATGAGTTGCGGCCGTGCCAGACGAGCAGTTTGACAAGGTAACAGAATTGTTCAATCGAAAAGTCGGCAGCGAGGGAGGCCTGGCGACCTTCTTTGCCCACAATACCAACACCAACGTCGGCAGCTTGGATCATGGATACGTCGTTGCCGCCGTCGCCGATGCAGCATACCCGCTTCTTGGTGAACTCCCGAATCAGGCGCGCGACGTCTGCTTTCTGTGTGGGAGAGCATCGGCATGCGACAACAGTGGGAAGTTGTACAGCAACGCTTATGAATTCCTGGCGAAAATGCTGCAGAAAGAGCGCAAGCGATTCGCCGTCAATAAGCAGACAGGAATCGAGCTTCCCACGGAGAAAGTCGAGAGACGAGGATGCAAGGTCTTTGCGTTTCAGCTTGGCAATTGTGTGCACGTATTGCCCACGTGCTACCAGTTTAGAGCTGACGGCTACGCAACGCGCCGTCTCGACCTTGTCACCAGTCAACATCCAGATCTTGATACCCGCGTTGCGAAGGAGCTCGAGAGAAGGCTTGACATCCTTTTGTAGTTTGTCCTCGACACCTGTGACGCCAAGGAGTTCTAGGTCATGCTCGAGGTATTCTTTAACAACACCAGCAACGGAAGCGTCACGGTTGCTGAGGGCAAGAGAGGCCTGCGCGTACTTGGTGGTGAACTCCTGGTATGTTTGAGACGATAGCCTTTTGCGGCCCACAACTAGAGTGCGGAGTCCCTCACGGGCCATGTTTGCCGTCTCTTCATCTAACCAGTCGTTGGCGGCGACAATCGACGTCATGACGGTATCTGCGCCTTTTTGGTAAAACCAAATCTCCCCATCCTCGTCAATCGGCGAAGATGCAGGTCCATGATAGAACTGCACGACAATACCCATGCGCTTGCCTTCCGATGTGAATGGAAAAACATTCAAGATGCGGACTTTGACGACTTGTTTTCCGCTATCACATGAAAGGAGAGTCATGGACTCGCGGTCTCGGGACAGGAGCTTTAAGCCAACGGCCTCGGTCCAACGTACAATGGCGATTTCGTCCGGAGATGATGCTTGGTAGGTAGTCACTTCTTCACCATTCTCTTCCTCTGTCGTTGGTGTTACATTATGGCAGAGCGCTAGCGCCAGCACAACGTCGCGCACTCGTGACCCAATTTCCCTGCGGGTACGTGTGGCAGAAGTAAGAGGCGCAATGTAAGCGGATGACGGTGTGACGAGTGAGGGGGTTTCTCCAGCGGGCGGTGTGAAACACTGGCGCACATACGAGGATACCTCGTCCATGGCCTCGTTTGCATAAGAGACGGTGCCTACATGAATCTTTTTCATAATCATCTCTGTAGTCTGTTAGTCGTGTCATATTATAGGGGCCTGGATGCTGTACCGTTTTGTGTCAGCGTTCCTGTTTTATCGCTCAATAGATATTCTATCCGACCCAAATCTTCAGGAATGGTACTAGTGCGGACAATCGTTCCTTTGATGCTTTCGTCGTGATGGATAAACCATGCATACACTGACTTTCCCATGTCAAGATTGACACGCAAACCCACAGGGACAATGGTCGAGAACAGAATGAGAAATCGTAGCATAGAAGCCCACCATTGCCGACCTTGGATTTCTTGAAACCGTGCGAGCGCTACGAGGATGAAGGACAGCGAGAGAGTAAAGATGCATAGCCATTTGGTGAGCGAGTTGATCTCCAGTTCCAGTAGACCTGTTTTGGATCTTGAAGGCGAAGTCGAAAGCGCCTGGCGCGTCTGGGGCCCAGTATATACCACTACTGCAAGAAGACTGCAGCTCGACGCCACGACCGTGTTCGCCCAAATGGTGTTATCAATACTAAGAGGAGCTGACTGTGCCTCTTCAGATGAGGAAGGTTGCTCACTGTCGTGGGGATCGTAGTGCCGTTGGCTCTTGGGCAGAAGCTCCACAGTCCCATAAAATTCATTGACCTTTTTGTCTGGTTTACCAGCGACAACTCGAAGTCGCGTATATTCTCCAACATCCAGGTTCTGTGTCAGTGGAGAAGTAAGGCGTAATTTCCAATCAGTTTCACCATCCAGTTGATCGGTTCTGATAAAGGCTTCACCTGAAGACCCGCTCGTTGCGACGTTGTCGGCCTTTGCAGTATCCATAGGCTCCTCACTATCGATCAACGGGACCAATGGGCTTTGTGCATTTGCGCCAGCTGGGGTAGCAGCGCTAATATCGGTGGAATGGCTCTTCAGAAGCACCATGTCAGCAGGTACTCTTTGGTCCTTTCCAAGTTTGACCACATCGCCGACTTTGAGGCTCCTAGAAGGTTTTGTAACCTCCCAGTAAGTGCAGGTTGCCAGTCCCTTGCCTGAGAGCCGCTGTTCCTCATCTTCAATCTCTGAAAAGCGGCCTTCATTCCTGTTCTGTTTCTTCAGACGCTTCTGCCTTTGCGAACTTCTGCCTGGGGCAACGCCAGTTCCTTTACTGTTCTCCTCAAACTTCAGTACTGTGTAGCCCTCGGAGTTAGCTTCTGCATCTCTTCGCCGTCGGGCGATATCATCCATGGCCTCTTTTCCCAAAGTTATGGTTATGACAAAGGCTAGTGGGGCGACGTAGGTCGAAAGGTAGCCAATTCGCAATACGGGTATGACTTGCGACAGCGCAATCAGCAAGAAATACATGTTGATAAAGAAGGAGAACTCGTTGTACAAAGTACGTGGAAGAAAACTCCAGGGTGTGTACTTTGCATTCGAAACCGCATTTGCCGGGAACCTTGAAGTTTGAAGCTGGCCGACAGAAATGGTCCGCTGCGTGGTTGGATCATGCTCCTCTTCCGCATCTTCCTCGCCATCCTCATCGAGTTTTATAGCAGCGCTGCTATGTCGCGAAAGGAAGCTCGGTATTCGCATGCTCGACCCTAATCTTGACATGGTACTTTTTGGCGGTTGGTGTCTTTGGGCAGTCCGCTGCGCTGGTAGTAAGGGTGAGTCGTCCTCCCCAGACTGACCATAGCTACCAGCCGAGTCCCTCTTTGGCCCTTCATCGTCGTCTAATAGGCCCCTCAAGTCGTCCTCTTCAGCCTCCTGCTTCTTCTTACTTGCTCGTAGTCTGCCTACTCTCAAGTTCCTCAGCGGTATCCTTGCGCCTAGCTCATGGTATGGCCTCCTCTTGTCTTTGGAATTACGTGGCGGCGGCGTGGCGGCTGCCTGTGAGCGAGATGCCAGAGGGTCCAACTCCTCCAAGTCTAGTTCAAGGTCAGAGTCCTCGTCTGGCGCATTCGGTTGGTGGTACTGGTGTGGAGCAGCCATGGCTCATGGGAGGGCGACAATGGCGCAATGGCGTATGAGAGGAAGATGTGTTCTCTAGCAACCTCATGCGCAGTCGGTCTGGGGGAGGGGAGTGGTTATGGCTATGGTGGCTGCCTTCGGGGGTCCGCGGTGTTTCGGGGGTGTCTGGATATGACGCCCAGGCGTTCAGACTTCTTGTTTCGGGCGCGGACGAATGTTTCGACGATGGTGATAGAGTATGGTGGTTGGTCGTTACTTATAGGAGTATCCGGTGTGAGTTGTATGGTATGGTAATTGTGAATAGTGTCGTGCATGCATCTGGCACGAGGCGCGGCACGATAGAGCAAGTGTGGCGCAGGTACGTAGGGTGGCTTAAGGCCAGGGTTGCAGCGGCGGGCCGTTTCGAATGTCCAAAGGCGTGAACAGCTGTCCAGATTACTCTACATTACACTCGCACGCACATCGACTGAATCGCATGCAATGCGGCAGGAACTCGCCTCTAGTATTTGATCCTCACTTTCATTCTGGCCGAGAACTGTGTCCTTGATACTGTGCGGCACACCGACCTCGCGCTCTCCCGCTTCCATAGAGGTACGTCCCGCGAGCCTCTGACGTACTACAAAGGGATGATGATCACTCTGGCCTATGTACATTCCGCGACACACTCCCCGTCGCGACTTTTCTCCCGTGCCCTCGCTTCTAGCCTTGCCTGGCCCATTTCTTCCTTTTGTCAAGCTCCCTGTGTCCCTTTCTCGTCTTCTAGCAGGCGCATCTTCTCAATTGCATCTTCGGAACCCGACGTCTGCGCTCCACTGTCAAGACTCCGCATCCGAGTTACCAAAGACCAACTGTAGTACTGACAGCTGCTATAGCGCTTATAGATACCCCATTCATTACCTAGTAATTGCCTAATGGACGAAGACGCCCCCAACTTTTCTTATGCCTATGGTGGCGCGCCTTTGACCCCATCGTCCGCTTCGTGGAACCCTGCGCTGCGAAGCGAAAAGGAAGCCAGCGCACCAGCCAACGCGAAACCACCAGCACAGCCCAAGCCGGAATCTTTGTCTGAAGAAGAGGGAGAAGGAGAGGACGAGGAAGATGAAGAGGATGATGATGAGGAGGAGGAATCGGAGGAAGAAGACAGCGATGACGAAGATGAAGACAAAGCTCCGTCCCAACCCGCTGTAACCGCACCACTAGCGACTGCGCCTTCACCTTCAATCAAGCCTGCAACTGCTGAGAAACATTCGAATGATGGATTTACAGCTCGCGATATCGTTGCTCAGGCAGAGCAGAGCGCATCACAACCACCAGTCCAACAATCCCAGGAGGAATCCGGAGCAGGTGGGCCTGAGAAGGATCTCGTAAACGCAACGCAGGCGCTCAACATCGAGGAACAGACTGCCCCGGCAGAAACTGAAGTAAACAAAGATAAAGGGGAGGAGGAAGAGGAAGACAGTGAGGAAGAGAGCTCCGACGAAGAACCAAGTCCCGAAGCGCATCCGGAAGTGAATTACGAGCACCAAGGCGAAAGCACTGTTCTAGAGGACGCTGTGACTGAAAGTGTAAAGGCACCTCTGGTAGCAGATACCGAAGCGGATGAGTGGGGTACCTCTGGCGACGATGCCTTCGATCTTGATGGACAACCACAGGAATCCGCTTTGCCAATACCTGCGGTAGAAGCTGTTGGGACAACAGTAGGAGACGAGTCTATTGGAAACACAACTGTGGGTGGAAACGCAGGCGCAGACATCGACTGGGGTAACACAGAAGAAGAACAAGAGGACTTTTTTGGTACAATTGCGGGCCAACAAATTGAACCTGCGCAGTCTACAGATGAGACCCCTGGTGCGCATGTAGTACAGGCAGAAACGAAAGCCCCCGAGAAGAGCGAATGGGATTTGGACCTGGACTTGGACGATGATTTCTTGCCTGACAAGGAAGATGGACCGGTCATTGAATTGAGTGACGACGAAGGTTTTCTCGAAGATGAACCCCCTGCGGCAGCAGGACAGCCCACACAGTCACATCCGTCAGGCACTGCAAGCCGGTACGCGCCCCAATCTGCAACGCCAGCGGCAGTACCTGCTGCGAGCCCATATGCCCCCCAAGCACAGTCAAGCCCTGCGGCCACCCCGGCCTATGATGGCTTTGGGCGGAATTTGGCATACCAACAGCAGCAACAATCCCGACCTCCTCCAGTGAGTTCAGCGCAAAGTTTTGTTGATAAATCCAAAGGTGGTTATGCTTCGCCCTACGACCTACCAGAAGACATTGTCACCACCCGAAAGCGACCGGCTCCTCGTGCAACGGTCCCAGCCTTACAGCCTACTCCTCCACCTCCACGTAGTAGTAGTGTATCTTCTAATAGTGGACTTCCACGGCCACCTCCTCTTACATCGAGTATGTCGACGACTAGCCTGTCTCCACCATCCTCAGGCCACTCGATGCAGGCACAAATAAGCGGAATGCCAGCAGCAGCAGCTCCACCCAAACCTGCTGTAACATCAAAATCACCTTCGAGCGACTTCTTTGCTGAGCTACCTGTGACCTCCAAACCGCGGCCGTCGGGACGCTACACTCCGCAGCCGAATGTGCCTGTTCAACCTCCAGTACAACCACCACCTCCGCACATGCCACCCAAAGAGCGCACACCGTCATTGTCCTCTCTGAGGAACGAGTTTCTCCCCAATAATGCCAATATTGCTACGCCTCCTCCATTTAGGCAACCTGAACAGCTGCCCATGTTCCCAAGTCAACCATCGGTACCAGCGCGGACGAACAGTCTTCCTGTGCCTCAGCCCGCGCCCGCACCTCCCACGAATAGATACTCGCCCGCTCCACCGCCTTCAGCACCAGCAAGTAATGCACGGTATTCTCCTGCCCCGCCTGCTGCCGTACCTGTCGCAAATGCTCGTTACTCGCCTGCACCTCCATCCCAGGGACAACCTCATGCTCGATATGCATCTGAGCCGCATAACAACTTGACGCGAACGCCATCCCAACCTTTTGCGCCTCGCACATCTAGCCCGCTAGCTTTCCACAGCATGCCTCAACAGCATGGGCAAGAGTCTGAACCTCAGCCTCAAGCCCCGCCAACTCACCAGCTTTCTCAGTCAATCGATGGTACGCCACGTCCGCCAGTCAGGAGTCCATTAGGAGAGGTTACCGAGATTGGAGAACAAGATTCAACCCTGAGCTCGAGACCACCCACGTCTGGGAGATCCGAGACTCCGCCTCCACGCAGTACGCCTTCATCGAATGTGGGCTCTCCGCGCAAAAGGGACAACTATGTCCCCAGGTACCAGCCAGCGCAAACAGCCGCTCCACAACGCTCTCAGTCTCAGTCTCCAACAGCGACTATGAAGCAGCCTCTTCGTAACGTGAGTAGCTCAGAGCTAGGGGGATCCATGTTTGGCATAATACCACAAGCCATGACTTATGGGCCATCCCAATCTACTTCAAGCACAGTCAATGTCATACCCCGCCGTCTGCAGGCATCGGTCAACTACGACTTCATTGTACCTGAAGATGAGCGGGCAGCTGACCCACTTGAGAGGTGGAAGGGATATCCCATCTTCACATGGGGTCTGGGAGGTACTGTGGTAACGAGCTTCCCAAAGCAGATTCCTCGATACGGAGGCGGTGGTTCGGCGCCAATGATGAAGACCAACCCCGGTGAGATTCGTCTTCAGAGCATCAAGGAAGTCCTACCTCTGCCAGAAGATATCGCAAAGTTCCCTGGGCCGCTCAAGGCAAAGAGCAAGAAGAAGGACGTACTGGCATGGCTTGGTCGCAAGATTGAAGTGTTAGATGCTCAGTCCAAAGAGCCTGCACTCGAGCATTCTATGAGTGAAGACGACATCAAGCGCCTCGGAGACAGAGTACTTCTATGGAAGCTCATGCAGATTCTTGTTGAGCATGATGGTCGACTAGAAGGTGCACCTGCGGAGGTCGCTATCAAGAAGATATTCTCCCCTGTTAAAGAAGAAGTCCCAGATGCCGATGGCTCCTATTCAACCGGAGTGGATATAGTTGGGCGCTCAAGATCCAATACCTCAACTATCCAAGCAGAACCTTCCGACCCACGGACCCTCGAAAACTTGCAAAATATGCTTATTCAAGGTGACCGCGAAAAGGCAGTCTGGCACGCTGTTGACCAGCGACTATGGGGTCATGCTATGTTGTTATCTTCGACTGGCAACAAGGACACATGGAAACGGGTTGTTCAAGAATTTGTCCGGAAAGAAGTCAAAAATGTCGGGCGCAATAACCAGGCATTGGCCGTGTTGTATGAAGTCTTTGCTGGTAACCATGAGGAAGCCATTGACGAATTGGTACCGGCGTCAGCTCGTGCCGGCTTTCAGATGATAAGTGCAGATGGGGCCGGAGCTACACAAAATGCACTCCAGGGCCTGGACAAGTGGCGTGAGACGATTGCGCTGATTTTGAATAACCGCAGCGAGGGTGATGCATCAGCCCTATTGTCTCTTGGAAGATTGCTTGCTCAGTATGGCCGAGTCGAAGCTGCGCACATTTGCTTCATCTTTGCCCGCTCAGTGATCAAGATTGGTGGCATCGACGATGTCCAGGCCGATCTTGTGCTCATTGGCGCTGACCACCGCCAGTACCCTCTAGAAACAGGCATTGAGCTTGAGCCGATACTTCTGACCGAAGTGTTCGAGTTCGCCATGTCGTTGTCATCACCAAGTGTTCCGTATGTGCTACCGCACCTACAACACTTCAAACTAGCACACGCATATCAGCTGGCGGAAAATGGTTACAAGACGGATGCACAGGCATACTGCGACTCTATTGCGGCGATTATGAAGGCAACAACGCAGATTTCTCCATACTACAGCCCAGCCTTTATCACTACCCTAGACGACTTGAGCCAGCGCCTATCCCAAGCCCCTAAGGATGGTTCGTCTTCATGGATTTCCAAGCCTAGCATGGATAAGGTTGGAAGCTCTCTGCTCTCAAAATTCAACAGTTTCATTGCAGGCGACGACGAAGCCGATGGGGGGAGGCCGGCTGGTACAGAATCTGGACCTTTTGCTAACATTGCTGGAGGCAGCCCAGCCCTCACGCCATCGCAGTCGAACGCGGACCTATATGGCGCCATGTCCGGCTACGGCATACCTGCACAACCAGCAGCACCAGCCAACTCGAGGTACGCCCCGTCAAATGCATATGCGCCAAGGTCATCTTCGGAGCAACAGCGATCTCGTTACGAGCCTCAGGGCCGACCATCGATGGAGTCAAACGACAGCTTTGGCATGCGAGCCGCGTCAGACTCGTACACTCCTATGACTCCAACCTCAGGCATATTGAGCCCTACGCAAAACCAGTTGAGCCCACCAAGCGCACGTACACAAGCCAAGGTTCAATCTTATTCCCCACTGCGTCAGGATTTCAGCCCTCGTCAGGCCTCGTACAATAGTCCTTACATGCCTATGTCTTCTGTCGAAGGGTTGGCTGCCTCTCCTGCCTTTGGCGGGTACCAGCCTCAAGCGAGCTTCGACGAGCCCGCCCAACCCGCGACGGACGAGCAGGGGCAGGGATCATCTAACACGTATGAGCCTCCGTCATACCAGCCGTACAACCCGGATGAGGACGACAAGGAGGAAGAGGAGCAACCCAAGAAGAAGAAATCTTTCATGGACGATGACGACGACGATGACCTGGCTGCTCGTGCCTCTGCATTGAAAATCAGCGGTGGCAGTAGCTCCAAGTCCGAGGCAGACAGGAAAGCAGACGAGGCCTTCCGCAAAGCTGCGGAGGAAGACGCAAAACGCGACAAGGAGGCAGCAGCGGCGAAGAAGGGAGGGTGGCTTTCTGGGTGGTTCAAGAAGGACCCGAACGCTGGGCCTGGACCTATCAAAGCGAAGCTTGGAGAAGAGAGCAGCTTCGTCTACGACACCGATCTCGGAAAGTGGGTCAACAAGAAGGCGGGTGCAACAGATACGGCCAAGCCCGCTGCCACACCTCCGCCTCCACGGTCTGGCCCGCCTGGGGCAGCTCGGAGCGCTTCAGGAAGCGCTGCTCCCGCACCTCCATCGTCTGCTGGGCCTCCGGCTGCAGGTGCATTGCGTCCACCGGTATCGAACCTGCGGTCGTCGTCATTGCCACCACCGCTGCACAGTGCTGGCTCTCGTGCATCGACGCCGGGCATTGCTGAGTCGGATGAAGAAGGTCTTGCCGGGCCCAAACCACCTATGCTAGCACGACCCAGCTTTGGTGCTGCGTCAGGACCGCCATCACGGCCTGGTACAGGCATGAGTAACGCTAGTAGTATTGACGATTTGCTGGGAGCGCCTCAAGCGAGGAAGGGACCAGCAGCAGGAAAGAAGAAGAAGGGCGGCCGTTATGTGGATGTCATGGCCAAGTAGAGAGATCAGGGGAGACGAGCGAGGTAGATTTCACGGTTTTACGAGAGGCATGTGTATGGGTGCAAGGATTGTGTGAATGGGTCGGGTAAGTAGAGAGGTGACGCATGGGTCGGTACCTGCATTAGACGGGCGCCAGCATCCCGGGTCGTGGGTGTATGTACAATAACGAGTTATTTTTTGCTGTTATCTTGGCTTTGTGCGTTTTTGGCGATGGAATGACACAGGGCATGCTGATAGCGGGTGGTGTTGGGTGCTTGACAAAAGATACGGAAAAGGCCCGTCGCATGACTTGGCACAGACTGGGGCGATAGGCGGCGCAAAAAAGATGGGGTGGGTGCACCGACAGCGGAGATGACGCACGACAACCGCCTAGCCCTTCTGATTCCCGACTACGACTTGACGGCAATCTTTACGTTTCCGGGCCCTGGTTGGCTTTGGCAGCGTCTTATCTCTGGTGCTTGATGCCCTCCAGCACGCCGCCTTGATGTTCCTTCGTATGCATCCTGATCCTCGTAAGGGCGGGCCCGCCCTGCTTGCACGTGTGGAGCAACGACGATTGCAGCGTCGCATCCCAAGCCACTGACTAATAAGTAGTCTTCGGAACATGTCGACCTGAAGACCCGATTCAGAACTAGCCCGGCATCACGCCGTTTATCTCCCACCCTGGCTGCGGGGAGCACTTGCGGGCCTTTTCGCACGCGACAACATTCCGCATCCTTATACATACCTGCACCCATATCTGCGGTCCTGTCCTTTGTTCAAACGTCGTTGGCGACCTTGGCAGCCGTCGCATTTCGTCGCATTCCATCCCATCACAGCACCGCGCACAGGCGCTCATCACGAGCTTCAATTGGACTTCACCGCAGCGAGCCACCACCATGACCAAGAGAAGCCTCTCCATCACCCAGGGCGAGGGAGATGGCGTCCGTCGCCGGTCTGTCAACGACCCAGGCGCCGACGCTGCCCTCGCGAAGATGGGCTACCAGTCCGAACTCCCACGAAATCTGTCCATGTTGAGCGTCCTCGGCATGTCCTTTGCCATCATGGCCGTTCCTTTCGGTCTCAGCACTACCATGTACATTACGCTCACCGACGGTCAGTCAGTGACTATTCTCTGGGGTTGGGTCCTCGTCTCGCTCATCTCCCTATGTATCGCCGCTTCCCTTGCCGAAATCTGTGCCGTCTACCCGACAGCTGGTGGAGTCTACTACTGGTCTGCCATGCTGTCGACGCGCGAATGGGCGCCCATTGCCTCGTGGGTAACTGGCTGGCTGACCCTGGTCGGAAACTGGACTGTCACACTCTCCATCAACTTCTCTGGCGGTCAACTCATTCTGTCTGCCATTACGCTCTGGGACGAAGACTTTGTGCCGAATCAGTGGCAGACGGTTCTCATGTTCTGGGCGGTGATGCTCATCTGCATGGCTATTAACATCTTTGGCGCAAAGCATTTGGACATCATCAACAAGATCTGCATTTACTGGACGGCTGCCAGCGTCGTCATCATCTTGGTTGTCCTGCTAAGCATGGCTGACGTCAAAAGAGACGCTGACTTTGTTTTTACGCACTATGACGCTAGCCAAAGCGGATGGTAAGTGCTTATTTGCATCCTGCATATTGCCCTAGTCGCACACTAATTCACATGATTTAGGCCATCGGGATGGGCATTTTTTGTCGGTCTTCTACAAGCAGCGTATACGCTCACTGGCTATGGCATGGTCGCGGCCATGTGTGAGGAAGTGTCGAATCCATCGCGCGAAGTCCCTAAAGCCATTGTTCTCTCGGTTGCCGCTGCAGGTGTTACGGGTGTCATTTACTTGATTCCCATTCTCTTCGTCTTGCCCGATGTGCAGATGCTCCTTGACGTCGCCAACGGACAGCCAATCGGTCTCCTTTTCAAGACCGTCACGGGTAGCGCTGGTGGAGGCTTTGGTCTTCTCTTCCTCATTCTTGGCATTCTTTTGTTTGCCGGCACTGGAGCGCTGACTGCTGCATCGCGCTGTACATATGCCTTTGCTCGTGATGGCGCAATTCCTGGTTCGCGTCTTTGGGCCAGGGTCGATAAGCGTTTTGACATTCCTCTCATGGCGCTCGTCCTCTCCACTGTTGTGGATTGTCTTTTGGGTCTCATCTACTTTGGCTCGTCTGCTGCTTTCAACTCCTTTACTGGTGTTGCTACCATTTGTCTGAGCACGTCATACGGCATGCCCATTCTCATCTCGGTTATTCGCGGCCGGAAGGCAGTCCGCAACTCGTCGTTCTCCCTCGGCCGCTTCGGTTACGCGATCAACGTTGCCATGATTGCCTGGATTTGCCTGGCTGTCGTACTGTTCTGTATGCCAGTGAGTCTTCCCGTGGAGGCATCGACGATGAATTACGCAAGCGTTGTCTTTGCTGGCTTCGCGGCAATCAGCGTGGTATGGTACTTCATTCGAGGGCGGAAGGAATTCTCGGGTCCACCGGTCCCCAACGATGTGGAGCCTGGTGAGGAGGGCGTGGTCGCAGGGCTAGCAGTGCAGGACAGCAGACAAGATGTTGAGGGTATGGGAGAAAAGGCTGTGGATTACGACAATGCGAAGAAGGGCTTTTAAGTGGTGCATCGGCTTCGCGTTTTTGGATGAATACCCATGGCTAAGGCTTGCGTAGATCTGTCTGATGTAGTCGTATGTGTATGCACTACTTACATGTTAGTGCTGATGCACAAATAATGCTTATTCCAGCCATCCATTTCAAATTGCTGAAACAACCCAAGAGACTTCATTGATGCATGATTAGCCGTGAAAGGTTCGCCACAGGAGGCTTTAGCCTCAGTAGTAAGGGCCCGCCGCTAAAGCCGGCGCTAGTGCATGCGGGGAGATACGCGTTGCGCGGTTCCATAGTGTCGCGCCTCGCACACTCCTTCACATTCATTCTCACACTCACTCCCACTTTCATGGACTTGCTGCCCTTTGCTAGTACGTCTTATTGCGATGAGGTAAGCAGATCTTTTTCAGGAGATGCTCCGTCACAAACACTCCATTGCACTTGACACGCCTTTGGACACGAGCAAACCTAACATGCGCAGCGATTGGCAACATACAGTGATTGATCTCACCCATGACACCGATGAGGAATACAATGCCAGACGCCGTCAGTCTTTGCCTATAGGGGCAGATTACTCTGCGAGGCACAATGTATCTTTACCTCCCGTCCCAGGACTAAACACTCAAGTTCCTGCACCGAAATCGACAAACGTATACTATCCACCTCCTCCCGGAAGCAGACCACAATACGTGCAGGTCCCCTCCACAAATCCTACAGTGCAGCAACAGGCACAGACACTACACGAGAACATGCGACCGACAGTCGCGAGGCCGACAAGTGCGATTACTATGTCGCAAAGCAATGGTGTACTGGTATCCACACAAAAACATAATGCGTACATCTACGATGCGCCGTTTGAAGCCGACAGGGTAGCCAAGAGGGCTAAGATAGACTCTACGGGCCCGCCGTCTTTTACATCGAACAGAGTACTTCCTGCCCAACAAACAAGTCTGCCCCCGTTACATGCACCGCAAAACGCAAATTATCTCGGTGCCCCTTTGGGGTTGTCATGGAAGGAAGACAAGGATGGTTCCACAGCTAACATTTTAACTTCGGACGTGGCCGGATCACAGCAACCTACAGGCAATGCTTTGGTCAATCACCAATCAGTCTTAGCATCCGACAATTTCCGCCCGACTGCACCCACAGCCGAGTCGACAATGCCGGCCATGGACCTTTTCACGACTCGCGCAAAACGTCGCAAGACGGTTCACAAACCATTCGATACAGCTCAAGACCACTTGCTAATGTTCCTAAAGGAAGTCAAACAATACAAGTGGTCGGAGATTACTGCAGAATACAACAAGGATATGCCGTACCGGGAGTATACCACGCTCCAGAGTCGCTATTCCACAGTCTTGAACAAGAGGGATCGTTCCCAAGATCCACCGACCCTTGTCTTACCCCCACGCTTTGCCGCAGAGGCGAACATAGACTGGTCGCGAATTCATGGAAACAGATTTGTCGCACCCAAAACCCAATCAGTGCAACAGACGATTGAACACGACTATTCTTCTGGTGGTGATTCTGCGCTCTCTCGGGAACGGCCACGCCGCGCGCAACGCATTAATTATACATGGCCAAAACAGCGCATCAGGGCCGGAGAAGTGTTTGCTGACGATCATACCGACGAGCATGCTGACGAGCACGTGTTTGGGGAGATGTTCAATGACACCTTACCTACACGGCCTGAGACCCCGGAAGATGATTCGCCTCCACCTGATACAGCCTTTGCTGTCGATAATGACCCGGTAGAAGTTGAATTTAATGCTGGAGACGCGAAATTGGCGATGGAGCTGTATAAGAAATCTCGTGATGCTCCAACAAGATCGGTGCCATACCTGAGCATATCAGAGCGTGAGATAATGCAGAACCCTCCTGGATTCTGTTGGGATCAGCTGTCGAGTCGCAAATGGCAGGGCTCGTTACTTCATGTGGATTTTAGCCCAGCTGAAATCAAGATTGTGAAAAAGACCATTGTCTCAATCAAAAAGCCCTTGCAATTGAGACACAGCACAGAGCGAAGACAACTTCGAGAACTCTTCAAGGATTTCTCCGAGCCCAAGATTCTCAAACTAGTGGAAGCTCTGCGACGGCGTCTCCCTTGCCGAGATAGAAGCAGCATCGAAGCGTTTGTGAAAGATGCACAGGATGGACAAATCCCTGAGGTTTCGCACGTCCAAAGACTTGCAGCTGCTCGGCCCGATGTCTCTATGAGCTCGACACAAAAACCGTCTACGACATCAATCATACGTCAGCGCGAATTAGGATGCCAGTCAAGGAGGGGGTGGCAAGCTGCTACAAAGCCTCTTACGTACCAAGTAAAGAATCAAATCATGGACACAATCGGCCCATCGGCGTTCTGGACAGGTGCCTCCAGCGACATACACACTGTGGCATGGGCTCCAGATGGTCAGCGATTCGCAGCAGGCGCAGTCGCTGTAGACGACCCCGATTCCATGCAATACAATAGACCTAACAATCTGCTTTACGGCAACATGATCCATGGCTCAATACATGAGCTGGCCGAACACTACAGGAAGCGCGAAAGAACTGAGGCTGGTGCTAACTCGAGCCATGCCATGTTTGCATCGCAAGACCCAAAGCTGTACTCTACAGTCAGCTCTGTGGCCTTCTCAACCAGCGGCAGATATTTGTACTCTGCAGGTTACGATAGCCACATTGGCATATGGTATACTGAAGGCGACGTTGTACAACCGATCCTGGGTGCAAAGCTGAATGTCAAGGATCCGATCGACATCCTCTCGGTCAATCACTCTAATGCTGGAGTCCTAGCGACTGCAGCTCGTGTCGCTCGAAGGTCAATACGCGTGCTTCGAATAAACGAAGAGGATCCTTCCAAGTTTGACAAGTTCAGTTATGAGTCCATTAGAGCCAACGAAAGACCTGACCTAAAGATTCTGCCTACCGCGATACAATTCGAGCCCAAATACGGTGGCCTCCTTCTGGCTGGATTTGGTGCTAATCTGAAAGAGACTGGTTTTGACACTACTGGAGATCTTTGCTTATGGGACATTCAAGCCGGAAGCGCACTCCCTGTCCATGGATCGAGCAAAAACGTCTTTGACGTTGCATTCAACCCCAATCGTTCATGGATGCCGTACTTTGCGGCTGGTTGCGTGGCTGGAGGTGGCAAAGCTAACGGAGGAATGCGCTCGTGTATCAGATTGTACGACATCAATAATCTCAACAAGTTCACCTCTCCTATAGTATTCGACTGCAAGTCCTTGGACATCAATGACGTTGTTTGGTGCCCACATGACGAGCATCTTATCGCTGCTGGGTGCACAGATGGCCGAGTCTACGTCTGGGATGGCCGGTGGCCGGATGATCCTCTGCGCGTTGTTTCACACGGCCGGTCTTTGATGCCGTTACAGGAAGGAGTCAAACATGAAGTCACTGATACCGGTGTGAGATTCTTATCCTGGGGCGAGAATGCTACAAGACTATACTCTGGATCGTCCGATGGCGTCGTCAAGATATGGGACGTCACAAGAGCCAAGGAGGACACATTCATCAAGGATGTCATTACCACAAACTCGGGTATCATGTCGGGCGCATTCAATGCAGACTACAGCAAGCTCATAATTGGTGAAGTCAACGGCTCAGCCAATGTGCTTGAGGTGGGCAGAGATGATGTCTCGCTCAAGGACACAGAGAAGCTTCGCTATTTTTCTTACCAAGACCACGAGACTGGCGAAATGACAGGGCCAGTACCTGAATCAGGCATCGACGAGGCCCGCCATCTACTCGGCACCGGCCAAATGCAGCTCGCGCCCATGGGCGGCTTTCCAATCCGACAGGCAGTTCAAGGACCGCAATATATGGGCCCATTCGACCAGAGCACCGATGCACCGTTTCTGCGTCAACAAGCCCAGGAGCTTCAACTCGACTTTGCAACAGAATCTGGTCCGCAATGCGAGATCGCAGCCTGCGGAGAAAATCTCAACAAGACGACTAGAGAGGATGTGGGCGATTCAGGAAGAAGTGAAGACCGTGTGCCCGATGAACTACGTCTGCAATGGAAGACTGTTGATGCCACACACATTATACCTGGCAAATCACGATGCGCACACTGCGGACGGCCAGCTCGGCCGACTAGCGAGTCCACTTCCGATATCCTCTGTGAGCGCTGCTCCTTTGCCTGTTTCCGCTGTAATGCAGTCAATGCTGTCGACCCCGCCACTACAACGCTGGTGTGCAGTGCTTGCGCTGGCGTCTGGGATATTGGTGTACTGGGTTACGAGTGTGTCCAGCAGCCTGCCTCCAAGGGTGAAGCCCTTAACGTGCCTAGTTTAAAGAAATGGGGCAAGGAAGTAGAGGTTGAGAGACTTGAGGCTTTTGACACGGATTTTGGAGATGAAATGAATGCGTTGACGGAGTATTACTATTCGTTGGCGATTGATGGACCAGAGAATTCACTGCTTTGAAGGACTGTTTCAAGTCAAGGGCAGTTTGAGGGAAAATTTTGCTTGGTGATGTATGGGACTGTATGATCATGACTTGGCGGGGTTGATATATATTCAGCTTGTATATCTAATGAAATTGCAGCGGCATAGCTTTGTTGTTGCTTCGTGGGTTTGTATCTCGCATGCACTGGTTCACTTTGACGAGAGATAGGAATTAATGATACTCCCTTTTGCTCACCTTTTCCCCCAAGTTGAAAAATGCGAAATGGATAGCTCAAGGTGTCGAGCTCAAACTCCGTCATCAAATTCGTAATCCTTGTCCCATCGCTTTTGTCACGTTATCGACATGTATGTTAAGATGTGACGAACGGCACTTACCTTGTCCCAAGGCTTGCTTGCATTTACGAAGCGCAAATCCGTACCCACTCGAATGATGTCGTTGGAATCGTAATTCATCGTTGAAGCGTGGATCTGCGAACCATTAGTTGTTCCGATCCAGCATGTATGCCTGATTAGGCAAGTAGACTTACAGTATAGGGCGTATGCAACACCACATCCCCCGCCTCATAATCCGTAACCAGCCACCTCCTTCCAAAGGTCTCCGAGTACTCTTTCGGCCCATCAGCAAGCAAGCCATTGGACATCATATTCTTATTAAACGCATTCTTGGTCTCCTCCTCGGTCAACCCTGATTCCCGTGCCCGGCGCGTAAACTCCTCTTCAATCTCCCTCCCAAGATGATGTCCTACCACTCGTCAGCCTCACATCGACGACCGCTACCAGCATGTCCATGGAAGGTGATATGGAAAGGATCAACATACCATTCTCAAGATAAATCAGCCCGCCCCCGGTCAAACTTATATCCCCCATCGGCACCCAAGCAGTAACACTCGTATCCTCGCCCTTTCTCAGAAAAATCTGATCGTAATGCACCCCAATCGCCTTATTGCCGGGGGTATTATTCCTCAGCAAACTGCGCTTCACACTCAGCGTATCGGGCCCCCACCCGGTCAACTCTGCGACAAAATCCCTCAGGGCAGGGTGTTTACAAAACTCGTCCTTGTACCAGGGCGCATAATGTGCCTGCAGCGCTAGATCGACGAAGAGGGAAGCGGTAGCGTCGGCGCCGGGCTTCCCGTTGTTGGGCGTGGCACCGGCGCCGATGCCCGGGTAGGACGAGGAGGGCTTGGAGGAGTCGAATTGGCCGAGGACGGGCGGCGTCGAGGGCTTGAGGACGCCGCTGGGGGCGAGCATGCGAAAGTAGGATTCTCGCGCGCGCAGCACGTCGGCGCGTGGGAGTAGGGCTTTGAGGAAGAGGTAGCCGTCTTCTTGGTAGCGGCGGCGCAGTTCGTCGAGGGGGAGGGTGGGGGACGACGGGCGCAGGCGGGAGACTTGGGTAGGGTGGAGGAGGCCGTCGTTTACGTAGAGGTGGTGGCCTTGGAGGGACGGGGGGATTGGGGTTGGGATGGGGGGACGGCGTGGGGCATTGTCGTGGTGACTTGATTGCTATTGTTGTATTGTTGCTATCTATCGGGGGGAGTTGAGCCACAGTTTAGGTTCTGAGCCCGTTTGTGCTCTGGTCTTGATATGTATATATGTATGTTGATGCATGTGTAGTGGTGTAGTGCACAGTAGAGGCGTAAGCATGGAGACCCTGTGCGGGGAAGCAGGCGTGTCTTCGGCGTCTATTGGCACGAAAGGTGGGGATTGTGGCGGGCAAAGTTGCTTGTTCTGGCCAAATGCACCATGTGGGTCGCCCCAGCATGCCCGTTTCCTGCGGCGAATTGTTCAGCTTTTCTGCCAGCAACGCAGCCCAGCTTGCTGGTAATTCTACTTGCTTTGCTACTACGACTGCTCCGCGGAGTCCAAACCCCCTTCACCGATTTTGTCCGTTTTTTACTAACCCGCAGAAGATGGTTGGATGCTGCATTGTTGCTGATATCGGCGCGTCCTTCTCATCTCGGAGCCTTGGAATGCAGCATCCTCGCGCGCATGTCCAGTCTTCGTAACTTTGCCCGCTCCTGTTCGATTACAGTCCCACTGCCACGCGCATACCGCGTGGCCCAGAGCAAATGCCATGGTACGAAGACCCTTGGGCCATGGTTTTTCCTTATTACCTGCTGTATACACCTGATTGATACTCTGCATCTAGTATTCGATGCCGCTCGCGTCACTATCGATGTAAGCTTTGAGCGCTGAGGCGGGTGGCTAAGCTCCGCGCTTCCTTCTCCACCCCCCGTTGGCTAATGATCCTGCGACAGGCGACGGGAAGCAGCCGAAATGCGGAAGATGCGAACATGCCAAAAAAGAATGCGTATACGAAAGTGGTAGACGCTTCCGTCGATCTTCCATATCAGATGCCTTCAGCTCCACCCAGCCCTGGGTTTCATTCCCACCCCGAAGTAGGAAAACACGACTGCCCATGGACTACGACGGCGTTTGGCTAATCGAATGCGCTGCAGTTCAATTTTTAGATGAATCGCCAGAGATTCGTTCGCACTACGTTCAGAACGGCGACTCGCCTTTTAGCGGATCTTCTGTTCTGTTCCAGTCACCTCGTCCTTCTTCGGCAAGTGGGCAGGACAATAGTAATCTGACTCCAAGCTCTGCTCTATTTACGCCCACAGAAGGATTGACGGTTCTATCGCTTTTGAATTCCGAGTCGCCAGTTCAGCGGAATACTTCTGCGCCATCTATGACCCCGGATCAGCCACCAAATACGAATGCTTATCAAAGGCACGACGATGCCAACGCTAGCGCCTTTGTTTATCAGCAGCCTCCTGGCGAGCCGGTCCTATGGCCATTGGAGCATGAGCAAGAGGCCATGCTGCTTCAGCACTATATTGAAAATGTTGCCTTGTTTGTGAGTCCTTGGCCACGAAGAATAAGATAGAATTTCCTGCTTACTACTGCTAGTTTGACATGATGGATTCTAGAAATCACTTTGGTATACACATTGTCCAGATGGCCAAAAAAAACAGTACACTAATGTGTGTAATCTCGTATAAGACCCACTCTCGTAAGAAACTGACTGCTGACTTAATGCAGGAATGCTATCCTTGCCTTGTCTGCACGCCAGCTTAGCCGGATTGCCGACTTTGATCCCTACATTGCAGATGCTTACTACCAGAGATGTTTTGACACTTTGATTCCTGCATTAAATGACAACTCAACCATCAAAGAGGAGCCACTGCTTGCAGCCACTGTTATTCTACGCCTATTAGAGGAGATGAACATATCGGTTGTGGGAAGTGACCCTCAAGGTCATCTTTTTGGTACTCAAGCGATTATTCGCGCCGCTGAACAGTCATATGCTGCTACATCTGGACCAGACTGGCGCCAAGCCATATACTGGGCTGCTTTTCGTCAGGAACTATGGATCTCACTAATGACCCAAAAGGCCTTCAAGTTACACATCTTTCCTGCAGACCGCTCACTCGAGCCCGCTACCGACTCGATGTGGGCGACACGGACCATTGCACATCTTGGCGACGTGAGCAACTTTGTCTTTGGGGAGGACAGAAACAGCATCGCTCGTTATAATCAGCTTATGGATGAGAACAAGGCATGGAATCAGTGCAGACCTGACAGCTTCGATCCATATTACTTTCGCCACAAAAACTCTTCGAGCGGAAACAACTTCCCAGATATCCGTCTACACCGAAAAGAGCACGTAATGGGCATGCAGTACAATCTCCTAGCTCATACACTACTGATTGTGCACGACCCTACGATACCACAGCTTGGGCCTGCGCACAAGGCTTCACGTGCCGTTGTGGATAAGGCTGTACAAGAGAATGTGCGCATAATGTGCGGTGTCGCTCAATCAAACCCAAAAGTGTTTCCCTGCATATTTGTCGCCTGTTATGCGATTGCACTAGGTACGTGCTTTACTTGGAACTTACTCACGCATGAATCTTTTCTTGTATTTGATTCTAGAACACTTTCTAATGTACATAGTTGGCGACCGATTCACCATACGAGAGGAGCAACAAAGCCTCCGTGATCTGTGGTATAGTTGTGAACAAACGCATGCTTTCCCTCCTACCGCGATGGTTGCACAGCTTGAAGAATCGTGGGGCTGGCATAACCGGTGAAAACAGAATAGTCTTCGAACAATATCAAATCGGGCTGGAATCCCTACCTTCATCGGCGGCCACACTTGGAATCCAATTCTGCCCGAAACCGCTTCTTGTAGGAGAATCAATGTATGCGTGCTTGTGAGAACATCTAGGAAATGAGTATGGGCGCAATACTCTCGAGATTGCAAAGAGCATGGCTCAAAAGAATGAGAGGGCCGGTGTATTCATCTGATTCCATCTTTGTCTTCCGCCTTGAGCCAGAAATACTGGCCATTCAGGCCCCGACTCGAACGCTGGTATATGATTTCTTGCTGGAGGGCTCTCTCGGTCGTGTGGCTCGAAAAGCGCCATCGGACGCCTGTCCTTGGACAACGTTGACATTTCTGTCACACTTGCTTGGTCCAATAGTTGCAGAATTTGATACGAGGTAGATCGCTGCCGGGGACTTGTCGCCAGGCACAGCTTGATCTTTGAACTGAGCCTGCCCGAGTAACTCTCTCCCGCCGGCCTTGACTTATCCCATATCTGACCACCAGGATTCATTCTGCTCTTCGGCGACCTGGTCCCCGTGCACAAGCACATCATTGTAACGCCCAGCTGCCAAACGTCCGACGCTCCCCCAAAGAACGGATACTCTGGTGCGTCGAACCCCGGCGTCCCCACCTGCTGCTTTATAGCAAGTTGTTCGCTCTGCGCCTGCGCAAGATGGTCTTCGGAAACCCCGCACCCAAAATCCGCCAGCTTCACCACTATCTGTCCCCCCTCTCTAGTCAACAGCACATTCCCCGGTTTAATATCCCGATGATAAATCCTACTCCATCCCAACTGGAAAATCTCATCATCGCTCCTCCCCGGCTCCGGTCCCCAGTGACAATACGTCAACGCACCACACAGCTGAAAAAACCAGCTCCACACCTTACGTTCGTGGACGTGTCTTCCTTTGGCGACCTGATACACAACCGCATCCAGACTCCCCAGATCGCAGTACTCGAGGTACACAGCCGCCCGTAGCGCTCCTTCATCGAGGAAATGATCCACCATGGTGACAATGTTCATGTGATCGCTTACTTGATGCAGCAGCTGTATCTCGCGATGAGCAACTCTGTACCTGAATTCTTGGGCACCAAAGCGCTTTTCGATGAAGACCATGCCTCGTGCCGAGGGGTTGCTGCACGTCACTTTTGCGATGCCCGCATTTAAACCGCCATTGAGCTTGCCCAGGTTTTTGACGAGCTGCCAGGATTGTCGGGGTTTCGAGCGGTATTGCACGTGGAGCCGCTTGCAGTGCTCGACCATGGTTTTTGGATGGCGGGCTCTTTGCGAGTTTATGTGTGTGTGTGTGTGGAGATTTGGGGATGATGGGTAGATGTGCGGAGTGCGCCTTTTAATGTGTGGTAGGGGAGGAGCTGGACGACCGGATCATATGGGGAGTTGTGTACTTCACAGGCGGGTTGTAGTCAATGGCTTGGTGCTGGCATCACATATCTTATTTCACACTTTTCTCATTCTCCTTCATGAATTTCAGTCACCCACTCACGCTTCTCTTTTTTTTTGTCCCCTCACTGTATGTTCATGGATTCTGATGCTCAGGATGCCTAATTAAGGGGGATACCTTCTAAGATGAGGGGTCGTGTAGATTTCTCCTCTGCTGGTTAAAAAAGTCCTACTACCTTTATTACGTGCCGATGCACATACCGACCACTTCTTGTATGCTTCAAAAAACGTTATAATCAAACTGAATGTTAATAGGCGTTAGTCCTGGTTTCAACCCTCCCAGGCGACATTAACCCCCCGCTACACTAAACTACTACCATGTTCAAGTGAGATAAAAGAGACAACGTTCACGATCAGAATTCTTCTGCAGTGTAAACGTCACCATGTGCATAACGATGGGTGAGAGATGATTGATCGTGTGTGTATTTTACTGGTACGACTGTATCTAAAGTGGCTAGATACAAAACCTCGCAAGGGAAATTTTAGTTGTTCTTGCCCATCGAGGAGAAAACAGATTTCCGGACAGCAACTTCGTCACTTCAACCTTGAAAACCCCTTCTTTTCCACGAGCCTTGAACATTGAAAGAAGGGAATTAGGGGGTTGGGATTCTTGAATGTTCTTTAACAATCATACACACACACACATAAATATATAGGTTTTTTTAGGGAGGGGAGGGGAAGGGAGTGTGAAATGGTCATGTGCTGAAGCTAACTCTCCACGCTGAAGATTGGTTGTGGGTGATCGAGCTTGGGGCGTCGTTCATCCAGAGGGATTGGTGGTCTGGGTTGTCTAGCAAGTGAGGCTCGAGGAGTCGTCAAACATACGATCTGGGGAGATGCGGCGGTCAGGGATGGCCTTGGTGTAGTCAATGGCAATGAAAGGAAACCTATAAATATTACTAGTAGACTTGGGGGCTATGCAAGTATACTCACGTGTTCTTCTACCAGACGTCATGGGTTGATAGAGCGCCTGCTGGATCCCACTATCGGAATTAGCGTCAGCCCATCTTAATTCATTGTTAATTAGTATTATTAGGCCGTTAGCTTACCTCTTTAGCATTATAAAATATGTAATAGACGGATGTGGTGGTAAGTAGAGAGAGTGGTTGTTAGAAGAAAGAGTTTCTTAAAGCTCGACGCGGAATGGGCCTTAGCTAATTACCTTTAATAGCTATATGTTATAGCATATTACGGGGTCGAGCTTGAGAGATTAAGGGGCGATCCGCAATGAAGCTGGTGGAGCAAAGCCGAAATTTAATGGCTGCGAGATGTGGAAGCGATGGGATGGTGAAGCCAAGTTTCTGAAGACGGGCGAGACGGCGAGACAATACCTTGAGTCATCATTGTGCACATGAGAATGGGTATCATCGAAATAGAGATTTGCGGGGGACTATGAAGACACTAGATAACCGGAAACAGTAGGAGGAGCCGTGGGAGGAGCTGGGCTCCTGGTCCGCCTTTGGCAGGCTGCTTCGATAGGCACTCCGATCGAGGGTATTTTAAACTGGTATCTCGCCAGGGGCGACACCAACGATAACAGGAGGAGCGGTAGTTGCGAGATGGAGAGGAAGCAGCTTAACTCTTGAAAGCTGCCTCGATGGCGATTCCGATACACAGTTGTGGAATTGAAAACAACCGGTAGTATCTGCTAGTTCTTTATTCCCCCCTCGCATCCCTGATAGAGCCTATAAAAATGAAAAAAATTAAAAAAGTATAGTCATGGTGAATCTCTTTGATGAGCTAACCTCCTGAGATCGGAAGGATCCCGGGTGCTATATCTAGCTATCATGATGCTATACAATGAAGCCCGACAACCAAGGGTGACAAGCACATTGCCTACATTCACTGGACTCGCCAACAGACTTCGTCAAGCTTTGGCCTCGTTCTGAAAAAAAAAACAAAGCTTGTATTGGATCATTACTCATGTAAATCCCTATTTGGAAAATATTCAGGTGTTCCACCAAATCAGTCGGTCTCATAGAATACATCCGGGACAACTATATCTGATGTTGTCGCTGATGTGGCCCGTGGCCGCGGGCGGGCGCGGGCCCGAGGGCGAGGCATAGGCGAAGAGGAATTGAATGTGGTCATTGGCGTAGTAGGGGCTGTACTGGGCGCGGGCGCGGGCCACAGGCGAGGAATTCATTGTGCTGGTTGGAGTTGTCGGCGCTGTGCTAGGAAACGACGACGGCGCGGGGGCGCCGGGGGGACGAAACGATGTGGGCGCGGGGGCACCGGGAGGGGCCTGGCAGACTGCACTGGGCAGGCAGCCCGCCAGAGGCGGACTGCCGCCGCGGGCACGCAGCCACGTGATGACCAAACTCTCTGCATCTAATATCTGTTAGTATAACTACAACAACAAACTGTACCAATGACCAGGGGGAAGGGTAGAGAAGTTGGAATGGAAATGATAGCAAGAGATTTGAGTATTTGACTTACAGGCGACACTGCCCTTTGGCAGGCTGGGAGTAGACGGGAGGGGGCACTGGGCAGGCAGACTGCCGCCGCGGGCATGCAGCGACATGGTGACTGAGTTCTCTACAACTAATATCTGTTAGTATAACTACAACACCAAGTTGCACTGGTAAGGGAAAGGGTAGAGGAGTTGGAATAGAAAATGATAGCAAGAGATTTGACTTACAGGCGGCATTGACCTTTCGCAGGCCGGTTTAGACGGACACGGCCGTCGCCGTCGAACAGTAGTGAGTGGGTTGAGGGGACAAGTGAGCTTGCCACCCATATTGTTGGGTGGGCTTGAAGAAGAAAAGAAAAGAAAGCAAAGCTGGGGGAGAGAGGCCTTTTATCCTCGCAATTGGCGGTCACGTTACCGCAGTCACGTCGCTATTCTGCCAGGCCTCTTGCCTCAAACACTACACCGCACCTTCTCGAGCCTGCCCAATATGCCCAACAAACGTCACACCGCCGGTTAATCAATGTTTCTGGCAGATTCTAGCCAGCACTGAATGACGTGTCGAGAAAATCTCACAGAGCCTGCTTCAAGAGTACTGGTAGAGCGTTTGCTTACTAGTTGTCCCCTCCATCACACGCCACTCCCCCAGGGTTCGGAAGGAACCCCCCACCGTGATACGGCCCGCCTCCTTCCCGAAGCTCCTCCCACCGTCCCGTGAAGAGTGTTGAAGCCAAGGGCCGAAACTCAACCATCTCCCTCCCCTTTTCTTATCCAACCTTCAACACTCACTTCCATCCCGCCCGTAGAAGTAACATCAACGGCCCCGCTCCGTACAGTGGGTTCATTCGAGAAATTCAGCTGGTATATCTACAGTAGCTAGCTATAACAGTTTCATCTTCGAATTAGCGGACTAGTTTGACTTGAGAAGAAATAAACAAAGTTTCTCCTACGCCAAAACTTGAACAGTGCGTCCCATATCTTAGAAAATCAAAGAAAAATTACGTTTCTGACAAAAAAAGTCTTCGATATGTAGTAACTACTCGTGTTTTTGTTTTTCGAGGGGATTATATACCAAGTAGACGACTGTGACCGGGAGGCTACTTGTACAGGGGATTCTTCCTGTGTGATAAGGTAGTTACATTGTGCTTGAAAGAAGAAGTCAAAGAGAATGAATTTGAATTCCAAAATTGAATTGGTTGAACAAGATGACCTTGGGAACGCTAGTAATATACATGTGCTCACATTTTCTTCTACCAGACGATTGCGGATTGTACTAATGTATTAATCTACTTTGATGTAACTAGGCTAGCAGGGCGAAGAGCAAATACGTCTTCTTCGCGTACTCCACCGTACTCCTCTTGAGCCTACCTATATCCACATCCTCCAACTCCATCTTCTTCCTCAACGCCACTATACTTTCCTCTCCAGCCGACGGCTCAACAAACCGCTGTACATACAGCACATCGAAGAGCAACTGCTTGAGTCTTGAGACCTTGATCTCGTCCACCTCGTCTGCATCCTTCTTTTCCTCTCCTCCTTCTTCACCCTTCTTCTCACCCTCTGCACCACCCTGCCCAAGCGCAACAATAGCATCAACCTGCCCCTCCACAACCCCAACCAACATCCCTGCCACCCTCCCTTTCATCACACGCACACTTCCGGGAGCCCAAAGATCACTCCCTACACCCGCCATCTTAGCATTCAAATCACGCAGAAAGCGGAATGCGCTGGGCGACGGCTGAGTGGGTAGTGGTGGCTGACCCTCCCACAAGATATGACTATTCGATTTGACTTTCAGGGACTTTGCTAACGAAGTCTTGTACGCTTCTAGCGTTGGCTGCGCCACGTATGATGCCAAAGTTGCGTGTAGGGGCTCAAGGATGTCGGGGGTAAATGGAGAGGTGGGGGGTGTGGCTTTATCTTGGAGTCGGAGTCTAGGTATGCGATCCCCTATTTCCCTAATGACGCGCAAGATGAAGGTTGCTGTTTGGATGGAATCGACCCCGTCTGTCTGGTCAGAAGCCTTGGTGATGGCAGAGAGACTTTTGCCTAGATTCTGCAGTGCCTCACGCAGGGCTTCTTGGGTGCATTCTTCCAGCAATTTGGGGTCGTCGTCGCTGAGGAGGGTTTGCTTCGAGTCGCCTAGGTCCGAGTCGGAGTCAGAGCCTGCGTCGTCGGCAAAGGTGTCGTCCCAGCGGGCTTCCTTCATGCTCTTTACTATGCCTTTGACTTCGAGGACTGAGGCCATCCAGTTGTCAAAGGCGGATGTGACGGTCATGACTGGGTCGTCTCGGCCTTGATATGTGTTTAGGATTGTGGGTTTGAATGCTTGAGCGCCATTGGAGAGATCCGAGGCTTTGTCGATCGTGTCCCAGAGACTGAGCGCAGAGGTTGCTTCGGATGCAGCGACTGTGTCCAGCTGGGCTGTAAGTTCCGAAACGACAGTCTGCAGACCACCTGTTCGTGATCGGACAATGCTTTCAAGCTTGTCATTCATCATGTCGCGCAAGTCGTCGAGTACGTTTGCAGACTTTACACCCGCCATTCGAGAACCTGAAAGAATCCATGTTTCAATCAATTCTTGCCGCAAGTCTGCAACCTCTTGTAATCGTTCTTCGCCCTCTAGTGCCTTTTTGACGCCCTTTAAGAAAGCCGCAATGGCATCCCTAGACCAACGGTGTAGTATCCGCTCTGCTTCTGGCCGCTGCAACTCATCGTGTCGTGGCCAGGGCGTGTAGTTCCGCGCCTCGTCACCCAGCCACTGGTCGTGCACGTCTAGATTTAGCTCATACAGGCCGCGGACATCAGGGTCCTGAATCAAGGGGTGTGCTTTCAGTTTTGCCAATGCTTCTGCTAGCCTCCGCGGGAATATCGTTTGAGTGTCGAGACAACTCTGAATGCACAGCTTGAGCGCATCGATGCCATGCTTCGCAAGCTCATCCCCACCCGCCTTGATCTCGCTGTTCATCCTATCTAATCTCATCTTGTGGAAATGATGTAGGGTATCGGTCGGCGTCGAACTCGTGGCAAGCGCATAGGCGCACATACTCTCCACCAGAGTTGCTGTTTCACCGCTTGCATTCGATAGTCGCTTATCGATCCTTCGCAACAGCTTCCTCCGTACAGACAGCAGCCTCTCCCATAGCTGATCCACAATCGCGGGCTTCGTCGCAGACTGGCTGAGGGCCTTGTGAAGTAGTCGTGAAATGACCAGAACTTTGGCAATGAGCAGATACGATCCCTCTCTTTTCATGAGGCGTGTCATGACCAGAGGCGCATTGCACAGGACCGAGAGTTGGGACGCCAGCGTGTACCGCTCCGCATCTGTCCTCTGTCAACCCAATGGCCCCTTCCAATGCAATGCAAAAGACTGACCACGACTCCGTATGTGAATATCCATGTTCCCCGCATTATTTGACATCTTCTCCAAGCGCCTCGAGTTGCAACTCTGCCCTATTTTTGAAAGCTTGGTTTCCACTTGGCCCATTCGTACTTCCATATCGATGATCGTTTCGGCAGTATCGAGGAGGCTGCGGTAACTTGTCCTGCGTATGGTTAGTATTGCTTGATTTCAATTGCTTTTTCCCTGTATTCAGATATCCGTACCCCACGAGCGACCGCAGCTTCTCACGATTCTCGTCGGCATTGTTGCGAAGCTGCTGCTCAAGCTTGCGAACCACCGGAATTGGATACTGAAACGCGTCTTCCCAGGTTTGAAAACTCCGCGGGTCTGGCGCTTCCGTCGCCATTGCTGCTACTTCTCGGAACGCGTGTGTTGGGTTGCGACGTTGTGCTCGAGATTACACGGCGAATGCTACGTTCCCACTACTCGTGCTTAGTCATCACACTTTCAAGTAATGGTCCCATTTCAAAGTAGTCATGAAAGGGATATATAGAAACAAAAACGAAATCCACAGGGGAAGATTCGAGAATGTCTAGTAAAAATTGTATTGGTGTTGAAGCCAGAATAGTCTATCTCTAGTATAAAAGATGGTATCAAAGGTTAAGCTCAGCGACTCCCCCACCATGTAAACTCCCGTCAAACATTCACTCCACCTCTGTGGTACCATTGTCTGAATCTCGGCCGGTCCTCCTCCTTAGTTCGCGTTCCACAGCTCGCAACATGATTTGAGCGTCGTCCAGCGTTAGCTCTTCTCCTCCCCTCATGCTTGCAAGCAACTCCGCAAATTCAGGGTCGTCAGGTTCAATAATCTCAACCCTCCTGCCCTTGATCCTCGACTTTGGTGGTGGGAGAGGCATAAATGCCCTACTAGTGCTGCCAAACTTGGCAATCATCTCTTCGTATTCGCCTTGTGGTGTGCTCTGACTCGTGACCGCGCCTCCAGCGCCGAGACGCCAGACGTCTTCCTTGTCGTCAGTTTGGAGGTCATCATTGTCGATTTTGATGGCAGTCCGTATGACTACACTAAAGTCACCACCGCCTCCAACGTCAAGATAGCCGAGAACACCAGAGTACAGGCCTCTTCTTTCGCCCTTTTCCACGTCTTGTAGAATCTCACACGACCGTTTCTTGGGTGCACCAGTCATACTTCCCGCAGGAAGACTCTCGACAAAGGCCTCGAAGCCTAGATAGGGTACGGAATGCTTGGCAGGCTTCTTGGAGGCAAAGTCCACAGGCTCTTCCCAATCATCGGGTGTAGTTGGCTTGTTAGAGCCACTGGGTACTGCATCAACTACTGAGACTAGCTGCCATAGTGTTTCGTATTCTTCAACTTCCATGAGTTGACTCACGCGGACGTTCTCTGAGCCGTATACGCCGTGCAATTGATGTCGAGTGAGATCGACAATCATGAGGTTCTCTGCCCGTTCCTTGGATGAAGAAAGAATCTCGTGGGCCATCTCAGCAGTCACGCCAGGTTTCTTCTGTACCGTGCCTTTGATGGGCCGACATTGGGCAGTTTGTGACCTGTCCCAACTAATATATCTTTCTGGTGATGAGCTCAAGACATGGACATTGTGTATCCTCATGTATGCGCTAAATGGAGCGGGATTCTGACTGGCCAGGCGCTTGTACATGTTCCAAGAATGTTCGTTGTCCTCTGAACGTGAAATCCGGCAGGCAGTCGGTTTACGAGCACGGATCTCGTTGCGTGTGGTAAGGCAAAGCTCGTAGCTCTGGCCGTCTGCTATAGCCTCTTGACAAATACGGACTTTCTCCGAGTATTCACCCTCACCGGCTTTGTATTGTCGGCAAGATTCAATGTACTGGTCCATGGTACCATGTGTTTCAAACGGGTCCACTTCTGCCATGGCTGTAGAGCCTGGCGTGCTTTCCCGAGATTTCACGCCAGCATGGTCGTACAGCCTCTCTATCGTCTCTTCAACCCAATCTTGATCAAAGGCGCCACGAATGCTCTGAACGTAGATCTTCTTGACCTGATGATCGAAGACTATGCTTCGGGTGATGTATGCAAAGCAAATGTCCGGATAAGCAGCTTCATCATGACCATGAACACCAATAGTCTCCAGACCGGCTTCATACGATGCAAAGCCCATGAGACCTCCCCAGAAAGGTGCCCAGGTTGACCCTTGTGGTGGTGTAGATGGCTGGAGGCTCTTCATGACTTCTCGTACATATGGCCACGGGTCGTTTACGGTCCATTCGGTATGCACTTGATCCTTGCCATCTCTAAGCTCCATCCTGCGGGATCCGGCGTAGTAGTGCAAGCGGAGGGTCTCTTCAGGAATAACGAACCCGATAATGCTATATCTGCCAGTGCCTACGGCCATGGGTACCAAGTTTGACTGCAATCCGGATTCGAGAACTAGAGCTTCCCCTCTTGTCAACTCGAACAGTTCACAAACATCGGCAACTGTAAGCCTTCCGCTTCCTGTAGTCGCGCAGTGTACAGTGCTAGGGGCCAGGTCTGGTATCATTTGCCCATCGCCGTGTGCAATCAGCGATGCTAGTTCGAATGGTGTAATGGTATCGCTATCGAGATTTGCCGCAAAATTAGCAGATGAGTATTTGCTCTGTTTCATGGCGTTGTGGAAACCAAGTTCTCGTCGGAAATCCGCAAAGGTCATCGGAGAGGATGGCGTGTTTGGCATAAGAGTATGTTTGGGAACATTGCGAAACATGCGCTTGCGGTTCCAAGCCTGGGCATCTTCCCACCAGTTCTGGAAGAGGCGTTTTCCTTCGTCGTTTGTGCAAATTGACTCTGGATGGAATTGGACACCCCAAAATGGCTTTTGTATATGCTTGGCACCCATGAGCACAGCACCATTGCGTTCACTGTCAAAATCCCATGCCAGCGGTTCGAGTTCGGGGCACCTTTCTGTGGGTTCCCAAAGTTGGGCGGGGTATCGTACAGCTCGTTTACTTTGGATCGGGTGGTCGAGCTTTACATGAAGGGAGTGGTATTGTGTGGCCAAAAGACGCTCTACGCCCCGAAATATGGACTGACCCTTGTGTAGGACGGTGGTAATGATGCCATGCTTCGGCTCCCCAAGTCGTTCAATGTCGGCTCCAAAGGCAAGGCACAGGGACTGGAACCCCAAACAGATGCCGAAAACAGGAACAAGCTGCTCTTCTTGAAGACTCCAGAGCTCTTTCATCAGACCAACGTCTTTTTCGCATTTCGCCCAGCCGGGTCCGGGTCCAGCAATCACACCATCAAAGCTCTTGAGGTAATCCGTAAAAGCTGAGTGTTGTCCATCGTCTTTTACCTGTGTAAGATATGGATCGTCAATGAAGACCTTGACGACATGCGCGTCGATGTTCTGCTCGACTATCGCGACAATGTTGTTTGAAAACGAATCGTAGGCGTCCAGAAATAAGATTCTCGGGCGTTGAGTCAGAATGGCAGGCGCCATGGCTCTGTACCACGTGTACAGGTGGAACACCACGAGACTTCCAGCTGTGACTTGTCTGCCTGATGGTCCCCCAGATATTCCTGATGTGTGGATGCTGGGTTCGAGTGTTGCGAGTAGTTTTGTCGCTTCTTTTCAGAAACTCCGACAACTGTCGATAGGACTGTAGTCGCTATTCCGCGATAACTCCGGAGAATTGCCGAAGTAGGGCCAAATGATGCCGAAAGGCCCGCCTTCGGAGGCTGGACGCCGAGGAACTTGTTCGAATAGTTAGGGTGCACCCTGTAGGCGGAGAGTTGAGAATAGGAAGAGAGAGGAAGGAAGGAGTCGGTGAATGATAATGACCCAACGGAACGCCACCAGGTGTGGGTGGAAGATATGCAGGGTCTTTGGCTGCAAAAGGCTAGAGGCTGAGGCATGTGTCGGGAAGGTACGCTTTTCCCTGAAGGGGAAGGTAGCGCATGCCGATTTGCTGTTCCACAGTTACACCCGCACCTGAAACCAGACTGTTGCCACCCTCGAAGAAGCTGCAAGTCGGAGATTGGTCGCACGACTAATGCCGTGCAGGACATGCCATGTGTATAGGATGTGTTTTATAGATGACTGTTTACAAGTAGTTTGCGGTGCCTCTGCATTTTTGGTGAGCTGCCGGAGACCGGATCCTCTTGAGATACGTACCTGAGCGGGCAGCACGCTTGGGCCCTATCAACACAAAGTTTGTAGCAGTGCCCAACACCTTAACCCGACTCCACCAGGTCAGCACAATCCCTACTTAAGCAATGTCCTGGTTGAAGCGACGAGCAGGCCCACTGATTGTCCTCGGGTCTTCAGCGCTTGGCGGCGCAGCATATCGTCTCGCCAAACCCGCAGATGCGTCCGATGCGACCTTGAACCCTCACACCTTCACGCCCTACACACTTGTAAGCAAGGAGCCCGTCTCATCGACCAGCGCCATCTTCACACTGCGCAATAGCAATGGCGTCTCAGATGCGGAAAGCATCAAGGAGGTATCGAAGCGCAGCGTTTGGAGCGTACAGATCAAGCAACCGCAACTGCAGATTGCCCGCGCATACACACCATTGCCCCGCACGACCGATAGCACCAAGACGGACGACGCTGATCTGGGAGGTATGAGGTTGCTTATACGCCAGGAGACGGGCGGCGAGGTCTCAACCTACCTGCACAGCCTCCCAGCGCAATCGACCATCGAACTGCGAGGACCCAACACCGAGCTCAAGCTCCCCCGCGACATCATAGAAGTTGTATTTCTAGCAGGTGGAACAGGCATAGCGCCCGCGATGCAAGTCGCTCAGGCACTGGGACGGCGGACGGGCAGCAAGATGCACATATTGTGGGCAAACCGGAAGCGCGAAGAATGCGTAGGCGGTGTCAGTGACGACAGCGGACAAGACCAGTATGGCCAGGATCGGATAGGGTGGTGGAGGAGTCTGCTCGGCTCTCCTGTACAAGGACCGCTCGTGGAACCACCGAGTGCCACGGAGAAGGGTGCCCTTGTGGCCGAGTTGGACACGCTCAAGAAGCGTAGTGAAGCTGCCACAAAAGGCCTGACCGTAAACTACTATGTGGATGAGGAAAAGACGTTTATCCAGCCCGGCGAGATAGAAAAAAAGATACGGCGTCGTAGAGAGGAAGCCGGGTCCCGACTGATTATTGTTTCCGGCCCGGACGGTTTCATCGAATACTGGGCAGGCAGGAAGCTCTGGGCTAATGGCACCGAAGTTCAAGGTCCATTGGGAGGCCAGTTGAGCCGCATGGACCTAGGTGAGTGGAGAGTGGTCAAGTTGTAAGAAGCTACGTAAGTCCGTAACAAGATGCATTCTTGTTCTGCCCTGTTGGCAGGTGACCATGCTTGCAGACTGGACACCATGATGCGTGTCTGACTGCCAAATACGAAATACATCCCAATTGTCGACTCATGCACACTATACTCGGTGTACACATAGCATCGGCTGCTTATGTACCTAAGCTGTCCGACTTACTAACCAAATGTGCTCGGGCGGTCGTTTTCGCTTCAGGCCGGGGTAGCTAGTAGTAATGTGTGGCAGGGAAGCAGGAATGATTCCGCGTGCTGAATAATTCCACCGGTTGCGGCCTCCTCAATTTCTAGTCGTGTATTTCGGCGTTTTTTAAATACTCGGTCTTCTGCTACGTTGTTTCTATTCTTTTCTCTTCAACTTTCACATTACAGGCCACACCTGCGACATGGGTACAGAGGTTGATGCCGAACTCGGCACTGTCCACTCTCAGCCAATCAGCGAAAAGGATCCCAATGCCCGGCCAGAGTGTTTCAAATCGCTGTTACAGGAATGTCTGTTTGTTGCATCGGTGACAATGGCTGTCGGCATGACGAGCTTCTTGCAGGGCGCTGTCACTGTTATGAGTTCATTCGCGGCGCGCGATCTGGGCATGACCAGTGCGGAGATTTCCTGGATGAATGCTGCCACATCGTAAGAATGATTTGACATGGAATACAAGGTTGCATGACTAAAAAGATACACAGACTCACAGCTGGTTCACTACTGCTTTTCTTCGGCAGTATAGCTGATCTCTTTGGACGCAAATCCATGTTTATCGTGTCCATGTTCCTCTACTCCGTCGTCTGTGTGGGAGCCGGCTTCTCCCAAAACGGCATGACGCTCGATGCCCTTTGCGGTGTCCTAGGCATCTTCTCTGCCGCGGCTGTGCCTCCTGCCCAGGGCATGCTGGGTGTCATCTATGCGAAGCCTAGCCAAAGGAAAAACAGGGCTTTTGGCTGCTTTAGTGCCGGCAATCCCTTGGGCTTCGTTTTTGGGTTGATCCTTGCTGGTATCTTTATTCAGGTGTTCAGCTGGAGAGCTGGTTTCTTTTTGTTGGCTATAGTGTATTTTTGTACAAGTATCATCGCCGCATTTACAGTGCCCAAGGATACGACACCAAAACAGACGTTTAACGCAGAGACGATGAAAAAGCTAGACCTTCCGGGAACAACACTTACGATTTTTGGCATTGGCATGTTCTGTGCTGCACTGAGGTATGGTTGGACGTTGAGATCAATGAGTCTGCAAGCTGATATTCTTCATAGTCTTGGTGGAAATGCGCCACAGGGTTGGAAGACACCCTATGTCCTCGTTCTATTGATACTAGGTGCCATTTTGATTATTTTGTTTATTGTGTGGGAGCTCAAGTACCCATATGCGATGATTGATATGAAGATCTGGCGCGATCGAGACTTTTCTTTGGTAAGTCGTTCCATGTTGTCGTGGAAGTACAACTGCGCAGCCTCACAACATTGCTTGCCACAGCCTGTCACAATCTCGGTACTAATGACATGCAACAGCTAATGAGCATTCTCGCTCTCTCCGGTCTTGGATTTCCAGTCTTGAGTTTCTGGATTGCACTCTATTTCGAGCGGGTGCAGGGATACAATGCCCTTATGACTGGTGTTCACATGCTTCCCATGTCTATTGTAGGTGTCGCTGCAAACGTAGTGGCTGCCCTGGTTCAGCACAAAGTATCCAACAAACTCCTTGTTGGTATCGGATCAACTGCTCTCACTCTTTCCCTTACACTGGCAGCCCTCCAGAGAGACGGAGATTCGTACTGGGCATTTGCTTTCCCAGCGCTCTGCTTGTGTGTTATTGGCATGGACTTTGAGTTCGTTGTTGCAAATGTAAGTTTTGTCACTAAACTTCTGCAATTGCTCTATAGTTCTGTCCTAACCATCCGCAGATGTACGTTTTGTCTTCAATGCCACTCGACAAGCAATCCATTGCAGGTTCGCTATTTCAGACAATATCCCGTCTATGCAGCGCTGTCTCTTTTGGAATCGTGACGGCAATTTTCGATGCTGTACAGAAAAGTCCGGCAAAATCAGGTTACTACGCCAACAACGCTGCCGAGCCCTACGCTTTCGCCTTTTGGTTCGCAGCTGCAGTCGCGTTTCTTTCCATGCTACTCTTTCCCTTTTTGAGAATCGGAACGCAGGGTCATACAGGCGATACTAGACGAGTGAAGCAGACTGGCGAGCGGGATGACGAGTCGGAAGGCGGACGGGGTGAGGACAGTGAGCATGCCGTCATAACCGATGCTATGGCAGGCGAGAAGAGTGTGCATGTTCAGGACACAGAAAAGTAGATGACAGCAGATGATTCATTTTAAAAGCCGTATCCATGCTGCGCAGTTCCAGCACATTGTAGCCAAAAATTTACTTAATCCAATCATTCAAAGAACCAGATTTCGACCATCTCCCAACTCAGCCTCACCTATGTCTCCCACCGGAGCATCCCACCCCTTCCCCTTCCATCCACCAAACCCAACCAAATACAAAATACAAAGTACCCCCCAAAAGCTGCAACCACCTCGTATCCCACACATACCCTCTTCCCCTTTCCCTCCTTTTTTTTTAGTTCTCTCCCGCGACACTTTTCTTTCTCCTCCAGTTCCCAGATCCCCAAAACCCGCAACCTAGTTTTTTTTTTCAAAAAAAAACCCCCCCTCAGACCACACTCTAAATCCTGCGCTTATATAGCGGCAAAACGTGGGATCTAAAAAAAAGAGTGCGCCACGTACACGTTCCCCAGATCTGGGCCGCGAAAACCTAGTACTAGACGATTTTCTTGTGCCTGCGTTCCCGCCCCGCACCCCCCCGCGTGCGCGCCATGCCGCAGTCCCACTTAGTAAACGCCACAAAGTGACGGGAAACGGGAGAAGGGGGCCGGGGAGGTGAAGGATTGGGTAGGGGGGAGAGGGGGTGGTGACGACCTGGTTGGAGGAGCCCTTGTCATTTTCTTCGTTATGTGTGTAATATATATTTGTTATACCTTGGGCCTCTGAACAGTGAGGCAAAGAAAAGAAGAAGAAAAAAAGGACGAACAAGAAGCATCTGTTAGATGTGTATGTATATATTATTCCTTTAGTTACCTTAGTAATACAAAAATAAGGGTAGTAGGTATGTGTGTGATAATGCGTTTAAACTTTTTTGGCGAACATGAGGGAAAAAAAAAGAAATGTAACCGCCATGTATCTAGAATGCTCCGAACCTGGGGAAGAAAAAAAGATGTATGTGAATATACCGCCCATTCCAAATCCCCCCTTTTAGTTCATTAAAAAGACATACACACAAGGGGAAGTGTGTATGTATGTATGTATGTGGGCGGGGGTTACGAAGTATCCATACTCTGCACACCATCGTCGACCTCCTCCTGCTGCTGCCGCTGATCCATTTTCAACCTCTCCACCTCAGCCCTTAACATCTCAATTTCACGCTCTTGAGTCCTCATCTTCTCGAGTGCCATTTCGATTAACCGTGCTTTATTCACCGTCTTCTTTTCTCCTGCCGCAACACTCGATCGCCTACTCTTATCATCGCCGTCTTCCTTGTCTTCGGCAATACTACTTCCCCCGCCATTACCATTACTACAATCCTCCTCCTTCCCCCGCATAACCACAAAACACGTCGTCCCACTCCCAAACGTCACCTCGCCGTCTAGCAAAAACTCGGCAAGGTCCACCATGGCGTTCTTCATGCGGTCGCGGCGGGCCTGCTCGGCCGCACGGTGCGTTGCGCGCTTCATCATGACGCCCGAGGCCATTGCGGTGCTAAAGTGGAGGCCCATTTCGAGGTGCTGGCCCGAGGAAATGAGTTCGTAGTTTGATTTTGAGGCGAGGAGGTCGGCTTGTGGGGTTATTACGCCGCCGGCGCCTGACATGGACGTTAGCGTTAGACTCTCTTGATAGTTTGTGGGGAGGAACACACCATTTCGATCGGCAGAAGATATGCTACTGCCTCTCCGCGCGATGGGGACTTTATTGGGGGGTGGGATGGAGGAGGCGTAGGATATTGAGGATATGGTACTTGCGGTGTCTGCTGTTATGGAGGGGGAGCGCACTGAGGAGACGGTGGGGGAGGTGATGGATTGAGAGGCTATTGAGGGGGTTCTGATGGGTCGTACGGGATGTATGGGTATCTGAGCTGGTTGGGTTTGTTGTTGGGTTGGCTCTGGTTGCGCCTGTGGTTGGACATTATTGGGTTGGACATGTTGTTGTTGTTGTTGCTGCTGCTGCTGGGCGCTCTCTCGAACCGGACTGTATCTCCTCCTCTTTTTGAAAATCTGTGGCCATGTCCTGCTCAGCGGGCCGCGATGATGACTGCTTTCGTTCCGGTCGGCGACCAGCGGTCCGTTTGGGTGTGGATAGGGCTGCATGATTTGAATTCCGATTCTGGGGGACGAAAGAACCAGGAATTGAGAGAATAAACTTGGCGGGGTTTGGTGGATTTGTTACAAATGTTCTTTGTTGGCAATAAAGTTGATATGATGTCAAATTCCGCCGTATTGGGGTCCGGTCACGCACACGGGCCCGACGTGTCAGATTTGGCTGGACGCGGTGCTAGCAGGATATCACGAGGGGGGAAGTGTAGTGTAGCGGAGAAGGGACGTGGCTAGCAAGCAGAGCAATGTCAAGGGCAGAACAGAAAACACAGGGCGAGGCCACGGGCCTGGGGGAGAGGGAGAGGGAGTGATTAGTTGAAATTGGGCATGTCCGGGTGAGAGTGAGATTATGCGTGCGAAGCGGACCGGCTTTGGCCTCATCCATGGGGCGAGGAGGCGTACGTAGTTGAACGCGGGATCTGGAACGAGTTCCGCACCCATGCTTGCGCGTGCCCTCCGTTAAAAAGCAACGGGCGCATGCAGTGAGCATGGCAGCGAGTGAAGCTTTGGCTTGGCGGATGGGCAGAGAGGCACATGCGGGCCAGCCAACCACACGCCGCCGCGAGGGCACATGGCTGCCAAGTCGACGACACATGGCGGAGAGCCCCCTGCTGCAAGCCCAGCGCGCCGAGTGCCTAGCTGCCACGACTATGGCCCTGCGAGTGACATCTGCCCTCTCTGCTGCCCTCCCAATTCACCCTCCGCTGCCATGGGGCTAGCCATATCCTTCCGTACTGGGACCTTGCGGGGTTACCTTCTTCATCCGGGGCTGCTCTCTGGCTCCACCCCGAGCCCCCCATGTCCCCAAGCCATCAATCGGCGCTCAGGACCATCGCACGTGTGCTCCCCCCCCATGCTGACCTGCCGATAGAGACTCTTATCTACCGTCTTTCCAATGGAACCAGCGGCTGCTTTTTATATCGCACGCTCGCTCAAATCGCCACAAAATAAAAGTGTATCCATATTCGCTGCAAAATACGCCAAATGATGCCATCCCACCTCTAGGTCGAGCTGTTCATCCTGCTAACCAATTCGTCGCTGTCGTGCCTCTCCTTCTTGTTGCCCCGAGCTCCGGGTATATACTCCAGATCCTCCTCGCCGTCGTCCTCGTCGTCCTCGTCCTCCATGTCCATGTCCAGCACCTCCTCACTGAGCATCTTGGGATTCAAAGAAAACGCTCCCTTGGGAATAAGGGTGCTCACCATAACCAACACCGATATGATGGTGAACTGCACGCCCGCCACGTTCAAGATGGCCCCGTGAATCTCGTCGTTGTCTCGGTCCGAGATGCGGTCAATGTATGTTCCAAGGCACGCAGATGCAATGGCGTACATGACAATGTACGTGCTGTAGAGAAATGCCATGACGGCCCCCAGTGCCGATACGTTTTGCGACTTGGACTCGATTCGAGCAAGCGACGCCTGGATGTATGCCGCCAGAGACACATCTCCTGCCGCCCATCCGAAGCTGATGGGCAGAAAGGTCGCTGCCACAATCCACGCCTGTGCCACGTCGTTTCGCCGAGGACGCCAGTAGGGCAGATACCACACAATCAGCAGACCAAGTGCGTCTAGTCGCAGCCATGGTATCGGCGTCTGCACCAAGTTTGTGAACATGAAGACAAACAGCGCCCCCAGCAGTTCACCAAAGTTGGATCCTCCCACCATGATTTGTGACCAAGCCGAGTTTCCAAAGTACCGCCGCGCAACTGCAGGCGCAATGGCATTCTCCAGGTATCGGTGGGCGTAAAGTGCAATTGCATATCCAGGCAGCAGCCAGATAAACTTGCGATGTGTGAAGATGAGTTTGGCTCCCGTTCCAACAGACTCGAAAAAGAGGTAGAAGCCACTGATGACAGCCTTGACATAGCTGGGCTCGCCCTCGGTCACCGAAGCTCGGACTTCCTTTGGTATGCTCTCCTCGTGGATAAAGTACCAGAGAATCGATGCAACAGCGAAGAAAATGGGCGTGATGACGAAGCTAAAGTTGTTCCCGAGGCGGGGGATGAGGGCGAGTGCCGTGCAAAAAGCACCTGCTGTTCCACTCGTCTCGTAGAAGATGTGCACCAGCGAGTCCATTCGGCGGAGTTTCTGAATGTTGCCACCCACGAGATCCCGAGGTATAACGCGTCGGATCAGTTCAACCATACCGTAGACTATGCCGCAGACGCAATCTAACACTCATCAGCACATGTTGCGCGGTACCTCGGATAGGGTTATTCTTACAGATGGGTATCATCGCGTCCGTATCGTAGTCGCCGTAGTAGCTGAAGTCATCTTTGGGCCACCCGCGCGGCATAAACTTACCACCAGTTGCGGCATCGAGTATCAGCAAAAGACTGCTCATGAACCCAAACACGAGCACTGCGCAAGCTAGCACGTTCTTGATCGGATACCGCTTGATCAGAGGTGCAATCAGGATGGATCCTATGCACTGAAATGCCTGGTTTAGCCCCGTCAAAACACCGACGCGCTGAAATGTGATGGAAATGTGCGTCGTCTTCTCCAGCTCGTCGTATCGATTCGTGGCGAGTGCGATGACTGATCCGTTGAACGCCTCGAGCCCAAACTTGTACATCATAATGCCCGCAATGTAAATGGCAATGTTCCGGCGCTCTAGAGGAGTGTAAATGTTCCATGTTTCTCGGACGACAGCAATGGGTCGGACCATGTCGACGATCAAAGCACACAAGCGTGCGGCAGCAGTGCTACAGAGAGCAAAAGCGAATCCGCAAATGCGGAGAGACCTTGTTTATACGTCCAGAATGCCGGAACGCTGGTGTTGACAGAACAGCCAATGGAATCAAGAGAAGCCTGCATGTGGAGTTACCGGTTCGCTACAGGGCATGCGTGAGTAGTTACGGATCACAACAGCCGAATCTGTGACGAGGAGGCATCTCGTGAACCCATGAATTCACGCCCTTGGGAGATGGCGGAGCGCTGCTCTTCAAGGCCAAGTGGTACCATGGCAGCGCCCTAGTCCTAATAAGGCTCGGCATTCTCGTTAGATACTGACCAGTCAGACCCCCCACGTGGCTGACATGCCATGTCTGGGCAGACCAGGGGATTTGCCTCAGCCGTACAAATGGTCGCGACAGTCGTAATGCACGCGAGCAAAAAAACTCCTTTGCAAATTCTTGTCATACCAAAGGGCTGGATGTTGTGATCTAAGCGGTGTTGCCAACTCTTTATTGCCAGAAAAAGATTGCAGATTGTGCAAAGTGGTGGTGAATTGAGGCGTTTGATGCCGAGTTCAAGATTGACATAATTTGCCTTTTTTCTATCAAAACTGTGGAATACTAACAACTGGTAACTTGGGCTTGACCTTGTGACTCGCCAAGTCAGCCCTTCAGTTAATCCTTGGGCTTTACGCGACATTGTGGCAGTGCATCACCAGTGCCAGACGGGAACAGTCTGAATGAATTGGCATGGTCTCGAATGTTCCTGCATTAGGCTTGTGGATCCCTTGGACCCTTGACAGTCGAGTAGATTGTAAGACGACATGCTTTTCCTGATTCAGATTATGACGGATGAGATTGTGGCTGCATGAGACACCGCATGTAGCAGATGGAGCGATAGAGATGCTCAACATTCAGACTGCGCAGATGATGAGTGAATAAAGTAGAGATGCTGTGATCCTCCTGGCAGCATCCTGTCTTCAGCCAATCGAATGACCAGACTGTGAACTAACTGATAGTCTGGCCTGCTAGTGCCTAGAGCCTTTACATGAAAGTTGGATACTGCATCCTTAAGGATCCGGCTGGGCTTCGTATAAAAGTATGTAGTAGTATATGGATGCGGATAGGTAGTGCGTCGTGGCCATCGCAGGGTATCAGCGCGCTCTTGAGCGCAGAGTGAGTGCAAAGTAGGGCACTATTCTGAATCATCTTCCTTGTATCGCCTAGCCTCCTTGGCCTTTTCGAGTTTCTCCTCATCTTCAGCTTCTCTCTTGGCAAGGCTCTCGCGCATTCTTTCCTCCTGCTTCTTCCAGTGGCTGCCCTCCTCGTAGTCTTCGCTGATGCCCAGCGCCTTGCGCAGCCTCTCGCTCTCTTCCATCTTCGCCTTTGCCAGGTCGTGGACCTGGTGTGATTTGAGTCGCTTTGCATTCGGCCCCAAGTCTCTGCCATCCTTGCGCTCCTGGTCTAGTTTGCGGCGCAACGCTTCGCACTGGTCGTCGATTTCGTCTTCGTCAACACCCTCATCTTCGAGCTTGTCCCGCAGCTCGAGGACCTTGACTTCAATTTCGCGCTTCGCTTCGTGCTCGAGGATCTCGGCGTCTGGCTGTCTTGGGCGGTGTTTGGCTTGGTCCCAATCTTTTGGATAGGGCTGAATCTTGTCGCGTGGTCTGAGGAGCGACCGGTTTTTCTGGACGTAACCCGAGGTACCACTACCTCTTGGGGTGGTGAGGCCTACATTGTCGGACATGGTCTGAAATTTGATGATGTGCAAGGTGAAGGTATCGTGTCGGTCAGAATGATGGCCAAGGACAGCCACTGGTTTGCGGCGAGCTCGGAGGTGAGGAAAGGCCCGAGCTTGCCTAGTGACGGAATGGCAGTTGCCCCACCAAAACTTTCCCTTGACTATGAAGACTCACCTAGCAATGGAGTCATTACTCTGCCTGGCACCTGTTTGCCTTTGTTCTGGATACTATTCCGCTCCCCCACTTGATTCATCATGAGCGTACAAGATACTACGAGCGAAAATGTCCCTGCTGGACCCGTGGAAATGGGATATACCGAGTTGCCCTTCCCCCCAGTCACCAAACAGCACATCTTGAACTGCTCCTACCACAGTTGGCACCCAAAGTCAGTCATGTCCCGCGATTTGGCGCTTTCTTTTTTTCTAATTCCGATAGATACCGTGCCGTAACGCCCAAAGCGCGCCTCATCCCTCTTCCATCTGCCTTTCTCGAATACCTCCGCTCAGACGGCATCGTACTGCCTCCCGAAGAGCGCGACGACTCCTCATGGTCAGACAACGACAGTGGCATCTTCTCCGGCGCTGACAACAATGACGAAGATGCTGAGGAGAGCATAGATCCTAGCGCAGAGTGGCGCGACACCCACGAGGCCATTGAGCGCACCATCGAGGAGCTGGGCGGTAAAGTCGCTCCCAAGCTCAATTGGAGTGCGCCAAAGGATGCAACATGGATAGCAGCAACCAACAGCATGGAGTGCCGGACGCCAAACGACATCTACCTACTCCTCAAAAGTAGCGACTTTGTCACCCACGATCTTGCGCATGCCTTTGACGACACAGCCGATCAGTCCACAACGCCAGACCCGGCGATCCCATACCATCTCGTGCTGCGAAAGTGGATCACGCTCAACCCCAGTGTCGAGTTCCGATGCTTTGTGCGCAACAGACGGCTGATTGCCCTATGCCAGCGCGACTTGAACCATTTTGACTTTTTGTTCAACATGCAGGATAAGCTACGAGACCTGATCCAGGACTTCTTCGATGCTAAACTGCGCGATACATTCCCAGACCCAAACTTCACTTTTGATGTATACGTGCCGCCGCCCCATGACAAGGTCTGGGTCGTCGACTTTAATCCCTGGGCTGTACGGACCGATCCATTGGTCTTTTCGTGGATGGAATTGCTCACCATGGACGTGCCAGAGGCAGCACCAGCCGAGGAGACGACTGTGCGTCTGAAGATAGCTCAGCCAGAAGCCAAGGGCGAATCTGTTCCAGTGGCCAACGATGCGTTGGAGGAGGACGAATCCTCAGAGGACGATGATATTGAGGAAGTATGGCAGCCAGAGTTCCGACTGGTACGGAGAGACGATCCAGAGGCCTATGGTTTCACGACTCCGCAGTATAGCGCTCACAAGTTGCCCAAAGATGTAGTGGACGCGAGCAGGGGAGGCGAGGGCCAACTGAGAGAGTTTGCCATGCAGTGGGAGCAGGCCCAGAAGTTGGCTGAGCAACAAAGGGCAGAAGATAGTGAGGACGATTAGATGTGTGTGTACATAGTGGGTCATGTTGCGGCTGTGGACACGGCCCACAGGTAAACATCACTCGAGCAGAACAACACATGAGCCGACAGATGACTTTTGCTTTTGTCTAACAAAGAGTCATCTTCTCCTACAGCTTGGCGCCTGTAAACACCAGCTGGTAATGTATGATTGGACATTTTGAACATGTGCCTGGGAGGGTGACCCGCCTTGTCGCGTGAGGCTGCCGGCCCGCCACCGTGACTCGCCCGCGCAGGCCACCTGCTTGTTTCACCGCCGGCATCCCCACATGTCCCATTCGATAACAGTCGATCGCCCCCTCCACAAGCCGCATTGCCCAGGACAACGTCGACTTTGATGCCGACTTTTTGGGTACACTTTTCATAGCACGTGCTTTAAGATGAATGGCCCTCTGCTCCCATAGATTTGACACGCTGTTCCCACGGTACACTACGTCTAGCATTGCACAGCTAGCCACGCCTACGTACTTTTGCACCCACCACATCGCTACCATATTTCACTTGAACCTTGACATCGTCTACATCACCACTCCTGCTTCCCTGCTCTCCAAACATCACAACAATACAAGGCATTGTTTACAAACCACGCAGCTGCATTGAGCTTCCCTGCCTACACGCCATGGACGCGCCAGACAGTACCTACAGTGGCTTCTTGTCCTTGCCCACTGAGATACGATGTCAGATCTACGATTATTTGCTTGCTGAATCATACGCCATTACCATCAGCGCCGCATACACGACTTGTAATGGTGTTCGGATACAAGGCCACACTCGCAAGACCGAGATTCCAGGTTTGCCACTTCATCTCGCGCCAATAGCACGACGCGGCCACGCCGCATCCCTCCTCTCCGTCGCGATGCCTCCAACGATCTGCCTTGAAGATGGACAGATGGTCGATATTGAAAGCGAGAATCTGGGGCTCTCGGCACCATTGGCACTGTCATTGACTTCTCATCTGGTCAAGGACGAGCTGAGAGATTGCATGCGGAGGCGAAAACATATGTTGGATGCACGAGCCGAGTATGACGACGATGGTGTTCTTCGAGACGACGAAGAGAATACTGAAGGCATATCACTCCATGTGTCATACCCATACGGAGTTCTGGTCTTGAAGAGTCAGTATCCATACTTGCTAAAGCAAGCGCGGAGAGTCTACGTTTCTGGCTATTACACGCCTCTTCTCGAAGAAGATTCAATTGTCCCAGATCCTAGCGACAGCGAGCATTTGACACCATCAAACAGCCTTGCGGCACCTTCTTTCAATACTCCAGCGTCGGGCCCTTCAACGAGCTTCATAGCTGCATCTAGCAATTCCTCAAGACGACCTCCCCGCCACGGCGCAAATAGAAGCCCTTCTCGTCCACGCCTTCGCATGGGCGCGCCACTCCCACGCCAATCACGTCACGTCTCACACGTCACCACGGCTTTCCCTGTATTTTCCAAATCAACCGCAACACACGCTCCAACTGCCCTCGCACACCTCGTCTCTACCATAATGCCCAAAACCCCTGGGTCTCTTACAAAATTCACGGCGCGTATCCTCTTTCCGGGTGAGAATACGTATGGCAGCGTTTGGGGTGACGACAACAGCCCCGTCACTCACATCTTGCGCAGCATCTGCGGTGGCAAGATTGATATGAAAGTGCTGAGGTGTAATTTAGGCACGGGGCTTAAGTTAACGGCAAGACCAAAACCATGGAGTCGCATCGTGAGCACGAGCTGGGTCAATTGGAGGAAGGGAGATTTCATGGTAGAAGGTAGCCCCAATGCTGCAAGAAGGGCAAGTGGGTCACTAAGTGTGAATGATTTGGATCAGTTTTTGAGAGGCGTTCAATGTGGTGCGTGATGAGAATTCTTTGGCATCGAATCCATCAACTCGATATGTTTATGACTTGTACTATACAATGCAACGTACGACTATGGCCGCTCTTAACCCGGAAACTAGTGATCTACTGAGCAATCTACAAGCTATTTTTCTTTGGTATGAGAGAAAACTATACGTTTCATTTTGTATTGTGACTTGTGGAAATATTATCGATAGTATAGCCTGCAGATGTGCAGAGCATTTCTAATGGCGGAATGAACTCACCAGGCAAACCACTTGACAACACCTGGAACCCCCGTAGCCAGGTCTCTTGCATCCGAAAACCCAACTCTTACTTTTCGATCCTCATCGTCAGGATATGTCAGCCAAAAGGAAATGATGCGCAGATGCTCCGGTACCTCCACGTCACCCACCACATCGTCGCTAGAAATGTTCAGCTTCGCTCTCGTACGTTCCTGCTCGAGCGACAAAGCCTCATCCGCTATCCAACCAGCGACCATGCCATCCCAGAAGCCTTCTCTTCGAGGATAGCTCAGCATCAACCCGACAGCACGCCGCCGTAGTGCCTGACAGGAGGCAGGCGCCCGAATAGCTATGAACCACAATGCCGCCGTTGGCCCCATTGAAGTCATAAAAACCGGTGAAGATTTATTCCCCGGCACAAACAACAGCTGATCACACAGATGAAAGATATTGGCAAATAGTGCCGCCTCGTCAAACGGCGTCTTGAACGGCTCTTTGGCATGCTGGAACGCAGCCAAGCAAGGGAATCTCGCCACGATATCTGCCCGGGGCAGCCTTAGCAAATACTCCATCTGGCACTGCATCAGCTCGAGCGCAATAAGCGGCTGCGTAAACTCGTCGTGCCGACTCCTCTCCGCCTCCGCCCACAACTTCTTCATCACCCTCGCCCCATCATGAAACCTATCCACCAGTTCCCTCAACTCGACCCCAACCTGCTCTTCTTCCCCCGCCCCCCGCAAAAAAGTCTTTTGGTTAAACGCATGGATATGGCTAATCAGGCACTCGATATGCCGCAGCACCCCCTGCAAACTCGCCATACTCAGCTTCCCACACTCTTCCAACGCCTGCCCCCCACTCTTCACCTTTGGTTTCTTCACCCAGCTTCTCGACTGTGCAGACGGCATGATAGCCCGTATCTGCGCATCCAGAGCTACGAAAATCGTGCGCAGCGATTCCAGCTCCACAGCGTGCTCCGTCACCATCTCCCCCGCATCATCCATCTCGTTCAGCATGCGAATCCCGCTCCGCAAGTGCTCCACGGCGTGTTTCTGGTAACCCTGTAGACAACACATGCTGCTGAAGAGAATCGCACACGTCATCAAGGTCATTTTGTCTTTCGCTGAGGCTTTCGTGGAACTCGCTGCACCTTTTTCGAGGAGAACTTTGATGGCCCGGTTGGATTGTAAGAAGGCAAATTGCAAGTGCTGATCTGCCATTGCGCTCTCCCGGATGTGCGAGTGTTGGCCCTCGTGGAAGCGTCGGTACATGGCCCCCAGGGCGATGATGCAGTGCTGGATGGCGGGCTCGCGGTGCGCGGCTTGGAGCACTTCGCGTTGCCAGAAGGGGGAGTCGAGGAAGCCGCGCAGCTTGGGGATCGCGTGGGATGTGAAGAAGGAGAAGCTGGATTTTTCTTCCGTCGTGGAGAGGGGGAGGGCTGGAGCGAGGGGGAGCGGGAGTGGGGAGTGGCTGCGGAGGGTGCGGAGGGTGGATCCCGAGCAGAATGACGATAATAAATTCTGGGCTTCTGGAGTTGAGGATGCGCTGGTTTTTGGGGATCTGAAGTTTGAGTCGTAGCCGTCGCAGGTGCGGCCTGTGGAGGTGCAGCGGGTACAGTAGGGTTTGTCTTCGTCGCATTTTACGCGGCGTATTCTGTCTCTATCAGCATAGCCTTCACCAGATCCCTTCATTTGACATCGTCTCCTTGAAAAATCCCCTTGCATTTCCCTATTCAGCAAGACATTCTTGCTCCTTTCGACAGAATTTCTCGAAGCCATTTGGCCATACTGTCGTGCCGTGACCCCCTCAACATTACCACCAAATCAACCACATCCCCATCTCTTTCTTCTCCTCCCTTCCCCACAAACATCGATAACTTACTTGCACGTCTTACACCCCGACCTCGCTTTGGGCTTCCAAGCTCTCTGTCGCGGCTTTCCCGCCACCACCAGCTCCATTTTCCAGATCTTGCAAACCAAGCTACTACTGATCCTTCAACCAACAACGAAAAAAGAGCAGGCCCAAATATATGCAGCAAAGGAAAAGAGTTCTTTTTTGGTGATGAAGGTGATGCAAAGGGCACTTCAGTACGCCAAACGGTTGCTATGAAATGTTCGATACGAGGGCCAACTTTTTGAGGCTCGCACCTGCATGATGCAGCGTTGCGGCGCAGAGGTGGCTGGGGGCCGTTAGGCATCCACTATAATTGGTTGTTGGACCCGGGGGGTTTTTTTTTATTTTGAGATGTGCCTAATAGAGCGGTCGATGATGCGTGGTCGGACAAGGTATGTGATCCTACCGATGCACTGGACTTGAGGTTGGGTTTTTTGGAAGTTTGATGGCAGATGGTGGGCATGTTGGGTTTGGGGGCGAATTGTTGGTGTTACGCTTGACTGTTGGAAAGTGAGACATTATTACACAGTAATCATGCTCTTGTTGCATGAATGTAAATTAATGTGTAGTACAAGCGACTTGCTTGATGAGTGGGAAGAAAGCGGGGCTAGAAATACTGCGTTGGGACATCCATCCTCAGGCACATACCCATCTAGAGCTATTAATCTAAACGCCTGCGCCCCTTCTCTACTCTCAAGATAGCAAACACGCTGCTCACAGCTTGCGCCAAAGATCTCGTAGATATCCTGCTTTGCCCCCTTGCTCGTTGTGCGGCTCGCCATGTACATACACATCTCTTGCATCAAGATCCTTTCTCCTACCCGAGTCCAAATCAATCTCTTCACTCCTCCAGAATCGTGTCTTGAACCAAAGCTTATAGCCGACGTAGGTGATTGCAAATACAGGTATCATAATGTAAGCGTCGACAAAGTTTCCAGCATTAAACGGACTCAAAGTGGTCCAGCCCTGAACGAGAGTGAGGAAGATGTTGGCGAAAAGTCCAAAATAGGCATTCCAGGGATAGAGAAAGGATTTGAAGGGTAGATCGTCCGAAGTCCGGCCTTGAGCTTGCCAGGCTTTTCTGAAGCGGATATGCGTAAAGGATATGGCTCCCCAAACGAGAAAGGTGGAAACGCCGCTCAGGTTGACAATGTAGGAGTACGCCTTTCCACCTCCGGTGCTAACATTCATCATGGAAATGGCACCGATTAGATTTGTGAAAACGATGGCGTAGATTGGTACACCGCGGCTGTTCGTCTTTCCAAGGAATTTTGGCGCCATTTTCTGTTGTGCCATGAAAAGTATGGTTCGAGATCCGATATAAATCGAGCTGTTTGCCGCGCTCAGGACGGTGATGAAGATGAAGGCGTTGATAAGATGCACTCCTCCTTCCCAGCCAGCATTTTGCAGTGCAATAGTCATGGGACTCTTCAACGCACGGCTGCTTCCGTTCGCGAGTCCATCTGCATTTGAAGGGCAAGTGAGGCCAAAAAAGAATGCCACTCCCATGTACACGAAAAGAATGCGCCAGATGACCTGTCGAATCGCAAGGGGAACGGCCACAGAAGGATTCCTGGTTTCAGTTGCCGCAACCGCAACGGCTTCCACACCCGCGTAAAAGGTCGAGGCAAAAACAAAGACTGTTGCTACTCCGCGAAATCCGTCCACCCAAGGACCAGGGTTGTGCCAGTATCGGAATCCAATCGCCTCTTTCTGGCCAATTAGTCCTCCCGATGCGTAAATGATGGCGAAGAGGAAGTAAGTGCACAGCCCAACAAGTTTGACCAGCGCAAGCCAAAACTCGGCTTCTCCAAACGACTCAACGCCCAGCATCTGGAAGCCCAAAAACGCAAACCAGAAGATGAGAAAGTAGCCCCATAGCGGCACCTGCGGGCCCCAGAACACCATGATTGACGAAATGACGTTGTACTCGTTGGCCAGCACACACGCCCACACCAGCCAGTACTGCCACCCCACCGCAACCCCAAAAGCCTTATCCACAAAGCGCTCAGAAAGCGTAACAAACGCCCCACCCGTCGGATACAGCGTCGTCATCTCACCCAGCGACTGTGTAATGCTAAATGCAATGATACCAATGATACCGAATCCGATGAGCAGCGAAGCTGGACCACCCTGCGCAAGCGCACCTCCCGTTCCAACCAAGATACCCGGACCGATGATTCCAGCCAGAGCCATCATGCTCAAATGGCGCGTCTTGAGGCCGCGCTTGACACCGCTTGGATCCATTCGCTGGAAATCATCGTCGTGGTTGTAGCTTGCTACTGGTGAGGCGGGGCCCGCTGCGGCTTTGGAGTCGAAGAGGGCCATGACGTACGAGCCTGGCCAGTCGTTGTAAAAACGTTCCTTAGTCAAAAGAGCAAGAAGCTCAAAAGAAGCATGTAATGTACATGTTCTTGCTTGCAAGAGGACGCATGGTTATATAAGCGCATGATTTTTCTAGTCTTGAATTGGCGAGCAGGTGTGTTTGGGGAGGCGAATGACAGACGGCCGGGGTCTTGGGTTGCATGTTGCGATTTTCACGGCTGATTGCGCGATAAGAGTGAAGACACTCGTTTTTCTTTGGTGGCGGCGGCACTGCAGGGACCGGTTTCTGGCTTGTTTACCGCCGATACTGTCGTGTCTTGAAATTGATGATTGGATGGAGATTTTGCGAGGAAAGCAATGCCGGCTGCTCGTAGAGAATGGCGACATTTGCTATCGAGCAAGGTGGGTATGAACGATGGATTGGGGTGGTGGGGGAGGGCGGGTGGAAACGATAGGTTTGGTCTGAAGAGGGTTTAGCGGAATGCAAGTTGCACTACAACTTGGCGCCACTCCTCCACGCGAAGCTTGCGGTGTGGATTTCACTATCATCTTGTTCTCATAGGCTGGCTGAAGTCCCGCATTCTGAATTTGCAAACCCCGCGGGCTCTGTGTCTAAGTAGACTTCCAGCTTCAGAGTTTGCAATGGCTCGGGTATAGGCACGGCAGGTTCCAACCTTCCTTCCGTTTGGATGTCACCAGCACACCCTCAGTTTGCCATCACATGGCTATCAGCCACAGAAATGGCCTGAAATTCTTCCCTAAGTTCCACCCGGAATGATTCTCGTGCATATCCTTCTCGCATTTGCCCCGGTCTTGGCGAGACCAGGGCTGATGAGCTAATTGTTACGTCTCATGACTGTTGCTACTCCTCCACGTTATACGACGTGCGAATGTAGGAAGTTTCCCATTCACTATTTCTTGTCACATGATGAAATACCTAAGTAACACGGCACATTCATACAAATCGTGATATTTTATATCTCATTACACTACTATACATTTTTTTTTTCTCATATACTTTCGTTAACACTGATCCAGTCAGTGTCATGTAAAAGGTTCCAGGCATCTAGCCCATCCCCCAACATTCATCGAACCAAGCGACTCTAATGCAGGCGGCCAATTTCCATACGCTTCTTGAGCCTGTAGGCAAGAGCACGCTTCTTGGCCGCGGTACTCTGGGTGAAGGCAACAGAACCACCAAAGGGACCAGCAGCTGCGCCGTTGCGGACACGCATGACGCAGACATTGTTGACGCCAGCAACAGTTGCATCGCAAGTCATACCGGCAGGCATCTGAACCTTCATCTCGAACTCGGTGTTGGTCGCCAGCGAGATGCCCTGGACACCCAGACCAGGGACGTCCTGAGTGACAGTGGCAGGCTGCATGGCAGCTTCATCAGTGCCACCAGACGTGCCATCAACGTCTGCTGTAAAAGGACCCGCACCATCTTGGTTGATCTAAAGGCTGTCAGAAAATGTGTGGCGTCCAACTCAACACCACCACAACTCACCTGACGAAGCGTCATAGTAACCGTTCCATCATCAGCACAAGTCGGCAATCCCCCTGTTGCACCCGCTCCAGCAGCGGCAGCAACCCTCGCCTCAGGCGGTCCATCAACCTTATCACCACCACCCCCAAACAAGCCCGCAATCCCCGTTGCTCCGCCTGCACCACCCGCCGCACCTGCACCACCCGCACCACCGCCCTTTCCACCCCCAAGGCTTCCCAAAAGGTTGCTCAGAAACTGGCGCTTGCGTTGCGTACCTGCACCCGCATTCTGTGCATTCTGTGGGATATCATCTTCCACGCCTACACTTCCCGACGCGCCCTGGTTCGCTGGCGGCGCAGCCCCAGACCCCATGAACGCGCCGACCATGACTGAAGCATCTACGTTGCCGTTGCCCTGCGTACGGCCCAAGGGACCCGTCTTGCCGCTTGCAATTTCGCGGTCGCGTATGATGGCTGTGTCGGCCTGGGAGCCACATCCACTGTTTCCTATGTTAGACTTTTTTTTCTCTTCTCTTTTCCATTGCTTGAGTGGAAGGTTGAGGGGGGTGGAGACGTACTTGGACGAGCAGTCCCTAGGTGTTCCGTCTTGGATTGTCAAACCAGGCATGGAAACGCCATTTGCGCCTTTGATCTCGGTGACGACGCCGTGGGCAGAGATGCTGGTGGCGGCTGTGAGGGCGAGGAGGAAGGTGCGTGGGAAGTACATTGTTGCGGCTTTCTCTTCTTCTCGTAATTCAAATAGATAGAAAAGTTTGATGCGAGTGAGCAGGGCGAGATCAACTCGAATTTTTCTATCCCAAATACTGGATAGAAAGAAGAACAAGAGTTATATAGAAAATATATAAGAGCACCAGGCTTGAGAAGAAAGTGGAGAGTAGTTTACACAAGACAAGATTGTGCTGCGGATACCTTTGACTCGACGTTTCCCCCCCGCTCTTCTTATACAAATTTCTCCCCTTCACGAACAAGATATGTCATAGAGAAGCAAGGGCGTAGATCAGTACATTCGCACTGCATTCTGCATTCGGCCTCGTAGCCGCTATGCCCTTGTGTCCTTCTCCGCCAGAGAAACCTCAGTCCCCACTCACGCATCCGACATGCCCTATCGAGTAACAAAAAAAACCGGACACCAGGCATTGCGGCGCCTGTGTCGTGAGGCGTGTTTGGTCTGAGGCTTCGCTTGTCTTGGCTCTCTTCTCGGCAGCGGAAGGGTCCAAAACATAGGCTTGGCGTGTGAATCACGGTGGCGGAGTGCCAAAGAGGTAGTGTGATTAGCTAGATGGGCCTGGCGGGATTGTTCTGAGGATCCCAGGCGCCAAGGCGTACGAGCGATGGTATTCATGCATGAGGTTTTAAGATATGCGAAACAGGGAGACAGAGAGGGGGGGGAACGGGAATGGTGGGTTGTTTTGTTCATTAGTAATAGTTGTGATGATAATGGTGATATTGTAACGGGGAGGCTGATAGTAATTGCCAATTAACCATCGTTACGGGAATGGAGAATTGGAAGGATAGCGTGAGGGGAAAATAAATATCGTACACCTGTCTCCGCTGTCAAACCCATCAACGTGTAGTTAGTATACAAAACCCACCACATCAAGCTAGTCTAGTAGTCTCGCGCCTAACCCGTTTCATCACCACCAACCACCTAACATCCAACGCCACACACATACAACCTCCCAAACACATCACTCAGCCAATCCCAACTCCAATCATCGCAAATCCCTAAAAATAACCTTTTTTTTTTCAAAAGGTGCACCCCCTTGTCAGGTGTTTTGTCACCAAGGAGAAAGAAGCCCCCCCCCCTCCCCATTCCACAACGTGTTGTCGCAGTCCCCGTGTCGCCGCTAGCGTTTCATCAAACAAGAACAAGGTCGATCTTCAAACTTGTTGTGCCTTGGTTTTCTCCCAAACCCTCACTTTTGAATACCTAGTCTCCGTTTTCTGTTTAATGCATGCAGTGTTCCCCTCCCCGGCCCGCTCCTGGGTGGTTTTTCTTTTTGCTTCCGAAGGCAACCCCCCCACTGTGACCCAAAAACGTGCAGTAGAGATGTGACGGTGGCGAGTGTTTAGTGTTTAGTCATTGTAGAGAGGCGAAATACAAGTGGGGTTTATGGCTTAGTTTGAGTTCGGGGGATGAGGACGAAATGGGGAAGGAGGCGCGATGTTTTTTTTTTTGAAATCAATCTTTTGAATGTGTCAAACATGGAAGTTTGAAGGTTTGTCTTAGGAGGGCAATGTATAGGGCCAGTGGAGTTTTTGGCGATTTTGACATCTTTATGCGCTTGCTCATTTGCTGGCGCTTCGGATAGGGACAGCGATAGCTTCGCTTCCGAGCACGAAACTCGCCACGGAGAAACCGTCTTGCAGGCTTTTCTTGCATATGCCCCATACGAGCCCAAACATGCCTGCAGATGCAATGCCGAAAAATAGAACGAGACAGATGCGCTGTAGATCCATGTCTTGTTCGAGATGCACGCCCCATCCCGTGTAGAGGTCGGGATCTACGCCCGGGGTTGGGCGCTCCCCGATACGTTTTGGGAACTGCCTAAGACAAATATTGTCTTGGAAGCAATCCTTAGGCGAGCTGAAGCGATGCATGAGAAAGTCACTACCCAATGGTGGCGTACGGTCTGGTTTGCGAGGATCGCATGTGTAGTGCTTGACAGTCTCCGGTGGCATATCAGAGACGAGGCCATCGACTTCTTTGCGAGCGTGTAGAGTAAACTAAGTAGGGCCTATGAGCTTGAAACAGCACCTGTTTTGTTGCATTGGGAATCTTACCTTGACAAAGCTCATTCGTTGTACGGTCTGGAAGCTGAATTGGCGGTAGGCCCATCGGAACTTTGAGTGGTATTCACGGCGTAACGCTTCGAAGAGCTCGCGATCTCGAGTGATTGTTGAAACCTGGAGGTCGTAACGGTTCGTTAGGAATCTCTTGACCTTCATGCATAAGAGGATAAAATCTTCTGATATGTTGATGTTGGTGCTGTTGACTTGAGTGTGAGCTGTTGAAGCCGAGAAGCGCCAGTTCTGTGGTCCCGATGTAGCCTGAGAAGCTGTGGAGAGACCTATTGAAGTCTGAAGTGGTTGGTTGGAATTACTGGAATCAACATTTCCACTCGATGTTGATGGCAAACTCCCGTTCGTTGGCCCGCTAGTCGCTATAGAAGAGGGGCTTCTGTTAGCGATTTTGGAGAGACTTTGATTAGCTGCTTTAGAAAAGGGGCTTCTATCGCCTTCCGCGCCTAAATCTTGTCGATAGGTTATCCGTCGCGTGTGAGATGATATTGCGATAACCAACAAAATAGGAACAGACACGACAAGCCACCCGCAAAGCGCTATAATAGCCTCCACAATCGCCACAGATGCAAATCCATAAACTATTTTGGAAGAGAAACTGCTATCAAGTACCGCATCTGGCAGTTGAGGAAACAGTATCCGTAGAAATTGAGATGTCCATTTTACGACACCCAGTACTATATGAGAACCGACGACGACGATCATAAACCAAGCTATTGCAAAATCCCATAAAATTCTGCCGGCCATTTTGGAATAGCCCATTCCATCGTGTACTGCGTCTGAGAGTCGAGGATGCGTAGTTGGTAACGATGGACATGTCCATTTCTCGATGCCCAACCATGCAAGAACGCAGAATCGAATCCAAGTGCAAGTGTTTGATATGGCCATTCCAAGTCTCTCAAACATGGCTCGTATAGTAGACGCCTTGGACTGAGATGGGTTACAAACTTCCATAGAAGCTCTTATACCATGCTCTTGAAGAGTTTCCAGCAGTTCGCGTACTGCACCAGGCCGATGCTCAGTGTAATGGTCAAGTCCCCTGTGCCCGCATGGCTTTTCTGAGTTAGCGAAGGGTGTAGATAAACCGTCTAAATCACTCACACATGTCCAAGATAACCTGTAGCTCTTTTCAGTTGTAGCCACAGAATGAGGCCTTTCAATCTCGTTCTCAACGTGGATCTTCGGCTTCGTCGTTCTGTCTGTTGTATCTTTGACGAAGTTGCTATGGGTGGAGTCAACCCTGTTCGATTTAACCAGATGACGTAGTTCTGCCCTGCTCTTTTCGTTCAGCTGAAACTTTTTCTCTTTAATTACCGGTATCGGATATACAGTTCCTGGTGCCCCGTTGGCCACATGGGTAACCACCTTGCTCCAATATGGGTGATAGTCCATAAAAAATGGGTCAGCAAGGGCAGAGTACTTCTCTAGGTCCAAGTTTCGAGTAGAAAGTGGAGAAAATGGTTCATGAGCCAAGAACTCAGAGCATTTGGGACCCAAGAATACCCCTTTTTTCGTGATCAGCTGGGTAAAAAAGGCCTTTTGGGAAATTGAGTCTCTAACTCACCATCCTTTTTCTGCGAGCCAGGCGAGGCCTGCTTTAACCCCAATATTCGATCTATTTCCAACAGCCGGCGATCGCGTGTGGCTATCATCATCCGTTTGGTAGTGGTGCCGCGTGTATTGTATGCTTCATATCGATTAGATGAGTTCACATCCTGTTCAAGGAGGGGGTAAGTAGCGTCTAAAAGGCTGGCGAGATTCTCCAAAGTCTTTAGAGAAACCGAATCTTTGCCACTGCGCCGGAGCATTGTCAAAAGCTCCTCAATAACGCCTCTAGCAACCCAAGGCTCGAAGAATAGCCCGTTATCATACTGCTCTTTTTCGTTGTTGATAAAAACTTCAACGAAGTCAATCAACGAAGCTTTTACTCCGAGAGCAGCACTTGCATCGAGCCTGAGTAGTGCATTGGTGCCCCGTTCTAACCTGGGTAACCTCAGCGCCTTTGTGTAGTTCCACATCAACAGAACAAGAAAAAGTCCTGGTATCTCATATCGTCCCAGCTGCAACGAGATCCTTCCTGCCAACATCAATTCCCTGCACAAACCAGCCCTTTTGCGACTTATCAGTTTCCAACGTTTCAGTGGTTTGATCAAAACTTTTAGTCCTGATGCATGGGCGATACCGCCGCTACGTATAAACAAGAGGAACGAGCTAGGGTGCTGAAGGGCTTCTAGAAATGGCCGAGAAGCCTCCTCCTCTGCTTCTTTCGGTTCGCCTACCCACGCAATGGCCTTTGTAGCGCGTTTGAAGATCTGGGGGAACAATGAGATCTGCGTGAATTCTTCTAGAAGATCAGAATGATTGATGCAAATAGCATCTGCCCACAGTCGCCTCTCTTTATGCGCATGGCGCAACCAGAAAAGTGCACGTTGCAGATGCACAGGAATGACGACAATTGTAGACTCTATGACAATGGATCCCATAGTAGGAGGGGTTGTTTTGTTGTAGAACACTGCCTCGTACCCAGTTTTATCAGCCTTGTTGCTGGTCTCGTTGTCATTGTTGAGGTTGTGAGTTTCGAATCGTCCCCGTAGCGGCGCAGTTCTGTCTGTGGATGGAAGGAGAGCCAGAATTCGAATGTCATTTCCTTTTAGCGGAGGGTACTTGGGGGAGTGAAAATGTGTTTCGGATGTTTCATAGAGATCCCAAAGAGAATGTTGTCTGAACTTTGCATGGTTGTAGAGAGCAAGTAAGAGGCAACAAGAAACAATCCGGAGTAAGAGGACATCCCATGTAGTTTTAGTGTATTCGTTACGGAACATGTGGTGGGATAAATTAGACCAAAGTAATAACACTGCTGAGCAGATAATTCTAAATGGGGAAGAGTTCATGATGGCTGCGAGATGAGTCAAGAAAACCGAGACCAGGCGCACGTTTATACCTTCAGCTATTGCTACCTAGCCGAATCGTTGCAGGATCAGCTCTCACGAATCCCCATTCGAAACGCGCGCCACAGCGGCCTCAACCAGTCGAGTGACGACTGCAAGGCATGCTCAGCCTTGCCCCTCATTCCGGGGGCTGACAACCACAGCCACAGCCACAGTGACACGACATGGTGGCCCCAAAAAGAGATGGCGATGCCTTCTGTAGCATGAGAGGAGCATATAATTACAAGAACAAAAAACCAAGCGATATGAAGAGTTGACTGTATAATAATGAACCAAGTACCATTTCCCCATGCCAAGGCACTAGACCCAAATACTCACCACGCAAGCATCTATAAGCACCCAATACAATCACTCCACACATGCTCGAGTTTAAACCATGACTTTTTCTATTGAGAAGATTAAATGAGCGAATCCTCTCTAAAAGAACCGCCCCCAATTGGTCCCTGAAACCAAACAAGTGTGCCCCCCCACACACAGCCCATTGAACACCAAAAACCCCAATATACTCCTAGTCTTCCCTGGTATCTACCATAAATCAACCAACCAACCAACCCGCTAGCCACCAAAGTTGACGGGAAAAAAAGAGAGAGACAGCCAAAAAAAATGGGGGGGTTTTGGCCAAAGACATCGTTTTCGTTCCATGGTCCCGGAATATAATAAATAATGTCAAAAAAAAAAATACATCGGAATGGCGACAAAAAAGAAAAAAAGAAGAAAAAGCATTCATTCAAGCCCAGACCCCGTACCTCTTCTACCACCCATACCAGGTCTCACACCACTAGCACCACCAACGCTACTTCGATGCCTTCCGATACCCCCACCACCAGCTCCAACGCCAACCCCATGCATGAGATCCAAATCTACCGGTGTGCCAGCACCAAGCGCAAAGCCATAGGCTTCGGGTCCTTGGCCGGCAAAGACAGCGTCATCGCCTAGATTTTGCTGGGGCGGCGGATCCACGTTAAAGGGGACAAAGTAGCTGCTCATGGGGTCGAAGAAGTTACTTGTGGGACCGAGGCCGAGTGCGTCGAGGTTCCAGTAGGCATTGTGGAAGTCGGTGGCTAGGTCGGGGAAAGGAGAGAGGTTGGCGGTGTGGGCGGAAGAGTCCATTTGGTGGGCGTGTGAGGGGTGGATCATCGTGGGCGAGGTGTTGAGGAGTGGGAGGGAGGAGTGCTGGGGTTGGTGATGCGATGCAAAGTCAGCGAGGAATTGCTGGGATGAAGATTGTTGCTGCTGCTGCTGTTGTTGTTGTTGGTGTTGGACAAAGAGGTTCACGGATTCGTATCCAGCGGCCATGGCACCTCGAATATCGTCTTGGGTGAACATGTTGACGGGTTCCATGTGCTGCTGTGCTTGCATGGGCGCAGCAGAATTTTGCTGAGAATGACCGTTATGCTGCTGGTACCGGTGTTCGGGTTTCGACATTGATTTTGTCCTGTTTTTTCGCGCTTGCTTGCGGTGGTGCTCAGTCTTTGACGGTGGGGATAACGAGGCAAAGAATTCCTCCACACTCTGTAGGTCGCTCTTATGCCCCAGAACCGCATCGGTGCCTGGCTCGGTCTGGGTCGATTCGGCCGCATCCTCGTAATCCGTCTTTGAAACACCGTGGGGGTATCTGTCGAACCAGTCTCCATACTGAAAGATGCGACCCTTGTTTTCACCACTAGTATCGGGCCCTTTGAGCTGCGCATCAGCGTGTTGTCGGTACAACTCCTTGAGATTTTCTGCCATGTAGTGAAACATGCCCCAGTACTTCTTCATCTTTGTCAGATACTTGACATTATACGCGAGGTACTTTTTCGACTGTGCTTCCAACTTTGGGTTTTTCGAGAAGACTCCATGGACATGGACGGTGGAAGAAAAGAAGGCCGAGTATCCTGCAAATGGGGCGACAACATTGTGGTCCATGGCTTCGTTAATGAGGATTGATATTTGGTTCGCGGCGTCGAGTGCAGCGCGGGCGGATTCTGTCAAAAAGGCATGTGGCATATCTTTTGGGGGCCTACTTCCTGCGGTCGAAGGCAATGCAAAACGATGCATGAACAGCATAATTTGCTGCCATAATATGTGAAGGTAGAGGAAAGAGTTGGCAGTCTTTCCAATGGCGTGGCTCTTGAGGTTTTCGGGCGAGTATACGAGCATCTCCGGCAACGCAGCCTTGAAATCCTTGGCTTCCTTTTTGAGAGCGTTGAATGTGGACCCTGGAGACCACATAGTCTCGGATTCGCGTTCCTTGCCGCCCAAGTTCATGTACTTGATCAGCTTTCCCCATGTGCAGACCAGTCTGATGGTGTATGCCGAGACACCCATGTTGTCGCGGGGATTCGAAAGCTGACCGCTGTCAGGGGGAACGGGATTTGGCACATTGCCCTCGAGATTCTCCGTCGGCGCATGTATCTCGTGTATGTAGAGATGCTCCTTGACTGGCAATTGTACTTCAATATACTGCTCGTGCACGAAAAGTGGCCGGTCGGAACCAGAGGAATTGAAGCGATCCATCAAAAAGCAAGACCACATTGTCCGCCGCCGTATTTCTCTGTCGGTGGCGCTCAGGGGTTTCCTGTCGGATTCGCTGGCTAGTGGGTCGTATTCATTCTCCTTGTGTAACTGCAGGGCGTATGCCATTCTTTGCGCCATGCCGCCAAACATCCAACTCCGACCACCCTGACATGTGCCAAATTCATGCAATCCAAGCAACAAGTAAACTATGAGAATTGTGATGTTGGGCGCATCATATCGTTTTAACGCAATTTCGCGCGCGCGTGCTGCCCAATTGTCACCTCGCAGAAAACAAGGCTCTGTCCGTAATTGCGGGTGGTTTGAGAAGCGGGCGGAAATGGCACACATGGCAAGCATTAGCACGGGCGGAACTTTACCTGTTGCCAGCCTCCTCATGAAACTGGGCTTGTGAAGCAGAGGATAGCTTTGGCCGTAGACATAGTCAAAATAGACCTCTGCCAAATGCTCTTGCATTTCTTTTGATGGCAAGCTCTCGGCACCTTCTGTGAGGAGCTTGCTTTCATCTGATTCCTTGGTCTGGGTAGTTGCGTTGGCGGTATTTGGGTCTGTGCCTCTTGCTTTTGACCACTCATCGAGTTCATTGCCAAAAGCCTCCTCTGCGGCGCGTTTCTTCGTCGTGGGTGTTTTGGGTGGGGCGCCGGGGATAGCGGGCTTAACGACGGATCTGCCTACATTGGCGACTGAAGGCAAGCTTTCTTTTGGTATGAGTTTGATAACCCGATCTTCCATGCGCTTCAACCTCTTGTCCAGCATAGCCATATAGTCGGTTCTCGGGGCAGCTTTTCGCGTTGTGACCTTGTAGACGCACGGTATCCTGCTGCGCAGGCAGTGCTTGCATGCCGGCTTTTCGCCAGAGCAGCGAATCTTCTTCCTCCGGCAGGCAATGCAAGCCAGCGGCAGCCTCTTTCTTTCCTTGCCTGCTTTTGTCTTCATCTCACTCCACAGTGGCGGATCCTGGACATCGTCTTTACTCCGCCGCGACGTGGTCGAATGGTCTGCGCCATTGACGCTGTTGGCTGAGGCGTCTTTCAACACATCTCCCATGGCGAACATATTCATAGCTTGAGCGCTCTCCGGGCTCGTATGGTTCCCATCGTGAGCCGGGCTTCCGCCGATGCTCATTCTGGTTGGGTGAACGCTGCTACCGGCACCGCTCATACCGGCGTCGCTCATGTTGCCAATGCTGCCTCTGTGGTCGGCGTAGCCGGGCTCGATCTTTGGCTGCAGACCGTCAAAATTCGAAGCATATGACTGGCCCTGGGCGAAGGCCATGTCATAGTCGGCAAGCGAGGCCATCATGTTTGCAGGGCTGGTGCCGATGTTGTTTGGAGAGGCTCGGTAATCGGACAGGCCATAGTCAGTCAGCATGAGGGAGTCGTCGGGGTCGTAGGGTGGGTGCGAAGGGGCGGCTATCGAGGTTGCGGTGGCACTCGAGTCGGCCATGACTGTCTCGACGAAGGGCTGCGCCCGTGTCTACCTGGATGGCTATGTCGCAAGGCAGTGCCGAGGCAATGTCACAGTAGTGTTCCACACCTGAACCGAGCAAGTCATGTGAGCGTGTTGATTGCAGGGCAAAGAAGCATGGCAGAGATGCGACGCGGCGAGGTGTTCCAAAGCGGTTATGGGTGCGTGGGCGTGGTGTGCTGTGGCCTTGGGAGTCGGAGCACCGGACGAAGAGAGATCTTGGGAGCAAATGGGGGAGGCTCCGACTCTTCTCCACAAGATAGTCACGGCGCTTTGGAGCCAAAGGCAGTGGGGCGCTAGCTGGTATATCAAAGCGCAGTCTGTGTATGTGGGGACGAGAAAGGAACGTCAGCACCGCGACGCAGACAGCTAGCAAGCCAAAGGTCACGGCCAGCGCAGGCGGCTTTGGCGCGAGCGCAGAGGGAGGTGCACGATGACGGCGGGCAATGTAATGGGCAAGGCCAGCGGGTTAGCAGCGAAAAAGGGTGGCTTGGTGCTTGGTGCAGGCCTGTCTGACGCTGGGCCAGTACTGCTATGTGTACTTTACCACTTATTACTAGGTGCACAGTGGTCGCTGCGTTCGGTCCCACACCGCCGCGGGCTCCCGTCGAGATTCGCACGGCTTGGCCAGCCCGCTCCTTGCCTGTTGAGGCTGGCATGGAAGCGCCATCAGGCTGCTTCTGGCCGATTAGAATGGCGAGGCGGCACGTTTGGGTTGGCATGGATACACGCCATGGCGATGCGGTGGGCTGGCCTTCCCCACATGGGCCTGCTCTCGCCAGGGCCTGATTACTCAGGCATCACCAAGCACGCCTGCACTCCAGCCTGCACTGCACTGCACTGCACTGCATCTGCCACCAGTCGCCTCCCGCCCCCTGCCTCCCTAGTGTTAGGCACCAGACGATCATGGGCAATCGCTTTTAGGCAATCCTATTACTCGGCCGGGGTGCAGCCAAAGTACTTACCCAAGGGCTGTGTATGTATACGAGTATGCACGTCCATCCTATATCCTCGATACCTGCGTGTGTATGTACCTACTGCACAGATAGATTACTCTCTGTCCGCTTCTGCTCCCTCGCCTCCATGCACTCCCACTCCTCCTGTCATGCACGCACATACGCACAGTCGATCCCCTTTGCACGTCACATCCGACGCCCCATGTTTCCCTTGAACGTCATCAAGCCCCGTTTCATCTTGCCTGACACAGACATGCTGAACTCTAAACCCGCACAGAAGACGAATGATTCCACCATGACCGGATAGGCCCGTCTATACCTTCCCCCCAGACGAAAATCAGACCACGACTCGGTCGCTTTTTTTTGCGACAAATAGTCAGTCCGTCGAGGGAAACGGCGCGGGACCCTCCCATGATGCGTCCACACACCGGTTTCGCCCTGCCTTGCCCTCGTTTTTTTCCTGCGGGGCTTCACAACATTAGTAAAGTAAACTGGGCCCACCACTCTATGCCCATGCCCAACCCCAACCCCAGTGCCACTTGGCCCGCCCGTCCGCCACCACCACCACCTACCACCCCCTCCCCTTCTCAGCCAAAAACCCAAAGAACCTCAATAGAGGCCACGTGAGTAGCCAGCCACACAGAACCCAATCTCACCCTTTTTTTTCTTCTTTTCCCCGCAACGCCCCTTGCCTTATTTTCCGATTCGACAGCATTTTAACCTTTTTGCCAACGCATGCACATGGGAAAACCCACACACACATTGAAATCTGTTTTCAACCACATGTTTGCATGTCCACATCCCCCATGCTTGGCACCTTCCCACGTTGAACCCACGTGCAAAAAAAAAATACTAAATACTAACCCCGACTTATTCCCCTCCCCTTTTTCTCTCTCTCTTGGCGCCTCTTCCCTTATAGAAACAAAGCAAGCATATCTAAATCGTCATCTATGTTTCCCCTGGTCTTAAAAGGATGGAGAGGGGTAGGGAAAAAACAAGTTTAGTTCGTGTAACCGTTTTTTTTTTCCACAGGTCTTTGCATCGTTTTGTGGGGTCAACTGCGAAAAGACAAGGTGTAAGTGTTACATACGTACGTACCGTAGTTTAGATAAGCAAGTAGCATTGTGGCATGGGGATTTGGGGGCGACTCGACCCCACTTTTGACGTTTGCGAGAGAGCGAGAGAATAAAGAGAAACCGGGGGTAAGGGTAATGGTAGCCTATGCGACGTTAGGGCTACGTTACCTTTTTTTTCCTTCCTCCTCCTCCTCTTCTTCTTCTACTTCTCTCTCTTGTGTGAGTGTTGTGGGGTGTAGTCTGATCTATTTGTCTTCCCTCCCGCACCTTCCAAGCCCAACCGCAAAGTATAACACGAGCTAGTTGTCCGCCCGTTCTCACACATGGCAGTGATAGTCCTCTGCACGAGCGGAAATGCTTTCCAGGGCAAGGTCATGTCTGTCAGCAAGCGCGGTGAGATGGGGCAAGATGACGTCCAGACTAAGCTTATCCTCATCAATTTATTGCTTGTTGTTCACTAAGCGCCCTAGTAACGCAAAGATTTTAGGTCATACTTGGAATCAAAGAAGAAGAAAAAAAAAGAGGGACCGATTGGATAATCGGCGAACTGTCTGTTGTTGTAAGGAAATGAGAGAGCAATCCGTCTCTCAGCAGAGAAAAAAAAAGGACGGATAGTAGAGTTATACGGTGCACGGATCTGCCCTTTCCTTTTGCTGCTGAGGAGGTGAGAGAAAGAGGTAAGAGTACAGAACCTTGGCCCAAGTGGTGAGAAGAGCAATTTGCAAAACATGTTACCCTCCCCCCCCACCAGATCAGACTGATACAATTCTATGATCCGGCTCCCTTCGCTCGGCATCAAGATCATGCCATGTCTCCGCTCGGATAGTTGGCATACGCACTGTATGGACTGTGAGGAGAATGTTGTCAGCATGGAGAGCCAAAAAAAATAAACAAAGGCGTTACATCTCTTTAGCGAATAAGCAAAACAGAAAAAAAAGGATTACTCACCTGTACGTCTGGTAAGTCACTTTAGCAGCGTCATGCTCAATCGCTGCATCTCCCACAGAAACAGCCATATCCTGCTGCTCCATCGTGTCCGCATCCACAGCCGTGCCTTCTGGCACACTCATGGCCATGTGGCGCTTGGACATATTCGCATCTTTCATCTTTGCAGCTTCAGCCTCGGCAGCTGCGCCGTAGACACAGTACGGCGCATATGTCCCGTATCCTCGCTTTTCTGCCATGCTGGATTCCGGAGCCTCGGCATCCAGGGCTGACGGATAGGGCGTGTATGAGGTGTAGCAAGAGTATCCGCGCTTGGAAAGAGCCATGCTGGCCGACCGTGCCTCGGCAACTGAAGGGTAGTCGCCGTATTTGATGTAGTATTCGCCGTAGCTTGCGTAGTCCTGCACCACGGGCTGAATTGTCTCGCCCTTCGCTGGCTCAGCGATGCTTTTTCCCACTGGGGCGGCGACAGCGAGGCCGGCTAGGCATGCAACAAAGGCTGCAGGATGCATAGTGAGGAGAGCCTGGAAAGACTAGAGTTTGAAAATGTCAAGTAGTGACTGCTTTCTCAAGACTACTGATGCTACCAATTGATGATGCTGTGAATCTGCTACGGGAATGGTCCTTTTGTATCCAATCTTGTCGACTTTGTCATTGCCAAGTTTTCAGACATGCACACTGGCGATCGACATGCAGCATTGGGTTCCATCCGTTTAGCATTCTGCGGCAATAGCTCAACTCTGCAGTGAGCTCCCAATGCCGCATGCTGTAAGACATGCAAACTTGCAGTAGATATGCTACCTGGTGCTGTTCTGGGCCCGCACTGTCGTCGAGCTGACCCATTGTATTCAAATAACGCATTCCGAGGCCTCAAAGCGGTGTGCCTGTGTCACATGTAAAACAAAAAGTTCCTGTTCTAGCTTGTGAGACTTGTCGTTTGTATGACGAGGGCTTTAGAATATGAATGGTATTGTGTCCCGTTGTCACCTTTGTACCAAGGCTGACATGATGCACCAGGACCAGCCTAGACGGTGGTACTCGTTGCAATGTCAGTCATAAAATAAGCCGGGTAGTGTACCTAGACCAATATATCGCAAACAAAGCAGTATGAGTTTATGCAGGTGATGGTGTACATGTAGGGAGGCTGTTCAACAGCACTGTACGACGGTGACGAGTTGGGCCCGAGATATGTGTTGAAAGCAGCCCCTGGACTATTAGTTCCAAGCGATATCACCTCTAGAGTCAGATCAGGTGGTGTTGACATTGTGGTCACATTGCTTCTTGTATCTGCCTACCAACGTGTTTGACATTTTTGACAGCCATCACTGTACTACCGCTTGTCATACACAGCTGGTCCTGTGGTACTGACCGCGTACAGATGGGACATGATGGCGTTAGGCTTGGCCGCGTATGCTCTTACTGGAGATAATCTGGGTCTTATGGGTGCCGCGTTGCTGTCAAGAGTACTCTGCTTCTTTTTACTTTTGGCTCATCTTGGAGACATGCATGCCATGTCCAACATGCTGAAAATATTCAACCGTCAACCTAAACATGAGTGCCTGCATCGGCGGGACTCTGAGAGCCAAGACAGCGACAGCTTACTGCCAGGCTCTTCTTCAGCCTCGCCACCCCTCAAACCCTCTGCTTTGTATCGTCCAAGTGGCGATTCTCGGGTCGCTGTAAGAGTGCATGTGCTGTGCACTATCGTATACGTGGGCGCGACGTTATGGATGGCTTTCCATGTGAACCGAACGACCTCGGCCGTCAACGCTGACGAGTTTTGTATTCACCACATCTCGCAATACTGTAAGCCCTGCGTGAAGGAAGATTGGTGGCAGCTGGTGACCTTGACAGCACCCGTCGTCAGAGATGTGACGCCGAATTGGCATGTGCAATTGTTCAACGGAAGCTTCTTGCATCAGAATGTTTATCGGCAGTCAGCAGGGCCAGAAGTCGACGCGGCGTGGGATGCACTTGGTATCAACTGTAAGTGTCTTTGGTATACTGATGACTTGTGTTGACTGTTGTCCGAGACCGAAGTGTAGTGATTGCCGAGGCCGAGGCGGAGCGAACTGGGCTGCGTCATGACCAAGTGAAGATTAGTCAAGAGTACGGTGGTGGCTTCCCAGCCAACGTCGAGGGCCTGCATCACCTGCATTGTCTTGTGAGTGCTAACTTTGTGTGCGAACGAATGGACATTGACTGGTTGAAGGATCTCCTTCGCAAGACATTGCATTGGAACTACGACTACTATCTGGCACAAAAGCAGGGGGCATTTGTAAATAGCGAGTACATTGTGCGAGTGCATGCCACTCACTGCCTCGACACTATCAGACAGGTTCTCATGTGAGTGCCGGATGACTCACCAGCCATCCAACGACTAACGAACCGGGCAGGTGCAACCCGGACGTGGGTGTATTGGGCCAGGTGTGGTGGCAGCCCGACAGTGAGCCAGAGCCAATGCCGTTTGTCGACTTTAACACAAAGCACCGATGTCGCGACTACGAGGCTATACGGAAATGGGCAGAGGCGCACCAGCTGCCGCCAGAAACAGAGGTGGATATGGAGAGGTTCTATCAGAGGCCGAAGGCAGGGGACACGGTCTTGGGGGAGATTCCATGAAGGCATGGCGGGTGCTGGGCAGGCCAGCCAGAGGGATGGATTGGGCAGCGGCGTAATGCAAGTTTCTTTTCTTTTCTACTGTGCTCAGTTTTGGCGAGGCTTGACTACGCCATCGTGCACGATGTAATAGACGACGGTGCTATCGGTGTCGACCGTCGCCAGCACCACACGCTTGGTTGTCCGCCATGGGTTGGCCGGGCTTGCCGTGTCTGTTGTGTCCGGCTCGTGTGGTGGGACGAGGGCAATGGCATCAAAGACGCTGGCCAGCCTGCGCAGTGTCCACTGCTCCTTGAGCCTGGTGGGCAGGATCCATTCCCGCTCGGGGTCTGCCTTGACGTCGAGAGCAGCAGGCTGGCCGGGCGCGCGAGCCCTTCTCTCGCGGTCGGCCTTCTTGAGCAGCTCGACCTGCTCGTCGGGGTGGACGTAGAGGCGGCGGGGCGGGAGGCCAGAGACGAGGGGACGGGGCAGAGGGTCGTTTGTGATGGGCGAGTGCGTGTGAAGGCACAGGGCAGTCCAGTCGTGCTGGTGCTGGAGATTGTGCATGATCTGGCGGGCGAGCGAAATCTCATTGGGAAGGTGCGTCGTGGCAGCGTGTTGCGACGACGCCGCTGATACGAACGTTTGTAGCGGGGCCGGCGCAACGGCCACTCTCATGGCGCATTGCACAGCAGACGTCGCCATGTCCGCGCCTGGGCGCCGCGGCGAGGTCGAGGATAATTGGCAGTCGACGGCGTCGCAGGGTGCGCAGCCTGCTGGGGTGACGAGGAAGCTACGCGGTTGCGGAAGGAGCGAAGATCTCGACTGCCTCCCCGCCGTGGCATTCACCCAGGCAGCGACAGACGCACCCTTCTTATATACCGCCCGCTGCCACATGCACATCGCCCTCTTCTTGCAGACGCAGCCAGACAACGAACCACCACTGCACCATCCGTCCTTCAACACCGTCGCTGCCATGCTCGCCCCTGCCTCCATCTCCGCCTCTACCGTCCTGCTGCTTCTGGCTAGCGCCGCCGCCGCACAAGACGCCTCCACGACGTCGCCCGCTGCCAGCCCTACGCCCACCAGCGAGGGCGTCTTCACCATCCAGACATCGGTCCCGGCCGAGGACCCATGGGCCTGCTTCGAGGAATGCTTCATGGAGCCTTGCCCGCCCTCGCCATGTAAGTGTCTTGAATCTGACTAGAGCAGTTGCTAGTATGCATGCACGTTTACCAGCACCACGCACTGACTCGGCCAGGCTCTAGTACACCTAATGCCAGCTTGGGCACCCCCGTCCCCCTCCCCCGGCCCATCTCAGAATCCATCGCCTCCATCATCACAGACCCTTCTCTCTCCACCGTCACCGGCTTCATGAGCATCCCTGCCGGCGAGACGCCCATTTCTACTGGCGCCTCCCAAACCTCTACGCCCGCCTCTTCGTCCCAGACAGGCAGCACGGGAAGCCCAACTAGCTCTGGAGCGCCCGCAGCAACGGGCAACGCCGTGGCACTCAATGCTAACGCCCATCTCGCTCCGCTTGCGGCAGCCGTTGCCGGTGCTTTCGCACTGATCTGAGCAAGCACTATGGGAGCATGGTAGGGCCGAGTCACGGATTGCGCATGTTTCCTTTACATTCTTACTAGCACCGGCTTAGTGTCGCTCACCTGAAAACTACTCCAAGGCAACAACAAGATTGTGATTCTGAGGTCGAGGCAAACATCCACATTACAGCCAAGCTCAAACTAACTTTCCAACGGCTACTGTGCCGACTTTCAAGTTATTGCGTCTGTAACTGTGAGCAGTGATGGGGTTAGACTAAAAACTTTGTACGTGCCACTGTCGCACACGAGAAATGATTCACGGTATATATAAAATGACATCAAATAAAGCTTCATGTTCACACAATGTGCCGATGTTTGCGTGGAGTCCGTCATGTCTTGTAGCGAATTTTCCCTGCCTGATACCCTCACCGCCAAACCAAGCTCCACAATTACACAGGAGGCATTGTTTTCATGCGATAAGTCGAGTTCGGGGGGCTGCGAAACACCGAGTTGCTGGTGACTGATGGTTGGGTATGGTGGACCATAGACAAACACAACAACAGCACAGAAGTGGTCACGATTGTGGCGGAGTGGCTGTACGCGTTCTTCCACTGCAGGATGCGTCTAGCGTGTGGCTCAAATGCTGCAGGGAGGTGGATCTGGGGTTAGACAACGCAGGAGCCGCCTCCGAAGCAGTCTAGCCCCTCCATCACCCCATCGTCTGCAATGCCTGCGCCAAAGTATAAGGGTGCCATGGCGCCCGATAACAAAATGCCAGTTGTACCTCCCAACAGATTCGACGCCGCACGTCATACACCGCCGTAGGGGACAAGCCAGCAAAAGCAAGGATCCCGCCAAGGCAACGCGGCATTGCACTATCCATCATCAACCACCTTGGCTGGCACACTGAGCCGCAAGGGGGGACATTCACAAACTGTACATAACCAAGGACGTGGGCCAACCACCTTCCCTCTTGCACATGGCGTCCCCTAACAGCAACATCCCCACGCCGGTGCCATTCCCACAGCCCCCAGGTATCGCCAACCAGGATACGTCCAACGCTGGCCCAGAGTCACCTACCACCAATGGCCGCGACCGATCCTCAACAAATGCCTCGACCGTCTCGAGTAGACTGCGAAGCGCCACTGGCAAGCTAATGGAAGCAAACCCTCCACCAGGCATGTGGGCAGCAACTGGTACCACTGCAGCCAGGGCACCCTCTCTTTCGGACATCAGGACAGGCTCCTTTGGTTCCGACGGCTGGAATGAACATGCGCAACGCAGTAGAGCAGGGTCCCGAGCTAGTCGGCGTGCATCGGCATCGCGGACATCTACGACTGCAACAGCAACATCGGAGCAGCCAGAGCCCTCGCACACCGCGACACACAAGAGTTCGTCGAACAATGTGTTGGGCACCCAATCTTTTCCAGCTTTGGTCGAAGAAGACACACATCAAGTAGTGGAACAGGACGCTCAACCGAACACTGTACCTGGCGTACCGTCAAAACACAGTTCCGACACAGCAGCTGAGTACGTTGATGGCGGCCAGCCACAACAGCCCAAGAGAACGTCTTCAGGTCGGGTATGTCAAATGTCTTACTCCTCTCTACAATTGTACTAATAACAGACAGTATGCAAATGGTTACATTCCGCCACCGAAGCTCCCATGGAAACAAACCCTTAGCATTAGTCTCAAGAGCTTCTGGAAATGGTTCCTCACCCCTGCAGGCTTCCTCATCACACTGTACTGTCTCAATGTTGTTGCATGGGGTGGCATGTTGTTCCTCCTTCTCTGCAACGCCGCACCGGCCATGTGCAAGCCTACCTGTGACGATATCAATTCACCACGGCGCGTCTGGATTGAGATTGATTCGCAGATCCTCAATGCCCTCTTCTGCGTTACAGGTTTTGGTCTGGCTCCATGGCGTTTCCGCGACCTGTACTGGTGGGCTTGGTGGAGGATTGGTGGATCAAAGCGCACTGAGACTGGCATTCGACGACTAGCCGGCATACATCGAGGGTGGTTCAGACTTCCTGGCTCGGATCAGTTACCAGATGATGCCGATGCAACTTGCGTCGACCCTCAGAACCCTGCTGTACCCATCCCCCTCAAGGCAATCCCAGACCCACCCCCGACAGCAATGCGCGCCCCGCCGACCAAGAGCTGGACCATGGACGTTGTTGTCTGGTTCAATGTTTGGAACACATTCTTTCAGGTATGCCTGTGCTTCTACATGTGGCACTATGACCGTATACAGAGGCCGTCATGGGCCACGGGACTGTTTGTCGCACTAGCCTGTGGCGTGTCTGGTGCTGCTGGCTACATCATGTGGCAGGAGGGCAACAAGGTTAAGAAAATTGAGGGTGTGTCCATGCGTAAGGACTATGGACCCACAGATGCAGAAGCATCTTTGAGCGCACCATTGGTTAGAACAGGTGTGGCGACGAAATCCTGATATTAATGCCGAGCTTTCTGCGTGGCGCAAGCAGCGTGGATGAGGCTGCTCATTGGGAGCGGAAACCTGCACTGTGTTCTTGGCGTGCAGCACAGCCCGCGGCTCGCCTCGTCTGGTAAAACCAAGTCATCTCAAAAGGCATTCATAGTGTGCAGACACTGTAATTATCAATACCAGCACATAGTCGCCTATCTACAGAAAAGCTTTTTGACTGAGAACATGTCCATGGGAATCATTACGTCAGTCAAACGCATTCCACTTGCATCAAAAGGAAGCATCCGGACAGTTCTTCCAGTCCCGTCATTCTTCCACTGACGGGCTGGCCGAGTTGTCCGAAGATACCGATATGCGTACTAAGCAGATTTGAAACTAGACCTGTTGATCAGAGTGACGTCGCTAAAATAAACTAAGCAATGACTGGTGACAGATGCACGAGACCCTCAGGGTTTGCTTGGTATATATAACTTGGCCGAGGCCTTCCAAGACGCCTGGCGCCTGTTGGATTTCCTATTGTTTTTTTTGAGTACGCTTCATATTTTCTTTTGCCCACTTCACGATAGAATCAACCGTAATAACAGAATCTACGATTTACTGGGAGGACATTACAGGAAATGGCAGCGCACGACTACTATCTGGGCACACAAGGCGTCCATGAACTTCTAGGAAGTCACTCACCAAATGCATACCAGTCGCATTCATCAAAACCACCGCTATACCAGCAACCACCAGCATCACCGTACATGAACACGCCGCCTCCATCATATTCTGCGCATCCTTATCTTCCACCACCACCACCACCGAAACAACATAATGGCTACACACCCCACCAACCATATCCCGAAAAACCATCCCAACAACAAGCAATGATGGCACCCTACCCTCAAACACCACCACCAGGCGGCTACTTCGCCTCACCACCATCAATCCCACAACCGCAACCCCAACTCCAACGCCAACACAGCAGCTACCTCGGCGCCCCCCTTCAACCCTACAGAAGCCACTCTCAACCCGCCCGCGTCCGCTTCGCAGACCAAGAATCAGACCGTAGCACAAGCCTAGGCTCAATATCCGACTCCGACTCTCCCCCACCACCTAGCCGCCATCACCACCACCACCATCATCACCACTACAGTCAGCCTACCCAGCGCCACACCACCACCACCACCCACCACTCCTCACGCTCGCGAGACCGCACGTACGATTCCGACCACAGCAACCGCGACCGCGACCGCGACCGCTCTTCCTCGCGCCACCACAACCACAACCACTCCCGGCGCCACAAGCCCTCGAAATCGCATTCCTACGATAAATCCCACGACGAGTCGCACAAAACGCGCGACACCTTTCTCGGGGCGGGCGCAGGCACGCTCATTGGTGATGCCATCTTTCCCGGTCTAGGTACGGCAGCGGGGCTGGTGCTGGGCGGCTATGGGGGTCGCAAGTATGCGCTTGAGAAGAGGAGGGGGGATGAGGCGAGTGATGGGGAGAAAGGAGGAAGACGGAAGAAGAAGGGGCAGGACGGGTGGGATGAGAGGTGTAGGATGGGTAGGAAGCGGTCGGCTGCACGATAGATTTTTCTTCTTCTTCTTTTCTTTTCTTGAAGACGGAAAGGGGGTTTGTTTTGAAGCTGCTGGTTCAGCTTACGATTATGATCATGACCATGACATGTACGATATTTCATTGAGTTCGAAACGTCTGATAAGGCCAACGGCAATTGTTTTTCGATTTGAAAAAAAGTATATTTTCCTTCAAATCTCTTCGAAAATACATAAGATGTATGTCTTCAACCGAACTTGCGCGGTAGCATTCCATCATGCGTGTCTAAAACGTAAAAAAACAATTACAAATAATTAAGGTAAAAAGTGTGAAAACAACAACTTTTCACGGGTTAGATGGATGCACGTCTTCAACTACAAGCGAAGCAGTAGCGCTACATCCTACATGGACGCACGTCTTCGACCGCAGTAAAGCGGTAGCGCTACATCCAACATGTCATCATTCCAAGTGGATGCACATCTTCAACCGTAAAGGAAACGGTAGTGCTACATCCTGCATCTCATTATCCCGCCCAGTGGAATGACATCGCTTAGTAGATGCCGGGAATGATCCTCCAGGGGACAAGCTCAACATAACGATCCCAATCCTTTCCATACTTCTTCTTGCACTTTTCCTCATCACGGCGTTCGCGGTGGATGAGTAAGACGGCAAAGTAGACGATGAAGAAGTAGGTGAAGATCATGCCCCATCCCTTGGCCTCACCAGGTACAACGTACTTTCCGTAGCTGTCCTTGAAAAAGTACGCATCCGTCTGAGCAGCGGTGACCGGGTCCTGAGCCGCGTTCTTAATGACATATCCAGATACAGCGGTGGGCAGGACATAGGACCAGCTCATGAACCAGTCGCCTAGGTAGTTGATGTGGCGGGCCATACCCCACCAGCCGCTGACGAGGAGCTTGGAGCCGGCAGCTGTCTCGATGTACTTGAGGTGCTTGACACGGGGGTCTTCAGGGTTGGTCCTGAAGCGGTTCTTCTCGTTGTTGACGGCGCGGAAAATGTAGTAGCCAATACCCTGTACTGCCAATACACCGACTACACCGGTCAGGCCGAGTTCGACAGGGTAGACAGAGAGATAGCGGGTCTGGAGAGAATAGGTAAAGGGAACCCAGACAAGGTCACCAAATGAAAGCATCATGCCGAAACCGTCTGCGATGAGGTCAATGGTGGTGAGAATGGCGGGCTCCATGTATAAGGCGTCAAAGGTGTAGACGGTTTGCGCAACGGTGACGAGGATAATGGAGTCGGTTACGCGGCCAAAGTTGCGGTATTGTTGCACCATAAAGGCAAGGTCCATGATGACCCATCCCAACATTCCGGGGCGGAGTTCGCACCATGCCTTGATGTCAACTTCACCAAAGATGGGCAGAGTGATGCGTGGGTTCAGTTCGCGCCCGATGAACCAGTCGTATAGCATGTTGCCAGTGTGGCCACCGGCTGCAAGTTCCCGCATGGAGGGATCCTTAGGGTGCTTGACGCTGAAAGAAGCAACATAGACGTAGATGGCCAAGAAGAAGGAGATGAGGATGTTGCTGGTGACAATACCAATGTAGTTGTCGTGAATAAAAGTCCAGACCGGAAAGTCGACACCTTGGGAGATGGTTCCAGCAGCGAGGACTGTAATGATGAAGAGAGCAGAGTAAAAGGCTGATGCGTATTAGCATATTAGACTCTAGTCAGGTGAATATGACTTACCATTGAACTTGTACTTGAGCCTACCACCGGACCTGAGCTCTGTGCCCTCACACTCTTCACCTGGGAGGAAACGATACAGAACCAAGCTCAGGAAGTAGTAGCCCAGGGTACCAAGGAGAGCCTGTGTGTTGAGCAGACCAGAGAAACCAGTCCATCCAACCTCCTTCTTTAGCTGTTCAAGGCTGAAGCTCTCAGGGTGGAGGAGCACAGGTGCCGGGCATCCAGAGACGTCATTGCACACAAACATGAAGACGTAGACCAGAAGGGGAAGACCGAAGGAGATGAGGAAGGCTCCAGGACTGCCAATGCGGTTAGCGTGATGATGGTCAGGGTCCTCGAGCAAGATGGAACGTACGGTCCGAGAAACTCATAGCCATGGGGCTCCTCGGCGAGCTTCTTGATGCCCTTGTCGGCAGTTGCTTTTGCCATTGTCCCAGCTGTCGAATTGTATCCTCTGGCTCTTTCAATGCCTGTTGATGGCGCAAACAAACAAACGTAAGCAAAGGAAAAGTGGCCCGTCGCGTTCCGTCCCACAACAACAAACAATCCCAGGCTCTTTTCTAGTGGATGATTAACGCGCCGCCTGGTGAATGGACGAGGGGAGGCACAGGGTCTCCTTATGTAGTTGAGTGCAGGACCACACAAATCAGTCGATGGGAGAGGAGGTCGGGAGCTTCGTAGCCGGAATGACGCGCACAGGCTGGTCTTGGCGGCACTAACCGCACCCAGCCCCAGCCGGAGTGCCAGGGATGCTGCGGGTGCAAGCCACTACGACATGGGGTGGCAGCTCCGAAAGCCAACGTGTTGTAAAGGACGAGACGTGTAGGCGATCGGTCCATCGCAGTCTTCATCGTCACCATCGAGTATCGCCGGACTGCGCTGCGCGCCAACCAACACCGTCATGATAAGCATACTTCATGTCCTGGTCCTCATAGCAGCATCGGCGCTACCCTTTGCAGCCGCCGCCTCGGACAAGCCGCTCAAGCCATGTACCGTCATCTCGCCCACCACCGAGCGCTTCTTCGACCTGAACCCCATGCGCCGTCTGGCTCCCTCCCAGTCTGATGGCAAAAAGAACAGTAAGAAGGAGGGCGACGAGGGCAGCTGGCATGCCAGAGGCTACGACTACGGCGCAAACTTCACCATCAACTTCTGCGGGCCCGTCGTAGAAGAGCTCGACGAGGTGCAGGACCTCGACAAGGCCCTTTGGCGCAACGTCAGCGCCTTCTACGAAAAGGGCAGCAAGCAATGGGCCATCGGGTGAGTTCTATCGCCCGTCAACAATGATACCATCAAAGACAGACGATGAGGACAATCGTCATATGCGCGCCCTTCCCCAAGGCTGAAACACAACAAACTTGGAGTCGCAATGCTGACTGAACACCTCCACCACAGCCTCGAGAGTTCGGAACCCATATTCCGCGGTCGCAAACTCATCCTCAACTACACGGGCGGCTCGCTGTGCCCCTCCTCGTCGTCAAAGTCCAAGCGCGCGCTCGAGCCAGTCGCCCTCGACTCGCGTGAAATCATCGATGGCGACGACGACGATGACAAAGACAAGGACAAAGACAAGGACAAAGGCAAAGATGGAAAGAAAAAGACGCAAGAGCGCCGCAAGACGACTGTCATTTCGCTCCTCTGCGACTCGGACCCCCTGGCCAAAACCTCCGTTTCCTTCGTCGCCGCAGTGGACGACTGCGCATACTTCTTCGAAGGCCGCTCGCCCTTTGCTTGCGGTGGCGTACACCAGGAAGCGCAGGCGCTGAGTCCAGGCGGTGTCTTTGGCGTCATGGTCATGATTGCCGTGCTCGTCTATCTCGCCGGTGGTTGCGTCTACCAGCGCACCGTTATGCACCAGCGCGGATGGCGCCAGCTGCCCAATTATGCCATGTGGGCTGGTATCTGGCGCTTCTTCACGGTGAGTTTACTCCGGTGCTTTCGGAAGAGCGGTCGTATCGCTGTTTGATCTAGTTTAATGTCCCTTTTGGCCTCTTGGAGTGCTGACGTTGAAAAAAAAAGGACATGTTTGTCATCTTGACTTCTTCCTGCGCTCGCTTTATGCCGGCTCGTCGCGGATACAGTCGCGTTTCCCTGGGTCAGGACAATGCGCGCAGAGGCCGGCGCAATGAGGATGAGGATAGACTCATAGATAACTTGGATGAGGAGTGGGATGATTAGACAGTTCCTGTGTACAGATATTGAGCATGGCATCATGATACGGCGTTTATGGGTTTGGTTTACAAAGTAGCACTTCGCCTTGGAGCACATCAGTCTCGGGCGTAGAGTGGGTTGTTTGGATATGTAGTGTGCGTTAGCAATTCATCTCATCACGTCACTCAGCACATGTCATTCTCCCAAAGAACCACATTCTTGTACCTCATGTATTGAGCAGGTACCTGGTGTTGCTATCTCGACATACTATATACATGCAGCGGCGAAGCATATCGGGCACCCGGGAAACACCAGTACAACCTGCAGATAAACTCGTCTGTGTTGTCCATCAATACCAGGGGCCGAAAGGTTTGAATCTCCACCATTTGCCCAAACAGTACCCCATTAGACTGGCTGACGTTACCAACTAAATAGTAGTAACGCTGCTCCCACCTGCAAAGCGTTGGAAGGAACCCTCAGGAACGTCGGTGGGATAACCTGTCAAGAAAAACCAAGGGGGATTATCGTAAAGTACCATGACTTGACATCTTCGTAAAGAAAAGGAAAAAATTGGAAAAAGTGCTCCCGCTCAGCTGAACGACGCAAGAAGATGTGAGTATGTCAACCTACTCATCATCATCCATGCTATCCTCGACATATGCCTGGTTGAATGACCTGGACTTCTCCCGCAAGACCCTGGGGACGTTGTTGGTCTCTTTATCGGCCTGTTCAAAAGACACTTGTCCCGAATCATCCGTACCACCATGCCCCTCTGTACTATTGTGAACCGGTTCTTTGCTCTGGGCATTCGTAGGTACCTTTGGATACACTGAGCTGAGATCTCCATTGGCGATGGGCTCGAATTGCGCATCTATACCTCTCAAGATCTGACGAGTCGCTGACTTCATCTCACGCTCTTCGTTAGACAGTACTCGCGTAGGTTGGTTACCAAGCGCACATGTGTAGTCCCTGTTCATGTTTCTAAAGATTTCGGATGCTTTGGCTTCCATCCGTTTCTGTAGCGTTTTGGACATGGCTTCGAGATCCTCTTCCACTTTCTGAACCGCTTTACGGAACATTGTATGCCGAGCATCCACAACATGACTTATCATATGTTCCTTCATCCGCTTAAACGACCCAGGACCATTCTGTGCGGCGCATATGTTATATGCATCACGCATCATGTCCACAATGCAAGGTGTAAAGTCGCGGTTAGCTTCGCGTTGGATCTCCTTCATCTCATTGACAAGATCAACACCATATGCTTTGAAACCATCTTTGTAGTTTGGGAGTCGTGTCCTCAAAACGGACAGGTTAGCAAGTCCAATTCCAGTGGATCGAACACGTGCTTCAATGGCTTTATGGGCCTTTCCAAGGAGCTTGTCGAGGTCATCGATGTGGTTGTTAAGTGTTTCTGGGAGGCGTCTCTGGAAAGTGCGCTCCCAGCCCGTAGCGAGCCGCTTCATGATAGGTTCGACAAGATCCGAGTTGAAGTCCCGCTTGCCCGCTGCTGTAGAATGGAAGACACCCGCACGGCGGACTACGGCTTTGTACGAGGCCCACATTAGACCCCCTTGGTCTTTCTGACCCCAGGCGCCAGCTGTTGCAGGTGCAGCCTCGATGGCATCATTGACGAGTTCTGGGAACCTGTCGGAGATTTGAAGCCTCACCTCGGACTTCACTTGCTTGACACAATTATGCACGCTATCATCGAATCCCGTTTTCAGCTCTTCCATCCTTCGCTCTAGGAACTTCAAGTGCTGTTGTTTATCCTTCTCAGTTAACTTCAAGTCAGGGCTGTTCTCTGACGTCCACAACCTGAAGGTGATCAACAGTTGCAGGAAACCCGTTAGGAAGGTTCGGCTTGTTTGGATCCGGCCAGCCTCGGTGAGCTTCTGGCAATGAATTTGGAGCTGGGGGATTTCAGTCTCTTCTACACTTGTGAAACCGTGCACATTGTCATCCTTCTGCATGCGTCCACACATCTTTTGATACGCTCTGCTGCTGACGCAGAAGACAGGTAAGGACTTCGCGACTTGCTCATAATCACGCATCTCTTCATCGGGGTCAAAGCTGTCCTCGTCTGCTTCAGCAGCGTTCTCTTGATCAATTTCCCTGATACCTGCAGCAAAATCTTGACGAATAGCAGACTTGGAGTAGAGATTGCGTCCAGCAATGCAGATCCGGCTCATTTCTGCTCTGATCTTGCCCTTTTCGGTTTGCAACGTTCCGATTTGAGGTCCCAAGTCATCAATCGCACTTTGCATCTTAGTGCTTTCCTGACGAGCATTTCTCTTAGCCTCCCTTAATTCCTTGAGCTTGTTTCTGACGTCCAATTCAGACAATACGAGTCGCTCGCCTTGGAACTGAACTTCACCATCGGAGTCGGAGACTTCGTCGTCAGAGTCAGAAACTTCACCGTCAAAGTTCTGTTGCAACTCCTGTCTCTTCAATGGTCGTTTATCCGAACTGGTATTTTTACGCTTCTTGAGCGGAGTGATGGGTGCGTACACTGGCTCTCCGTCTTGCAGTCGCTCATGGAGTGTCTCCCAGGTCTCGATTTTCTCGGCTAGGCTTTCCATCGCAAGTTTGTATACTTGTTGCGACTCTTCGAGTTCTTTAATTCTGCGATGAATTTGCTCGATCTGTTCATCGTAACTCCCGCTTTGCTGTTCGAGTTCTGCGATTTCCCCATCCAGTTCAAGACTATCAATCGCCTCGGTAATGGAAATATCGTCTGTTTTTGAGCAAATAAACGTTACACTGGAAAAGCCACCATCGTACTTCAACTGGCGCTTGAAGGAGTCTCCAAGAAGGGTTTTGGCAGCTTTGTCGTCTACAGCGCGATTGATCGGAGCAACAATCCACAGGCCTGTGCATTGCTTCATGTAGCCCTCGGCTACAGCAGCTCTAGCAGCATTACTGTCGTGAACGCCTGGCAGGTCCACAATGACGGCACCCGTTGATAGCGCTGAGCTCTTGGTGTATATTTTGACGACTTTGATCAAAGGCCAGTATTCCGTCTTAGGTGACGAGGCTTTTGTCCTACTTTTACTTTTATCCTTTTTAGACACCTTTTCTTTACTGTCGACATACTTTTGGAGCTCTATATAGAAACTGCCTGGATGGCTCATGTGTATCTGTTTGGTGGTTCCGAGAACGCTCCTAACAGAGTTGTCCAACATGAGATCAGGTATAGTGGTCTCGTGCAATGCGTCCTTTCGCACAGATGGATACACAGCGTGAAACTTTGCCCATGCAACACCAGCATCAGAATTTGGATCCTGGACTTCGTGAGATAGTGTACCATTCTCAGACGAAAATTCTTGCATTAGCACCGAGAGCTCCTTTTCCCAATCTTCGGGACTGATGAACTCAATCTCCGCACGATACTTAGAAGAAGCTTCGTCACTGTTGTTCCAAGAAATCTCAGTAACAACAGCGGTACAAGCCCGCATGCAGTTGGTAGGGACGAGGCGTTCTTCATTAAGCATCGCGTTGATTACACTGCTCTTTCCAGCTCCTGTGTTGCCTACCACGCCTATGACAGTGCGCTTTCGCTGGGCTTGTGGAATCAGTGTTGCTATAGTCTCTGTCCAGGGAGTCACCTCTACGTTAGGCCTAGATGTAGCGCAGTTGATGAAGGTATGCTTGAAGCTTTCGAGGATTTGCATTGCTCGAGCTGCGCCAGCTTCGAGGATGGCGGGGTCTTGCAGTTCGATTATGCGTCGAATGTTTCGGTCGAGATGGGCAAGGTCTTGTTCGTTACCCTCGTCCAGAGTAGTCTCTCTCATTAGTGCGTCCTCGAGCGGCGAACCCAGCGAGGGTGAAGCCAGTCTTTCGTGTTTAATGCTGATTCGTTCTACATCTAGCACGGGGCTGTTAGTAGAAGGACCGAGTGCTATAGAGAGAACAAACGTACCATTGTGGAGCTCGGTAGGTAGAGCCGCACTGATATCGCGCTCTTTTCCATAGTCTTCCTTCATGCCTGACTGCGTCGGATCAGTAGTCATGGAAGCGACTATCCACTGGTAATGTACTTGATGTTGATGAGTTTGGTAGCGCAGTGAACATTAGAAGGCAAGAAAAAGAGGCTGCCGAAAGAAAACTCTTCGTCTTTGGACTGCCATGAAAGTGAGAGTGAATTGATATGTTAGTAATCGGGCAAACACTCAGCAAACACAACTGTGGGGCTGCAGAGACGCACTAGTTGCGCGCTGTCACATGACAGCATTTGGCCAGGGTTTTGGCGGCAGCTTTGGGAACACTGGCATGCTCCGCCTAACCTGTATTCAGTCGTATCGCAGTATGAACACATTATATTGCCAAGTTTTTCTACATGTTATCATGGAGACCAACCAAATCTTACATACGCATTGTATGGCATTCACTTTGTGCATTCTCTACACTGTCTTTCACTACCAGCGTCGACTTTCCTATCTCCGAGCTTTGTCTCGCGATGCTACTGTCAAAAGTCAACAATGGCCTTGTTTCTGTTATGTATACTAGCTGAAAACCTTCAAACGCAGATGCACAAATCTGAATTCCACATCCTAAAGTAACGATGAGTGCGACACCACGACCGAAGCGCAAGGCCCCCAAGCTCGATTCAGGAATCAATGGACTTATTACAGCATGTAACAAGAATGACCGCTTCAAACTCTTAGATGATACTACCATTTCCCCAGGAGACTTGGACAACCCTATCCATTCTGTGTTTTCCAAGTTGGACAGCGTAGGGCCGATGAAGCAGATGCTGCAGCTGGCATCGCATTTCCTTACCCACGATACACTTTTATCCTTCTTCATACCCTTATTGTACGGTCGTGAACTCAAAGGTGTCGTCAATGGCGCATATAAATCCTATCTTTCAAACCCTCTAGCTAGTGCGTCCGGAGAAAAGTATCGACTATATCTAGCTGGTGTCCGTGATGCGTTGGAATGTCTCAGTCACAGCGTTTCATTTCATTTTGTGCCACCTGTAAAACGGGTGTATGCACGCACTCTAAAAGAAGACGAGCCATCAATTCACAGCACAGAGTGTTATTCCCTATTCCAGCGAAAATATTCTTGCAAGATTGAGTTGGCGGATTACTTTAAAAGCTATTATACTGGCGGTGAATATGCCGCAGCGTCTCCATGTGCGCAGTTTCGTCACGACTTCCTTTTTGCCACTACGCTTGTACATGAAGTAGTCCATGCCATCGGTGTGCTGCGGCGAGGCAACCTTGAAGAACCATACATTCGAACTGATTGCCCAGATACCGAGTGGGGGTATGGCTGGGAGCATTTCATGTTTGGTTGCGTAATTAATCCTCAAGATAGATCCAAGCCTGGGACACATCTTCTGATGCGCAAAATATGGGCAGATCCGAAAGCAGCGGAAGAGGCTGGAGGCAAAGAGTACTCAGATGTTTCCATGTCTTACATTGCGCAGTGGTTTCGCAAAGACACATGGGACATAGTTCGTAAGCAAGGACCAGCTGTGATTACTGCCCCCATTACCCATTTTAAGATTCAGTCTTCAAACAAGCTCGGTGCTTGGGTAGTTAAGAGCGATTGCTCAGAAATCATAGATGATTTGATTGAGCTACATGAACAATGGGAAAGGCGTGCTATAACGCCCGGCCCTGTGTTAGGTTCTCCAACAACACGTAATGGCCGTGTGCAATGCACAAAGATTCTATGGCAGTTCATGACTCCCAAGCAGCTCCAGAAACACAATGTGCCTATGCCGGTTCGTGCACCGCAAAGCATACAAAGTCCTCTACCGTGCTTCCAAAATCACACCAAGAGCCAGCTAGCAAAGTGCAAACATATGCACACGGCACTTGCATCCGATAAAAATGATACTAAACTCTACAAAACCCTTGATTCGAATTGCCGTCCCACTCGAAAGCGGCGCGCAGATCTAATGGAAGAATGTAGCCAAGCTAAGAAGGTTAGAAAGTTGGAAACAGGGAGTTAATCTGAATTCGTATAGCCCAACCTCTTGGATGATAGATGACGCATGGCCTGTTGTAGAAATAAATTAAAATTATTTGTAAATTTCGATTCTCGCCAAATTCCTTGATTATATGGGATGACTTGCGGCAAATGATCCAGCTTCACACATCACATATGCCATCTGTTTGACAACCGTGTATCACAACACCAAAACGACTTGAAGATCATTGTCTCACAAAAGAGTATTTTTGAACTCGAATTTGTCTCATTTCGTATATCATAATTACTATAATAGCTGCTACCAACCTTATGTCACCCCCCACATTCAACTATTCACCACTTTCACCTTCACAACAATCAATCTCGCCATCATGCCTTCTCGGCCCAACTTACCATCCCGCAAGACCTTTATCAAAGACCTTATGATATCTGTTGCTCCATCTTCAGCAGACAACTACTGCCCGATACGCAAAGAAGAATATGACGAAAAGCACCTCCCTACCCTTCTCCGACCCTGCGGTCACATCTTCGGAAAACAATGTATACATTCGTGGTTTGTGGAGGATATCAACACTTGTCCTCTGGATAGAAACCAGCTCTTTGACCCATCTACGCATGACGAGAAAGATGAAGCTGGCCCGTCACCTCCAGTCGGTGAGGCTTCAACCCAACGGAACAGCGCCAGGTTTAGCAACGCGAGAAGAAGCGAAGGCTTCCGTGGAAGGAGTCGGAGCATGGGCTATCTGCTGTGTCTTAGCGGTGAAATCATTGCAGTAGATGGTTACGTAACACCCAACGGATGTCGTCGCCTGGTGCGCGATCTCTGGTATCAAGTTGGCATTTTGTTCGAACACTTGCTGATTCACCCTGACGAGCTTGATCCTCTCTCAGTGAGCGATGACGAGATTCGTAGCTCTATTCTTGACGCACTACCACGAGGCATTCATGTTGATGAAACAGCATGGTCGGCAATGGCACATATAGCGAGGATCATGTTGAATCGTCATAGCGAGGCATATGCGGAGAGATTTGATGCGAGGATGACGGTTGAGGATGCAATAAGCTGGGGACAAGACATCTGGGATGTTTGTGGCCTAGACAGTACTGAAGAGTGATGATAGTACAATTGCTATCATCTCTGCTGTCTGTTCTCCTTTGGGCTTTGATAGGAGAAGAATTTCGATACTTTCCCTTACTCAACGCATATAGCTGCTGTAGCCTTCATACCCTTTCTACATGTAAAAGACATTACTTGAAGTTGTTTCCTTAAAATACTTAAATAATTAGAAAAAAATCTAATGTATGTTGTGTAATAACTTTGCCGAACGGGTATGAATGAAATGGCTCAACCCAAATTAATTTGCAAAAGACCAAGTGTCAAGTCACTGTTGCAGCACTGATCACGCATTTAATACTTTGATGTTCTCAAATAATCCCACGGTAGTTATGGAAGATTGAGAGGGGCTGGTGATGAAGTTCATCGACTGGGTCTTCTACACTTTTATGCGAGCTACTACTGGCAAAATAGTCAGAGCTTGGTATGAGATCTGCCAAGGAATAACGAATCCCTATATTTATCAAAGTCTCTACGAATATGTTGAAGTCCATTGTTTATCTCACTGCTTACCCGGCAGTCTGTATGCAAGTGGTCAGTCACGGAATACGATCGGGTCTCCAACCGCCCCACAACTCAATTGGGACGCTCGGACTCCGCGTGATTTACAACTCTGATTCCCGGTAGATTTCGAAACATCTCCAAAGCCCAGTATCCGTAAACTTCCTTTGAAATCACTGGATTGCTGGTGGCAAGTGCGTTGTCACATGATGACGTTATAGCCGTTCTGAAGTGTCCTCGAAGGCTACGGAATTTCTGGAACGAGCACGGGCTAACCCTAACCGGCCCTCTCACCCCCCACATTTCGATCAATACCCTCAGTCGACCAAAAACTTCAACATATCACAAAGGGCTACAACATTTATCTTCTTATTAGACGGCTTCGACTGCAAGATTGTTCAACAGTCGGTGCTGTTCAGTTATTCTGATTGCCGTTCCACTCCGGCCACAGCCCGGTCAAAAATCCTCACCGCCCACACTTCTTGGTTGCGCAACAATAGCAAACCCAAATACATACACCAATTCTCCTACTGAGATTATATACTGGCATCATATTTATATAGGTACACAGTAGACTGTGGTACGAACTCTACCAGGACCACTGCATCGCGGTACCAATTCAAGTAATCCACTTTAGACTGGCGTCCGCGACTATGATGCCCAACACAAACACCCCCTACAATCCCGCAGCTCACAGCACACCTACCACACTACTTCCCGAAGAGGTTTTCGGCTATATTGATGTTGTAACCTTGGCAGATATTCACCGGTACCTCCGGGAGAGTGAGGCACAGGACGACATCGACCTTGCGGCATGGATCCAGGAGAACTATCTTTACGGCGTTGAAAAAGACCAACCTACAGCGACAATTCGTACAGCCCAAGGCTTTGCTCAATTGGATCGAGCATATCGCCGAGTGCGATCACTTACTAACAAAGCTCAAGACAAGTGGCCGTTCTTCGACAGAAATTTCAAGGAGATGTCCTCAGCCACAGTTCGGAACAACGCACGCGGTGAAGCCGCTCCGGGAGTATTGTACCCGATTGAAAAAACGCACAAGGCTTTGACTGCAGTTGAACAGCTGGGCGCTTCAACCGTATCCAATAGTAAGTGAAGTGAATTTGAAACTATTTCTAGTGGCTCAATCTAACTGTAGCTTCTTCAGCCCCAGGACTTCAGGTGCCGTTTGTTTCGGTAAAGCCAAGCCGCCACCAGCTTTGTAGACAAGAGGAGGCTCGTCCAGCGCAACAGAACCCAGTTCTTCCCCCGTCCAATCTGCCAGCAACTCCTGCTCAGCAGCAGGCAGGTGAGAAGGATTCAGTTCATTCGCAAAATTTGGCGCAGGAGATTTCTATGTGTATGGGTACGTTGATTTTTATAATGGAGCCATGCTCACTTCACTGCGCTCCGTTCGTAACTTCTCACGGTCATCGCCGACGATGCCTCATCACGCTAATACCCTTATAATTGGCCCTTTGACTAACATGACATTTGCAGACACCATCACAGACGCCAGCAGCCGAGAAATGATCCAACCTGAACTGCCGCAGCCTGCAGCAACCTCGATCAGACGGACGCGCGACGCAGCTGACGATGTCAAGCTAGAGACCCCGTCTACAAGTCCATCAAGTCATTCCAAGCTCAATGATAATGACTCCAAGGCGGACCCCATTCGAGATGCTGGCGGTGGCAAGGTCCGTGGACCGAATGGCCGATATCTATCCAAAGACGACGATTTGTCTAGCCTGAAGAAGATCAAGAAACCCAAAGGAAAGGGTGGTAGGCCAAGCTTGAAATCATCTGACCAAAGTAAGTTTCTATTCCCGCTCCTGTCACCCAAGCGCAGCCACTGTCGTACTCTGCATTAGGCGCAAGAGCTACATCTGATTATGATATAAACATACTTACAAAACTAGATCATTTGATGACGATGGATGGATCTTCAGATAAGCCCGATGAACTGTCAACTGGAGACGAGGATGTCTCCGTTGAAGTGCAGACACCTTCGACGCCACCCCCTGACCAAAAAATTGAGGAACAGAACAGTAGGTGGAGGAAGAATTCGTACATCTATTTTCGCTGAAATTTGATTTAGAGAGCAATGCGGCTGCTACGATCGCAGTCCTTGATACCACATCACCCCTTGCTGCCAAAGATGGGACCGAGAACCAAGCGACATCTCTGGCAGCTTCTACTCCTGCGTATCTTCTTGCAGCTGAAGCTGATCCGGTGCCTTCAAATTTGGATCGTCTACCGCCTAATTCACGTAGAGCCATCAAGAGGAAGAGCGAGCCGGTTGTTCAGGAAGGGGAGCGCAAACGCGGCAGATATGGTGGCATAGTGGGTCGCCCGCGGAAGTCGGAACAACGTGAAAACCGCCAAGGTGCTGAGGAAAATGATTTGACACAAGATCATGGAGAAAATGGAACAGATTCATTACCCCAGATGACGACACGTCGAAGTGCCAGACAGTCTGCTGCAGCGCACTTGGATACTCCGAAGGCCGACGAGCCAACATCCGAGCATGACAAAAAAGACTCGAAGCTTTTGAAGAAAGGAGTAACAGCAGAAACTTCTCCGAGCAACGAAAGTATGACTACAGCGGAAGACAAAACTATGGGAGGCATGGAGGAGAAAGACACGGCTACAATTCACAAGAACACCTCTACACCTGCCCGCAAACCAAAGAAGAAAGGCACACGCTCGTCAGCTGAGCCTAGTACTCGTAAGCGTTCAGCCAAAACTCCGAAACCAGACCTACTGAAGATGGGGTTGGAGAAAACCACTCCCGTCCCTGTAAAGAAATCGTCTACAGACATAGAGAAGAACGGAACCACGCCAACTTCTTCCGATTCGACTGGTGTTATTATGTTCAATGGAACGAAGGAAACTCATACTGGCTATTTAGAGTTGTTCGCACGTCTAACTACCGGCCAAGGCATCATTGAGATTCCCATTCCTACCGATCAACTCAACAGCGACGAGGCAAAGATGATTGAAAAGTATGCCGAGTGGAACGCGCAACCAGATGCAGTTCCAGTCCCGTACGGTCAGTTCCGCCAGATCTTCTCCTTTGCTAAGAAGGATTGATGGGCTAGTCTTACATGGCACTAGACCATACTGAGAATTTAGGATAACGAGATATGTACAAATAGATTGACTGACGAATTGATTCATTTAACTCATACATGTAAAACTCCTCTAGGGTATGCAGACAAACCAAGCCTAGGACTCATTTGGTGCCATTTTTCGCCCTAACTTTAAAACATCTGCGAGTATGTATGATACGCAAAAGTAAATTATTCTCTTATTCCTCCTGTCAGCACCTAAAAATCTTATTTTTCTACGTTGCTATATTGCCCACTGTGACCTTGTGTAATCTCCCGAGAAAAGAGCCCCCCTACATCTAGAAACTAAAATGGCGGTCGCTGTATCAAAGTGCATCGGCGATCGATTCCAGTAAGCCGAATCCACACTTCTGCCCTGGGCTTCACATCTGGAAGGATATATAGGTCGCTCTGTCCGAACTTCTATAAAGCAGAATCCATTGACCCGGGTAGCGCGATTATCAGAGATAATCTAGTGAAGCGGAAAGTACTCATTTAACAGAATGGCCCTTAAACATGTTATATGCCATACAAATATCTTAAGTACATGCCCATGTACTGTACACAAACCGTTCTAATAAGTTTACATGTTTGCACTATTTTATAGCTCGCAACTTGGCCTCTTTCGCCCTTCCCCTTGTTCTTCTAGAGCACGTAAGTTAGTGATAACACCGAAAAAAGCATTCATCTCGGTATTTCAGAGGGTGCAATTTTTTCAAGTAAGCACTCATTTTCCTGCAGTCGCCTTATAAGCATAGTTGGGAGTGGGAATACGGAAAAGTAGGGAAAGGGTGTAGTCTTGGATTTCCCTTTGCGCTGGAAAGGGGTGGGGGTGGTATGTACAATGCATATTAGAAGGCCGAGGTTAAGCATATGAGAGACAGAGAAGAAGGGGGTGTGAATGACGTAGCAACTAAGAAGCTGTTTCATACGAGTTTTATTTTTTTAGTGTAAAGAGAGAGATATGACTAAAAGAGGAAAATATTGTAAAGCATAAGAGACCCAGCTATAATATAGAGACCATTCAATATACAATAGAGAGTAGTAAGTAGGCTGCATGGCGTTTTACTTGACGGAAGTAGAAAATGTCGTATTTATCACGTGGAGAACTAGTTACTCACGTGTTTTTTAGACCTTGGACGAAGAGTGCCTTGGATAATGTCACGTGGAACGGGCTTGGCATGGGGTGCCTGGTTTGGAGTTGTTATTTGCGGGTCAACAACGGACGAAATTAAGTTGTTTCCTTGATCCACTTGTGACAGGTTGTCACGGTAATGTGACGTGTACTGTGACTCGGTGTTCGGCAAGTCCGGTCAAACCTCAATTGAAGAGTGAAGTTTTTTTCAAAGCCTCTGACTGGAGGGGACACACAGTTCCGATGATCACCTTGACAGACGATATGGAATTCTTCCTGTTTCGACTCCTGGATATAGCACCCCGTCTTCGAAACGGTAAAGTGGATGGCTATAGCCAGATCCGCGCTCTCGCCCCTACGTACTGTCGGATAGCGTGATCAACAAACCAAAAGCCAAGTCGTCCACGAACTGCAAAAGGAAGCTCGCACATCTGATGCCATCAGCCACAGCCCGTTCCTGAAAAAAGGCATGTAGCATGTCGACTTTTCCTAACGACAATTACTGCAACCCACTGCCCAGGCACTCCACGGCCCCCCCTTCCCGGCCTCGCCGCAACCTATCACATCCACATATCCTATCACTTGGTACCACCCCACTCCCCATCCAACAAAAAAACACATCCAAGAAACGATCATCAGTCGCTCAACCAACCCCTTATCTTCACCACCACTTTCAATCTCCGCCATGCACCCTTTTCTATTTTCAACCCCCAAAGGCTGTTCACGTGTCCCCCGGGCCGCATATGCATGAGGCGTGCAGCTTGCATAGCCTCGCCCACATCACCCCCCCCCCCCCATCTCCACACTTCCATCCGTCCATCACATCCATTCATCCATCCAGCTCACTCCTACTACGCGATCCCGTGCCACACTAACCCCACAACCCGTTTTTTTGTTTGACACGCACACACCGTTAGTTACCCGGTGTCGTGTAACGTTACCTTCTATCAGTTACGCGGGCTACTAACATTTCGGCCCATGGTTGGTTTTTTTCGCCGTTTCGGCAGGTACGGACGCCGAAGCGGATGTTTTGTTAACGGTGTGAGCGAAGTGTGTGGGGGGGCGGGCAGGACTAATGCTACTACTACTATCACGCTTGTTCACTCACGCAAGGGAGGACGTGACGTTGTGGATCTGGAGACTAGGGACCGGCTGTTTTGTCATGTCTTATTACTTCGGGTATTTACAGCAGTACATACTGCTCTAGACGCGGAAATTTGTGGTTCTTCTGGCCCCCAATGACTCTTCCCTTTTTTTTCTTCCCCGCGGAATGTCGAATGTCCGTCCTAGTGTGTTGTCGTGTTTAATGTCCGTCCTAGTGCGTCTTTTGTCGCTTGCGCGATTCTTTGACGGCTAGGCGTGCATGTAGTAAGGCGTGAGCGGACATGGCCGATGTCGCAAGTTTGAGTGTCATGATACGTTTTTACACTGTGGAATTTTGCAAAGCGACATTAAAGTATCCGAGAGTTCAGGTCCTAATTAATTTGTTTTCTCTATGTGTGTGTACTATTTGCAACTCGAAACTTCTGGGACAGTGACAAAGTTGCAAAGAACTTTCTGGTCTCTCCTTTTCCTCGGAGCTTGTTGTAAAGATCGGCATCTGATGACGGAGGTTTATCCAACCTCAAATCTCCGCTCCGTTAAGGCTTTCAGCGAGGCTTACTTTACTTGTCTTCGCTTAAACTTTGACGTTGGCCATCTTCATATATGGCGTTCGGACCCACTGTGAATGAAACGTGATTGACCATGCATGATATGCGGAGAGGCGTACGACCCCTGTTAAGGGTATTACTCATACCCATGCGCAGAGCATATGCGGGTGTGGGGGCTGCATTTCCCGATGCGGTAAGAAGGGAGAGTACAAAGGGCACATCAGGGTGTACGTCAATATATCTGGCTCTTTGTCGCATGTGAAAGAAAAGACGACAGGGATTATAGTTCTCGTGTTTGTGGATCAGTGCATTCTAGAATGCCCGTATCGCCGTATGGATGGTATGCAAAGTCCCGGTCAATGACTTGTGTGACTTGTAGCGACTATGCAAGTTTGAGCATGACGGCTGCGTTTCCGATTCGTATACGCTATCTGAGCCAATGCATGAAAAAACTAGGCAGCTTAATCGATGTGTGCCGGCGCATTGAGAAGAAACTACAGATCTGTACTGCTGGACAGCAAGACCATCGTGCTCCATGATGAACCAGTGGTGATACTGGGTTTTCCTACACCCGCAAATAGTGAAAAGAAGGCGTGTTCACCGTACGACTATGACCAGATCTTGACAGCCCCGCAAGGTATCAAATCTTAGTATTTCACATTCACGCCATGTGCTTTGAATAGCATAATGGTGAAAACTGCTTATCGTAATGCTGCACTGATTGTCGCGCTTCCATTATCTTCATTCTGATGTCTTATCATGCTGGGCGAACTTGTTCGTCATCTCCGTGTGCGCCGCCATTGTGCCTCTAGTTCTCGTGCCCTCGCTGCAGCCTCCAGTCTCTTTCGTTCTGCCATTTCTTCCTGACTCTGTTGGTAATTGGGTAGTTCATCGTCTGCTCGTGGTGGGTCGTTCAGTCCTAATAATTCCAGTTCCGCATTTACTTCATCCATTTGCGGAGGTGGTTGCCATGGCTGATACGAGTCCACAGACATATCAAGTGAAGGCTGTGGATGATTGAGCGCTGGCGCTGCTAGTGACGAAATGAGTGGTGGGGGTTCAAAGTTCTGCCAGTCATCTCTTTGTTCTCGCTGGGGCTGTCGCATTGGTGGGGCGGATGATTCCTGGGGGTGCTGCAAGGGCAGGGGAATGCTATCGTTAGTACTCCGACGAGCGAAAAGTGAACCTCGGAGCTGTGGTGGTGCACTGGGAGAAAAAGGTTCAGAGTCGCTTGGCAGGCCAGTCATTGCCTCTGCAAAGAGGTGAAATTGTGACATGTCCGTAAAAGGCTCCGTAGGCGAAAGGTAAGTGGTATGCGGTCGTGGTCTACTGGGTGCTGCATCGCGTGGTGTCGAGTTGAGGGTTGGGTCGGGAAAGGTGCGAGTTCGGGGCGATATCATTTCGAGGTGGGCATCTGAAGAAACCGTACGTCGCTGCTGAGATAGTGATGCCGTATTCTGTGGCGGTGTCGAATACGGCTGGTAATGGAAGGTCTCCGAGAAATCCGTAGCTGGAAATTGAGTCTGGGGCAAACTTTCTGCGCTGCTGCAGGGCGACTGAACAAAACCACGAGGCGAATTAGGCATACTGCGAGAGTGGATATGCGAGTAACGGACATGGGTTTCCACACTCAAATCTGTGGAATGCCGTTGGTTCGGCTGGTAGGGCTCTGGCTGCAGAAGTGTCGAGTCTAGTTGGCGGGGAGGCTCGCGACGGAGAAGGCCGAACAATGTCGAGCATTTGCTTGGTTTTCTTTCGGAATTTGAGGGCGAGGGTGGTAGTGGTTTGTTGAGATCTGCGTTTATGATTGGCGGCGATCGCAACGGCGTGGTTGGGTGAGAAGAGCATGAGCTAAATCGGTGTGCCGTGGCTTGGTATGCAGAGAGCTCTGGCCCGTCTTGTTCCTCTTCTTGATGTTGGCTCGCAGAAGCCGGGATGTTGTACCAAAGCTCGTTTGCAGGCCGCAAAGGACTGGGTCTGTGAGTGTCGTGCGCCATGGGCCTTTGTTGTTGGTGCTGTGTTGAGGCGAGATCAACGCGCAGAAGTAACAGGTCAGCCGGCACGACTGACTTTGGCGTGGACGACAGGCTCTGGGGCTTATAGCTGGAGGCTGTCATGGGGATCGTCAGCAGGAGGGCGGTGGTGGCATGCTAAAGGAAGCTGTGTCGCATGCAGATGAATCCAGGGCTGGGACCAGGGGTAGGCAGGCTGGGCCCAGGACGATGGTTTTAAAGTGGTGGTGGTGGTGGTTAGATGCAGTGCAATGGTGGAGCGCTACTGCAACATGTAGTAGTATTCGGGCAAACCCAGAGATTAATACCGGTAGCCGAGTTGCAGTCTGACAGGCCCAAGTCTTCCAAGCATGCTTCCAGAGAAGCGGATGTATAGTATTACCAGACGGGACGATAGCGAAGTATATGGGTGGAGCGGCAAGTGTGGCGTAGCCAAGGATAGTAGCCGACGCAGCGCGCAGGGGCAGGACAGAGAGTGGTGAATTGCTATCTATGTGGCTAGTATGTGTAGGCACGGAAAAGGAGAGTAGTAGTATTAGCGCAGAATGCAGAAACCACCTGTCCAAACGCATGTCATGGTGGTAGCAACAAGAAAGATGTGGGGATGCTAGCCCCCGGCTGAAAGAATGGTGTTGACGGAAAGGGATAGGGACTTGGAGAGTCGAAAGGATTTCGAGGCGGCTTGCTGGCCTAATCCCCCAGGCCAAGGCTCACACGACGCTTATCACACTTAACACGAATACGGCACAAAAGACAGCCCTGATAATGCGCCGTCTGGTGGCGACATAAAGTGTAGCGAAGGTGCAAGCGGTGAGGCTTGACATGGCCCATGCTACCCAACCTCAATGCAGCCAGCCGGCCGCCTGAGTCCAGTCCTCAGCGCATAAAGGTTCATGGACGCGCCGGGTGGGATGCGCACAAGCGGCAAAAATCCTACTACTCTAGGAATGCAACAGCTGGTGCGAGTGGCAGTGGCAATAGCAACAGTAACGGCAAGAAAGGCGGCCATCCATGATGGGATGAAAGATGCAGCGCATGCACTGCCTCAGCTAAATTTAGATGCATGCGCCCTAAACCACAACGTGGGAACTAGCCGAGGTCCTGGCTGCATGACCTGTCGTTGCCCCGGCCGCAAGCATCATCTCGACGCACCGTGGCTTGACACTCTAGTGTCATCCAAATCAAAAGTGCCCCAAAACTGTTCACTCTTCTCTTCATGCTCACTGCCGTCTCCGTCGGTGCCTTGGCTGCTGACGGCATACGTATGGCCTAAGCCTCCGACATCTCCATCGGCGTCATCACCACCTGTCCAAGGCCTCAAATCAGCCAGGCGTCATCGTATCAACTATCAAACTTTCGGCTCAATTCAATGTAAAACCAGTCACGTGAGCTTTGCACCACTGGCTTAGCGCAACGCATTGCAATGCTGGCATGAACACTGTTCAAGTCACGCATGTCTTGCTTTAATAAATAAGTGTTTGGCTGTGGAGCTTGGCCCTTGCTAGCAGGACGCATCCCCCTCCGCCTTGGTTACAACATCGCAGAGCTCTTGATTTGCGGGGCTTCTGGCAGGGCCCAAAGATCGGGTCTTGTCATCTTGACCGATCATTTTTCCCGTATCCACTAGTAACTCATTTGCTACCCCACAATGCGGGAAGTTACTACCGTCTTCGCCAAACCAAAAAGCACGTCTCTGTTACTCGCCCGCTTGGCCAGACTTTGTGCAAAGCATAGTAAGCTCATCCGAAGTAACGGGACAGTCGTGTCATTCATACTTAGCCCATCCCACGGAGACAACGAACCATGGGTACGGGCCTAGACTTGTGGCGTTAGAGTTTGCACTCTCATACACACAAACAATCAAGTGACATCTCAGGGGCCTACCAGCTCACACAGGACGCAGCGAGGAAAACAAGCCACCAAAAGCGTGCACGGCCTGCCCAACGGCTGCTATTTCTACAAACTCTACAATAGACATCTGGGTATTCGCTATGGTCACGACAGACCCAGCATACCGCTAGGCAGTATGGCTTACCACGGCTCCTTCGGGTTTGTAAACTCGACACGAACTCCTTTTTCTCAACCCCTCAAGGAACAACGAAATACGAACCAGGCATGTTTGAATTACGTGAGAAGAGTGCCATTGCATACTAGCAAGGCCCTATATGCAATAAAAAGTCGTCTGGACGTACGAGTTAGTGGAACAACTACGCCAGTGCTTTGTGCAGGCGGGTTCGGTTTGTTCTTGCCCTGACACTCATGGATAACCTTTTGGTTACTTGCTTAGCTAACCGATTGCGCAATTTCAACCCGACAATCCTCTCCGGTCTCATTCCCCCGTCTGTCCGCATTATGTCCGTGGCCAGCAGATGCAATCTCTGGATCACCAGGTAGGTTCTTCAAGATTGACTTTCTTGCCACATGGCTTCGTCAAGGGGGTGGCTTGCTCCGCTCATCATCTCATAGACCACTCAGCTGAGGACATCTGGAAAGGACCAACACAATCGACTAACCTGTAACGCGACTAGTGATTTGATTTAGAATTGACCAATCGAGACAGTGAATTATGCCTAGTTCAAAAAGTGATTGAGGACCTGTGAATATTCTGCAGAGACCGGCAAGAACATCAATTGAAGTTCACTACGCAAAATCACATTAACAAAAGCTAACAAAATATCTCAATTGACGGTGTTTGATATAAAAAGTCTTGAAAAAACGCATCTGAAATTAAGCCACTCCCGAATCATATCATTCCCAACATCCTGTACACTCTCAATATCACTGCCTTCCCTTCCATCATCTGAACCCCTATCAATCTCTTCTACCACAAATTCACTACCCGCCACTTCACTCCCCTCTCCCGCCGTAACTCAACCTTTCTTCCCAAATTCCCATCTTCTGTCCTCTCTCTCTCCACCACCACCAACAACCAAAAACACTGCAATTCAGCAAACCATACAATCACACAACCCAACCCACCCCTCCCTCCAACAGCTACGGCGTCTTCTTCTTCCCCAACCGCACGTACTCCCACACACCCAGCAGCGTCAACGGCAAAAAATTACTACAACCGTGTTCTAGGCCTTTCCGTCGCAGAACTGGATGTATACAGATGGTGGGAGGTATGGAAGATTTGAACCGTACGATCGGAGGCGGAGGGAGGAGGCTTAGGGCGATGTGAAGAAAAAGGTATGCGAAGATGGTGTGGGAAGAGAGAGAGAGAGAAGATCAAGATGAAAAACAAGGGAAGTGGAACTAAGGGTGTGAAACTTGTGGCATTAAGGAACTATTCCCGATCCAAGCATTGGCCAAGTATCCATATCGGCTGACTGTAATAGTTACTATATCTGTCCCACCGATTCTTCCAAACCTACCCCTCCTCGTCCACGAGAACCAGGTGCAGGCTCTGCTTACCGAGATCAATCATCAGCTTCAACTTGACCTCCGTACTACCAATCACCAACGAGAGGGAGGCCTGACGGGCGAAGGTTCGTCATGCCAAAAGGGCGTCCAATCAAGGCTTGGGACATCTATGTCATCTAGATCTACGAAGCCCATAGAGGTCACATCCTTTCCCATCATCACCATCATGGCCATGGGTAGATTTGGATCCCTTCATCCACAGATGGTGACATTGGCTGTCGGAAGTTCGATTACCACGTCATAGAATGCCCTTGGCGGCAGCTTTTCAATGCTACTGCCACTACAGCCACACCAGCCACTATTATACCAAGCACTATCGATTCACCTTTGCCCCGCGCTCGTACCCGCCCCAGTCTAGCTTTAGATTCCGCAATCCTTACTTGATTTTATAATAATATAAAGTGTTGGTAGAACACCTAAATATTTTCTAAATTAAGATTTATATAAGTAGATACAAATATAGCCTTACTATAGTATAGCCTGCCTCCTCTTAGAAGCTCTTCTTAGTAACCTCTAGACCCTCTTGCCGCCGCCTCCGCTACTCCCTATGCCTACTATAGCATATCACGTGAAAAATCGTATTCGTAAGTCAGTCATATGCTACTACACCATAATAAATACTTTATTACGATTACATGCCGTACATTTCGATGAGATAAATATTCGAATCATCATGCACTATAAAATGGATTTCAATCGACTACAAGTATCTAGCTATCTTAGCATCCTGCCACAAGATTAACAGTATACCGCTGTAAGATTGCTAGTGTTGTCGTGGAGCGTTGTGCACCTCCATCTGCGCGGGTGCTCGATGCATAAAATGAGTGTATTCTTCAAGTCTGAAGGTTTTTCAGACTTGGAAGTTGATTTTGTATCTATGGTATATTGTTCTTCCTCCCTCCCCGTAGTTATATATTATACCTTCGTCTGAATACCATTCGGACCTTCCACTAGCATACCTCCTGGTTGCTCCACCACAGTGTCCACTTTACTAGTATCCGCTATAAAGTTATTTATCTAATTACTACTGTTATTGTGCTAGTGCAAATAGTTACGACTGACTCTTGGATAGAAACTATCGTCTATGTTAAGAATATAAGATAAGGACTTTCGTGTAGAGTAGATGATCATCTAATCTCATGAGTCTTTGGCCCATCTAGTTCGTTTCTTCGATCCGAGCTCCTCGTACATCTAGCTGACTACCAGACAGTATAGGTAAAAGCAAAGGTAATCGTAACCCCTGTAGCAAGACTCGTAGCTCAATACTTTCTGCGCCCGTTCACTATCTGTTGTTCTTGTCGCCATTCTTAGGAGCTCCGATGGGGCGCATCGGTCCATCTATGTCACAAGCCCTTTGAGAAACTATGCTTACACTATAGAAATTTTAGCGTACAAGGTGAAGGAGTAGTGCAAAAGCGTACGCTCCGAGGAAAGAGTGGCCCCCGGCCTTCTGAGATGTACTGTTTGAAAAAAATTCAGTGATCCGTTAAAACGAAGTACACTAGATGACCACAGTCTTTAACTCCGTCCGGAGACATCTCCACGGGCTAATACGAGCGACATCTGTACATTCTGTGACGCTATTCTCATCCCCATCCTGCTGAGGAACAACTCATTACGATAGAACCAGAGGACAAGACTTATTTATTCATTGCTCTCCTCTCATCCTATAAGGATCGGGCAATACCTTGGATACAGCTTTGAAGATTAGAATGGACTTTAAAGTCTGCCCACACCCGTTGAGGGTGAAATCAGAGGTGAGATGATGTATGCAGGGCTGGGGTTAACCGGGTGGGCACTAGGCGACGCACAGACCCATTCCGTGCCTTCCTCTCGAGCTTTGAGAAGCTCTTTCCTCTAACAACCACCCTCTCTCCACTCACCACCACGTCCATCACACATTTCACAATGCTGAAGAGGTAAGCCGACGACCCAATGATACCAATTGACGATGAATTGAGATGGGCTGACGCCAATTCCGATAGTGGGATCCAGCAGGCGCTCCGCGCCTCCATGCGCAGGCCCGCCATCCGCCGCAGCGCATTCCAGCCCATGAAGAAGAGCTTCGCACCCGCTCTATCAACCCGCTTCGCCTCTACTGATGCAGTAAAGGAGGGAAAGATTCATCAAGTGATCGGCGCAGTCGTTGACGGTATGCATTTACGTTTCCTGTTGCTGCGAAAAGTTTTTTCTGTGTAGACGGAAGAGC